TCGCATATACTGTATTATGACCTAGTAGGAAAAAGCCAACTTAATTTACTCTTGATATATTACATTGTTTTTGTGTTGTATATTATCCCAGAAAGCACAGTTTTTGCATATAAATAAAATTCAATTTTATTACATTAATTTAAGTTGACTTTTTTTTTAGTACACCTCAGTGTATCTATTATGACTGGTATGACTTTGTTTGCTTATAAACTGAAGTGACGTAAGCTTCATTGTGCATATATTTTGATGCAATATAATCAATATATAATCACATACAATGTTTGATAATTTTAATAAAGTATTTCCTGTTGCTATACTCTGCTGTATGCGAATTTAGAATTATAACTATCAAGGTGCATTACATTGCTCCAAAATGTTAACAAAGATAATGATATGCAAACACACTTAGCATCTAATTACCTGTTTGGTTTTTAGAAGGTGTAACTTAAGAGGAAAAAAAATACCAACCTTCTGCAAATGGATCAACACGTTCTGGAGATATAATCATTCTTCGTCTTTTTTGTCTATATTCATCCTCTCTATCTGCTATGGTGGGTCGTCGTCTATCCGCAAATGGATCATAATCCTTTTCACTCTGAGAAATAAATATTGTTCATTTAGTTTAACGTAACCACATAATTTCTTTATAATTTCTTACCTGTGCAACATCATTAAGCAATGCTGCAGGAGCATTATAACCTGGTCTCTTATTGGTACTGAACGTAGTTGGTTCATAGTCTTCATCCTTAATAAATAAAAGATTATTATTAAATCATTAACTCTATGATAAGTCTTACAATGAATATCATGAGAAAAATAAGATTACCTCGATTTCATCATTGGCTGCAATTGATGTAACATAGCCTTCATACTTGTTGTTACTTCCATCATAGATATCCTGATCGTAAAAACCAGTCTTTCCTAGACCTACTTGTTCTTTCTCTGCTGTTGCATTCTGTATTTCTTTCTTTTTCGATTGGATTTCTCTTATTTGTGCTTCGATATCTATAAGGTATTAACATATTTAGTAGAACCAGTATCACAGTTAATTATAATTGATAATTCGATATTTTGATTATAAGCATTAATCAACAATTATGTCAACTATTGCCCAACTGTGAAACATGCTATACACAAGCATATATTGGCATAAGAAATGACTAAAAACAACGTGTAGTAACGACATTAAGTACCAAAAATTATAGTCCATAACAAACAAACCTTCATGAGTTCTGGGAATGGAATCCATCCTGTAGCGTTATAATCTGACAGTAGGTTATTCCCGCAGATCTCGTTTAAATATACACTTCAAAGAGGATTTGAACCTCTTTGGTGAAAATAATAGCGAAGGGCCAAATTCCGTACCCAATTTTTATATTGACGATGGCAATGCTACAAGATGGCACACTCCGTGACGGTTTTCAATCTTAAAGGCCGACACACAATTATTTGACTTCACATAAAAAATACCACGATCGCACCACGGGCATCCAAAAACTACAGTAGTTCCAAGTCATACTTAGCGATGTCGGGAGTCGGGAACAAAGCTCTGAGAAATATGAGACGAGGTATAGAAACTGCTTTTCTCTAATTGATTGACCAATGTAGCTTGGCATCACTTGCGATCTCACCCTATTTGCGCATTCGTTTGCCTGGTGCTCCATGTGAAACACTCGACGAGCGATACATAGCTCGAAAGAATCGAGTAGCTCGGAAAATATCTAATAATATCTAAAATAAAGCAGTAATATGCATAATATGTTTATTGCACACAGAGAATGCAGTCATGCCTCACCTTAGTGAGCAATTTTGCTTCGCTATAGTAAGCATTTTTATCCCCATCATTTTACTGCGCATCCAGGTTCGCGCAGTTGCTTTAGAAAGAGAACGGGAGATGATCGAGAGAGACAAAATGAAACCAGCGGGTTCTATGTGCGAGCGTCCACACGGACGAGAAACGTAGGCCGTCTCGCTTTAGCGTGCTTGCGTTCTTGCTCTTTTCGCGCATCCATATGCCTGGTGCTTCATCTAAAATACATGGCGCGATATTCGCACTTTTCGCCCCATAGGATTCTCGACTACACAGTTCAGCGTATTTGCGAACGTCTTGGAAACGACGATCATTTCTATAATTATTAAAATTTACGAAGACGTAAGCTATATTTTAGCTAATGGTTTCTATTTTATGAATCAACAAAATTTTTTAAATTCAGCTATCATGATCTGTCTTCTTTCCCATATTGCGGGTCCGCTACTCTTTCTTTCCCCCCTTTCTTATTTCGATCACTGTTTGCTAATCGACTCTTTCACTTTTATGACCTGTCCTTGACGCTTGAGAAGCATTTTCTTTGAGGTTGATAGTAGACCAAACAAATATTCGCATTTTCCATCAATATGAGATTTCTGCAGTTTGAATCATAAATAAAATTAAAACTTTGTAGGATCAGAGAGGTAATAATGAAAGTTAGCATTGTCTTAAAAATATTACATTAACGTTTTATTAGATAAAATGTACAGTTACCTACGCTCGAAGTAAGAAAGCTATATTAGACTAATTCGTTTGACTTTACACGGAAATTAAATTCGCAGTGTTACGCTTAACAAATCCTCCAATGACTAAATAGACTGGACAGAGCACGATAGAGGAAAAAGAGGGATGCCGGAAAGATTCGTTCGAATGTAGATAATGGAAGCAAACCATCACCATAAATAGTACAATATATTTATAATATAGAACTATGTATATCTTGATTCAGGGTACTGGTAATATATAACAGTGAGCGATACGACAACGCGGCAGTGTGAACCCTAGGGATTGAAAGTACGGAGGAACAGTCAGTGGAGGAGTTGTCGGTTTCTAGAAATACAAGACCGACCATCCAGGATCCGGTGGTCTGAAGTGCATTCCAACGAGAATTATATAAAATTACGATATAAAATAATAATTATCCTAAAAGACTTATGATAGGTGATAGTCAGGAGAAGGTTCAGCTACGGATTCTGTAGTGAACAGTGGATTTGGGAACTCTGGTGGATGTGGCAGTGGACCAGCAGTCTTTGGCTGGCGACGATACGCCATTAGCCAGCAGGATACAGCAATAGCTACAGCAACTAGTGCCAGGAGTGCCGTAATTACTAGTGCTATCACAAAGCCGACCATAGAAACGCATATATCCTCCACTCTTTGAGCTGAAGCGACTGAAACAATGAAGACACGTGTTAACAAATCGTTACAGCAACAGTATCGGTGGTAAACATTTCCAATTTAAGCAATGACTTACTTTCAACTGGATCCGCTGTAAACCTCGCTTCTCTCCTCTCTGACGTGAATATAAGATTCGATTGGATCGTTATCTCTTCTCTAAGCTGACCTTCAAAATTGTCGGCGACGCTCAAAGCTGTGTCATTCGCCTCCGAGTCCACGTCTCGACGACGACGTCCGAACGCGTTGTATCCTCGGCAATTGACCTGATTAATTGAATAGCAATAGGTCAAGTTTTTCTCTGGGAAAATATATCTTGGGGTCCGTCAGAATCTTAGCAAACTTACAGGCTGACAGCGCCCAAAGCACACGCGAATATTGCACTGGAACCGAATATTGTCGCTACTCGGGAACTTGAATGCATCGAAACTGGCCATCAGAGCCTGTGTCTCTGGGTTCTGTTCCCATTCGCCGAATATCGTGGGATCTGTTGCGCATCCATCGTCATCCGTCACGATGTACTCGTTCTCCAAGGTGTCCTCCATCGTTTTGGCCTTGCAGTTTCGAGCGAAGCCGCCGTAGATGCCTAAGATGTTTAGGATCACGATTTGTAGTCTCATCGTCTACGGTTTAATACCTTACGGGGTTTGCTATCGAGTACTTACTAGAAGGCTGAACTTCGACCTGCAACATCAGATTGTCGCCGATTTCAGCCGAGTTGATTTCGTTTCCTTTTCGTGTGACGATCTTCATCAGACACACCGGCGGCGGGCCCGTGTTAGCTATGGTACCAGCTGTGGTTAGCATGGAGACGTTGAAGCCGAGAGTGACGTTCTGTTCTCCGGTTTGGTAGATGCACTTGATGTGGTAGGCCTGGGCTTTGTAGGTCATCAGTTTCGGGTGTTTCTGAATGACTAAGACGAAGCTTGCTTGTCCCTGAAAATGCAGGATGAGGAATGACGTTAAACGGAAGTTCTCTAACATATACCTCTCTGAACCATACAATATTATCGAAACTTACGTTCACGTGAATTAGTCCACAGTTACCGAACGCCACTTTGAATATCTCCGTTTTGTGCATGGTGTCGGAGGAGATGGACACGACTCTTCTGCACTGTTCGTCCTTGCTCCGACCTTTCACGTAAAGAACACCGTCGAATTCGTCGTCCAGAAGATGTATCAGAACCTGGACCCCATCGGACAAACAGCTGACAATTATGTCCGGCCTGGGGAAATCGGTGCGACCTCTGTTTCCGTTGTCTGTTCAAGAAAAATCGCGTTAGTTACTCGGGCATTTAATACTTGGTCTATCGTGTTCTATCATCGATCGTGTCTTACAGCATTGGGTGTAAGCGTTTCCGCTGTATCCGCTGATGCAGGTGCAGATAGCTTGATGACGCGTGACATTGCAAATCGCGTTCATGCCGCACAATTGCGTAACACAAGGATCTTCGCAGGTCTGGCTGGTCTTGTCGCAGTACCTGTTATCGGCGCAATCGTCGTCGCGACTGCATTCGACTATGTCTACTATAAATTACAACGTATCATCGATCCAAACAATTAACGATCAATCGAGCACACCAAGCATCGATAAAAGCACACGATCTCCATACCTAATTTACAGTATCCATTGGCATCCAGTCTGTACCCATACTCCGCGGGACATACGCAACGACCATACTCGTCGATGATCATTCCGTTCTCCAGTGCGCACACGCAGTATCCTTCCTCGTTGATGATCATTCCAGCCTGTCTGCGACAGGGTATGCAAATGTCACTCTCGTCCTTCGCTGTGCCAGGTGGACAGACGCAGTTGCCGTTCTCGTCGCGAATCTGACCTTTCTCCACCGAACAGACATCAGCTGCGAAAACCAGAAGATCCCGTTAGAAAATTTCTCGTCACGCTATTTATGTTTCACGCAATCTTCGAATCAAGAAATTACTCTTTTCACAGCGCTCGACCGCGTTCCCCCTGTATCCCGGAATACATTCGCAGATCATGGTTCTCACGGGGCTCGTGTCAAGGACCTTGCAGTCCGCGTTCGCCACGCAGGGTTGAATCTTGACGCAGGGGTTGATGCACTCGCCGTTGAAGCAGGCGGTCTGAGATGGGCATTCGTTGTCCGCCTTGCACTTCTCCGTGACTAAACAACAAACATCATAATAAGTACGTATACGCGGAAATACAAGAGTTCTTCGACCAATTTAGACACGATCGTACGTTTGGTGCATCCGGATTCGACGTCGCCGATGTAGCCAGGTGGACAGGCGCATTCGACCAGGTGGTTGTAGACGTTGCAGTTCATGTCTCCGCGGCAGGGGTTCACGGAGCACGGGTTCTCGCAGCGGCTGTTGATGCAAGCCTTGTTCGTGGGACAATCGGTGTTGGTCCTGCAGCCCAGAAGAGTGCAAGCGACCCTCGGATTGCCGCCAAGGCCAGGCGGACATTCACAAATTGCTTTGTGATTGACCCCTTGGCATACAGCGTTCTTGCCGCAGGTAGGCTCGGTTGGAGAACACGCAGGAACGCAGTTGTGTTGTACACAAGCGTGCGTACCGGCACAGTCAGCGTCTAAGCGGCATCCGACCACTGCAACGTCGAGTCAACATTTCATTTAGAGGTTCCCCTTGATTGGTTCCATCGTGAACGAGCGGAACGAACCAGAGCTACGCGTAAAGGAAAATTAGAGCCTCACCTTTGGTGCAAGCCACGTCAGCATTCCCATCGTAACCCGCGACGCAGGAGCAGATTGGTTTGTGATCCGCGACAATGCATTCCGAATTGGGTCCGCAAGCGCAGGGATTCCTGCAGACGGCGTTCACGCAGGACTTGTCCGAAGGACAGTCGCTGTCCCTGTTGCATTCGATGTCCAAGATGGGTTTGGTAGCCCGGCAGGTCCCGCTGCCACTGCTGACGTAGCCGCTGGGACACACGCAGACCATGGTGCGGACAGGATGAGTCGGTAGCACCCTGCACTCGGATGGTTCCGTGCACGGTTCAACGACGGAACAAGGATTCTGACACCTGTTGTCGAAGCAGGCCAGCGAATCAGGGCAGTCGTCGTCTTCCCTGCATTCCGGTTTGTCCTCCGGTTTGCAGTTCACGTAAGGATTGCCCGCGTGATGCGCCGGACAGCGACAGATGGGGAGATGGTTGAACACTCTGCACTCGGCCAACGGGGAGCAAGGATTTCCGTGGCGGCAAGGGTCCACGCACTGCAGATTGATGCAGGAATGGTCTCCGGGACAGTCTCCGTTGCTGTAGCAGCCGATCACTCTGCAGCGATCCAACGCGTTGCCGTGGTAGCCTTTGCGGCACCGGCAGTCCGCCTTATGGTTGTTGGGATAGCATTCGGCGTTCACGCCGCAGTTGTCGGACACTAAGCAAGGGTTCACGCAGTTGTTGTTCACGCAGCTCTTGTCTAGGGCGCATTCGCTGTCTCTGGTGCATTCGACGGAGTAGCAAGCGATGTCTGGATTGCCTTGGTAGCCTTCCTCGCAGGAGCAGATGGGCTTGTGGCCCCTGACGTAGCAGGCTGCATTGGTACCGCAGTTGCACGGGTTCCTGCATTGTCTGTTGATGCATGACTCGTTGTCGGGACACTCGTCGTTGCTCGTGCAGGTGCCGATCGTTGTTATTTGAACTGGAATAATCGCAACGATCGTAAAAATCCGATGCTAATTACTAGAACACGCGGAAAGAATTGGCAAAAGATTTCTTACGATATGAAATAGAATAGAAATATCGTCGACTTCGTACATGCAATAAATGTATAAAATGCGGTAGAGACGAACGGAACAACTTACTTGGCCTGCAGACTTCGTCGACGTCGGTGGTCCATCCTTCGGGGCAGGTGCAGGTCATCGTCCTTACAGGAACGGTGTCGAGAACGTTGCATCTGGCGTTCTCCGAGCATGGTTTGATCACCGGGCAAGGATCGATGCACTTGTTCTTGATGCACACCAGCTTGTCGGCGCAATCGATGTCGATCCTGCACTCTGGCTCGTCCAAGTAAGTCGTGCGATGCTCGCAATAGGAGTACGGATTTCCGGCTGGCAGATTTTCAGGACAACGGCAGGTTGCCTCGTGATCCTGAACGTAGCAGATGGCGTTCTGGGCGCACGGTGACTCCTCGACGCAAGGATTCACGCAGCGTCCGCTGTCGCAAGCCAGATTTCGCGGACAATCGTAGTCAGCGTTGCACTCGGCCCTCTCGCAATGCACTTCCGGATTGCCTAGGTAGCCGGACCCGCAGCGGCAAACGGCGCGATGATTTTCGCCATAGCATTCCGCATTAATCGCACACTTATTCTCCAGGATGCACGGGTTCACGCATTGTCCGTTGTAGCAGGTCGCTGCGTTGTTGCACTCGCTGTCCGACTCGCAGTCAACTGCAAGAACGTTGGCGCAATTAAATAACGACAGCGAAGTAGTATGATTAGCAACTGTTTCTAAGTTAGGTTTCTTTGACTCACGTTTGAAGCAGCCCAGCTGAGGATTTCCAGAATAGCCAGGCGGACACGAGCAGGATGGATAATGATCGACAACGGTGCACTTTGCATTCGGACCGCAGTTGCAAGGATTGATGCACAGGCTGTTCACGCAGGCTGAATTGCCAGCGCAGTCGCTGTTCGAACGACACTCGGCTACTATGCCGGCTGCAAAAGACAAACGATACGATGCATTCGTTGCGATTCTTTCGCACTTCGACGGGTCGATGCGATTTATTTAATGAGACAGAGACTGGAGGGCTCCGCGCGCTCGACGCATCACCACTTATTTTTTTGTCCCTATGCAAGTTAATAATTGATCGACGAATCACTTACGAGGTATGCAATTGATCCTAGCGTCCCCGTCGTAGTTGGCAGGACACCTGCAGACCGCGACGTGATTGTTCGCGTGACACAGTGCGTTTCTTCCGCAAGGATCCGCGGCCACGCACGGATTCACGCAGAGAGAATTGATGCACTGTTTGTCGCCGGCGCATTCGCTGTTAGCGTAGCATTGCGGTCGGTACGGTGGCAGCGTGATCAACGGCGCTGGAACGTAACAAATTTGTCGTTACGCGAGATTTCTCGATTATTCGCGAACACAATAATCTTTTAATCGGATTAAAAAACTTACTTCTGACGCACTCGATGTAAGCGTTGCCGGTGAAGTCTGGGGCACACTGGCAGACACCGGTGTGAGACACCGATTTACATTGCGCGTTCAAGCCGCACCGAGTGGTGAGGCAAGCTTCGATGCACGTGCCACTGATGCACTTGTCCGAATTGTTGCAGTCTTGGTCCTGATGGCATTGGACGTCGGCTAACACGATTCTCTTGCACTGTCCGTTGACGTCGGTGATGGTGTTGGGCGGACAGCTGCAAATCATCGTGCGAAGCGGCACCGTGTTCAACACTTTGCATTCTTGGTCGCCGGTGCACATGCGAGAGGACAGACAAGGATCTTGACATCTCCCGTTGATGCAGGCGAAGTATAGCGGACATTCGCTGTCCTCCCTGCACCCTACCTCCGTTGAAACACCTGTAACCAATGAAAGAGGCGGGTGATTAGATTTTCTAGATTTTTTTTCTATCGGCGGTGAGCCGTTGGATACGCTAATAAAATTTACCAGTGCATTCGACGTAAGGATTTCCAGACGTTCCCGAAGGACAGATGCACCTCGGCTGATGGTCCCTGGCGATGCACTTGGCAGTGTCAGCGCAAACGTCGTCGTCGCAGACCGGTCGACAGACCCTGTTCAGTCGGTCGCAGGCCTCGTGATCGGCGCAGTCTTCATTGTAATGGCACACTGCCGAGATGCAGGCGATTCGTGCATCTCCCTGTGTGCCTCTCGGGCAGACGCACTGCGCTCGGTGGGAAATTGCGATGCACTCTGCGCCGCGGCCGCATGCGATTCCGTCGTCGAGGCAGGGACTGGCGCAGTTCTCGTTCTGGCATGTCTTGTCGTAGGGACAGTCGTCGTCCGACTTGCACTCGGCTGCGAAACGAACGAATTTACGTTAAATGCATTTTTTTGTTACGTTAAATTCTGGCGCGATATTTGCACATCTATTAAGGCGACAGTCGTATTTATCGCGAACTATGAAACTTACGTTTGAAACACTGCACTTGCGGATCACCGGCATGATCCTGCTGACAGTGACAAGTCGGATGATGGTTCACCATGACGCATTCAGCGTTCAATCCGCAATACGAGCCTAGACACGGGTTCTGGCAGAGTTGGTTGATGCAGGCTGCTTCCGGCGCGCAATCAGAGTTCGTGATGCAATCAGGGAATCCGTCTGTGTCTATGGTAACATCGTCGTAATTTTCAATTCATCGAAGAGATGCCACAGTTTTCTATGTTACAGATTGTTCTGTCAATTGTTCGTTGACGCAACAAACGTTACCTCTGTAGCAGTTCATGAAGGGATCACCGGACAGACCGGTGTTGCAGTGGCATTGACGTCGATGGTTCTGCACAACGCATTGCGCGTTCGATGCGCAAGGGTTGATGGTGCAAGGGTTGATGCATCGGTGGTTCAAGCAGGCCATGTTCGACGTGCAGTCGGCATCGGTGTTGCAGATCGCGTCAAGCTGCTGATCCACTAAAAAAAAGAAGAAAAAAAAACAAATGTAACAAATCACGCGTAACATTTTATATAAAGCAACGATTTTGAAAACCGCAGATTTTAGAATACAATCGACGTTGTCGTACCTGGAATGCAAGCGACCGTTGCATCGCCGGCGAAGTTCGGCAGGCATTCGCAGATCATGGTCCTCATCGGTAACGTGTCCACGACGGAGCACCTTGCACCGGCGATGCACGGCTTCGTTTCGATGCAAGGATCCTTGCAGATACCATTGAAGCAGCCTAATTTGCTGGGACAGTCCCCGTCTACTCGACATTGGGGTTGCAGCTCCGTTGGTTCTGGAAAGAGAGGACGATCTTCCAATTGTCGCGATTGACTCTACCGAATAATTGCTCGTATAGTTTAAAAGTAAATTACCCATCAGACAAGCCGTGTAAGGGTCGCCGGTGTAACCCGGCGGGCACCGACAGTTCGGTCGATGGTTGATGACATTGCATTGTGCCGACAGAGGACAGTTGCAAGGGTTGACGCATCTCTGGTTGCGACACGCTAAGGAAGACGGGCAATCGCTGTCGCCGGTGCATTCGGGTCTCTCGCAAATTTGATAAGGATTGCCTTGGTATCCGTCGGGACAGTAGCACCGCGGTTTATGATAACCGTCGGATGAGCAGAGAGCGTTGACACCGCACTGGGTGACCAAGCAGGCATCCATGCACTCGTTGTTGACGCAAGACTGAGCCAACGGACACTCGCTGTCGCCGCGACACCCGACTGCAAAGGTAAATGCAACGTTACGACTCGGCATCGTTTCGAACGTTTTAGACATTTGAATTCCAGTTACGTACTTTCGCGACAGTGTTGTTGAGGATTGCCGGTGAAACCTTCGTTGCAGACGCATACAGCTCTGTGCATCAGCACGTGACAGCGACTGTTGTAGCCGCACGAGTCCAGCGTGCAAGGATCGACGCATTTCTGGTTGTAACAGGCCTTGTCGTTCGGGCAGTCGTAGTTGTTGGTGCATTCCGGGACTGCCACTGCAAGTGAGAATCGAGTGCACGTGAATATCAAGCGAATCGATTAATTGCACACAGAGTTGCGGGGACATAGATTTTGACAAATTACCGTCAGTAGGCGGAACGTTGCACTGTATCCTCGCGTTGCCGGTGAACCCAGGCGGACACGAGCAAACGGGCTTATGATTGACAGTCTGACAAAGTGAATTGACACCGCAGGAGCCGATGCACGGGTCCCTGCACTTCTGCGCGAAACAAGCCTTGTCGCGAGGACAGTCCTCGTTAATCACGCATTCCGGATAGATGCAAACTGCAACGCCGTTCCTAACTCTGCACTCGCCGTTGTAGCCGCAAGGCGACGGACTGCAAGGGTCGGTTTCTAGAAAAATATCGAGATTTTTCAACGTGATCGCTCGAACATCGACACGAATATTATCGTATGAATTCGTGCTCACCAATTAGCTGACTGCATTCCACGAACGGATTGCCGATCAACGGGGACGGGCAGCTACAGAGCGGACTGTGATTGATTGCCTTGCACGTCGCCTTGATACCGCATACGTTCTGCGTGCAGGGATTTATGCATCTGTTGTTTATGCACGCCTTGTCGCCTGGACAGTCGGAGCTGATCACGCACTCTGGGTGGCAACCGGTGACGCTGGATGGCACACCTTGTAGACCGGGCAGGCATTTGCACACGACGGTGTCGCCGACCTTCTCGCAGAGGGTGTTGGGTCCGCACGGCGATGGAGAGCAGGGGTCTCGCTCTTTCGGTTCTATACGCAGACGACACAATTATGCTTCTGATTAAGGGTCGGCCAGAATAGGCCCGGCAAGGGATACACAACCTTTGAGAACTTTGAAATTATCCTCGATAGAATCGGGAAGGGATGAATCGATTTTGCGAATTTAAAAAGCTTCACTTTAATAGAATCAGAGAGAAAGGGGAGAATAAATGTCATGAATTTTTAAATTATTCTCGAAAGACTCGGGAATGAATAAATTTTGTCAAATAGATTGAAAGGGATGTGTACAGGCTCTGTTAATAAGACAGGCCCTGCTTCAATCGAATCAGAAAGAAACGAAGAGTGCGAACGTACCTTCGGCCCTGCAAAGGGTGAACGCATCCCCGATAGTCGGCTGAGGACAGGAACAGATAGGGATGTGATTGGACACTGTACAAATAGCTCCCACGCCGCAGGTGCCGGGACAAGGATCCTGACACTTGGTCCTGATGCAGGCCTGCGATTTCGGACAGTCGGTGTTCACCAAGCACTCCGGTTGGCAGCCCTCGTAAGCGTTTCCTCTGTATCCAGGAATGCACTCGCAGAACGCAGAGTTCGATCTCTCCCTGCAGTAAGCGTTGACTCCGCAGGGCGATGGGCTGCACGGTCTCGATGGTGACGGCGACGGTGCCGGTGCTAAAACGCGTCAACAATACACGATTAATCCTCGCGCTAGATCGATCGTCTTAACTACGAATAGAGGAGTTAATTTACAATGATCTTGAATTCGAAGAGAGAATGTAAGTGCGAAGCTGTACAAGAAACGCGAATGTACATGATTTACATAGAGACCGACGGTAATACGTGGAGCGAAAATCATCGTGTATGAACAAGAACTATGATTTTAGAGAAGAGATACTGATAGGTGGTCTGCATGCTTTCTGCGTATGTACAGTATTTACAGCTAAAAATGAAATAAAAAGACAGAATCAGCTTCTCGTCGAACGATCGGATAAAAATCGCGGGACGTTTAAAATGATCGTGGTCACACGGGATGGTCCTTACTCGTGATCGGGGAACAAACAGTGACCGGGTCTCCGGTATATCCCTCGGGACAGACGCAACGGATGTAATGCAGGGCAACCTGGCAGAGGGCATTGGTACCGCAGAGCCCTATACAGGGGTCGGTACACTTCTGTTTAACGCAGGCCTGATTGCCAGGGCACTCGCTGTTCACGAGACACTCGGGCCTACAGTTGGGAGGAGATCCTATGTACTCGGGCATACAGGCGCAGGACGGTTTATTGTTGATTACGGTGCACTGGGAGTTCGGTCCACACGGCGAGGGGGTGCACGGGTCCAGGCTTGGTTCCAGGCTTGATTCCATGTTCGGTTCTGTTCGCCGGCAACAAACACAGTTTCGGTTATGGGGGCAGAGGAGGAGTCGGTAGCTAGAATCAATGGTTACTTTTGCTTCGGTTCATTTAACAAGGTTCGTGCATGCTGACATTTCTCAATAAACAAATAAGTGTCTCGAAACATTTCTACCTGAAACAATCGCCTACCTTCTGCTCGAGACAATACTTAATCCTGTGGAATTATTAATATGACATTTTCAATGTATTGTTTCGACAAATGACTTGTTTTGAAATTTTCAGACCCGACTTCTTGAGGTTCCAATGGTTTTCCGCGTCGCTTGTGGTCTCTACTTACGGATAGGGAAGCAGCTGACGAATGGATCGCCAGAAAACTGGTCGGGGCAGCTGCAAATGGGGTTGTGGTTGCGAACGGCGCACAATGCGCCCTGACCGCAAGTGTTTTCGCAGGGGTTCTGACATCTCTGGTTCACGCAAGCCCTACTCTGCTCGCAGTCGGTGTTCACGAGGCACTCGGGCCTGCAACTAGGCGGAGTCCCGAAGTATCCAGGGAGGCAGGAGCAGGAGGCCTGTTCGCCGAAATCGCGGCATACGCTGTTGGGTCCGCAGGGCGAGGGCTCGCAGGGTCTCACGCGTTCTATCAAGCAAGGGATCAACAGGGATCAGTAACAGTTTCACATGGAGATCCAGGCGGACCTTTCTCTCTCTCCCTCTTTCTCTCTCTCTCTCTCTCGGGTAATCGTACAGGCAAACTCACTTTGAACAGGTTTACAGAGGGTGAACGAGTCTCCCTCGTAGTTCTCTATGCAATTGCAGGTGGGAATGTGGTTCACGACCACGCACTCTGCGTTCTGACCGCAGACGCCCGCGCAAGGGTCCACGCACTTGTTGTTGGAGCAGGCTCTGGTGCGACTGCAGTCCGAGTTTTGAATGCACTCGGGGTAGCAGCCTTCGTAGGGGTTGCCGCGGTACTCGCTTATGCAGGTACACGCCCCGTTGCGACACTGGGTGTTCGGGCCGCAGGGCGAAGGGTTGCAGGGGTCCGAGGGTGCTGGAGGGGCTAGTCGAAGGGCATCGAGTCAGTAAAAGGGCAGTGTAAGGTCAGTATAAGGGAACGTGTCTCGGTTGCTGACTTGAGAAAACCTCGGTGAAAGATGTTCTATAGAAAAATACTTGACACCCAGTTCCTTCTACTTGGCCATGTTTTACCTGAAGGTTAGGGGTTGGAGATGTTTCGAGATCAACGCGCGCCATGGTCGATAAAGGAAGTCGTCGAATATTTTTCGAAGAAAAATGTTTCACGCGAGTTTCAATACGTTCCCTCGCAAGATCGAACTGCAGTTGCATCCTTACTTGCAGGTCTCGGCTGGCAACTGGTAAAAGCGTCGCCTACAAAGTCAGCGGGACAGGTGCACGACGGCGTGTGGTTGATCACGTTGCACAGCGCGTTCGATCCGCAGGATCCGGGGCAAGGATCTATGCACCTTTCTCTGACGCAGGCTTTGTCGCTGGTGCAGTCGGAATTCACCAAGCATTCCGGTCGACAATTAGGGGCAGAGCCGACGTAACTGGGTAGGCAGGAGCAGGACGGAATTCCCCCTACGTCTTGGCACTGGGAGAACGGTCCGCAGGGCGATGGTGTGCAGGGGTTCACGGGGGTGGACGGTACTATGGCTAAAATAGGAAACATCGCCGATTCGCGTCACAGTTCGACGACCGTTTGAATACGTTTTGGCAGTCGGTCACTCACTGGCAACGTCGAAGCATTTTACGAAAGGATCTCCGGTCTGACCGGCGCTGCAACTGCATATGGGGCTATGGTGGAACACCTCGCATCTAGCGCTCACACCGCACACGCCTGGACAAGGGTCAACGCATCTCTGTGCCATGCAGGCTTGGTTAACGGGACACTCGGCGCTGACAACGCATTCTGGTCTACAGGCCGGCGGGGTTCCTTTGAAAGTGGGCAAGCAGGAGCAGCTAGCCTGACCGTTGACATCTTGGCAACGACTGTTCGGACCGCACGGCGACGGTTGGCACGGGTTCGCGATGGATGGCTTGGCTGCTTTTCAATTCAAGGTAAATTAGACTGCAACTCTGATTCTGAACCTAAACGCGGCAAAACTCGCTAACTTACGGGGTTCTTCGAGGACGCCGCAGGATCTAAATGGATTTCCTGTGTAACCGGACCTACAACTGCAGGTGGGAATGTGATTGACAACCTGGCAGACTGCGTTCAGTCCACAGGTGCCCGGACAAGGGTCCTGGCACTTGTTTCTGATGCAGGCTCGGTTGAACTGACAGTCCGAGTCAATGAGACACTCGGGTCGGCAGTTCTCGTAGGGATTGCCGTAGAAATCGGGCAGACAGCTGCACAGAGCCGAACCGTAGGTGTCGCGGCAAATGGCGTTCGCGCCGCAAGGTGACGGTTGACAGGGGTTCACTCTGGCTGGGATGTCTTCCACTATAATCGAAGGCTCGTTAGCGTCTGTATCGAGTGCCGATTCGTTGACAAGGGAAAAGTGCATCTTACTGGGCTGAGGGGTGCACTGCACGAATGGGTCTCCGGTGAAGCCGCTCGCGCAGTTGCACGTCGGGGTGTGACTGACTGTCCTGCACTCGGTGTTCCTTCCGCAAGATCCTGGACAGGGATCTCTACATTTCTGATTGATGCAGGCTTGTTGTACTGGGCACTCGGAGTTGCTCACGCACTCCGGCTTGCAGTTCGGCGGGATTCCTATAAATTGTGGGAGACAGGTGCACGAAGGTGTGTTGTTGATTACCTGACAGACTGCGTTGGGTCCACAGGGCGAGGGTTGGCAAGGGTTCACTGGGACATCCGGTAACTTGCCTAGAATTATCAAAGCGGACGATGTAGTCATCTTTCGGATCTTAAGAATTCGACCTGTGGTACGGTATTCTCGCGAAAATTGTCCCAACGAGGACAGTGATTGAAAAAGAGAGAGGGACAGACTATTCGATCGAGGCGTTTGAAAGATGTTAAGGAATTCGTGCGAGCTTAGGCTTTTAAATTCAGAAGTCATTATTTCTTACTTATGGTTTTCGTCAATAAAACTTTTACCATCGTATTCGACTCGTCTTGCTGATTAAAATAACGCCGAACATGATACAATTACGATTATAATTACTTGTGTAATGAATCGAAGCATGGAACTTCAATCGTTTGTTACGCAAGCGATCACAATTGTAATTACAATTGCGTCGTGTTTGGTGTCAGCTTAATCAAAAAACAGGACGTCGATTCAATTCCGAATTCCAAGGAGAATCCACCCGCGAAATAAAATATATTGACAGTTATCGAGAAAATACCGTATCAATCAAAATTCTTCGTTCTTACTGGGCGGAGTGCATTGCACAAACGGATCCCCGACGAACTGGTCGAAACACCTGCATACGGGGTTGTGATTGATGACGGTGCACTGCGCGGATAATCCGCAAGCGCCCAAACAGGGGTCAATGCATTTCTGGTTGCTGCAGGCCCTGTTACGCGGGCAATCGGTGCTAACGATGCACTCCGGCCTGCAGGAGGGTGGCGATCCTTTGAACCCGTTGACGCAAGTGCACACTGCTTGTCCGTTCGAGGAACGACAGTGGCTGTTGGGACCGCACGGGGATGGGTTGCAGGGGTCGACGACGGTCATGTCTACATTGTAAGAAATATCGGTAACACGTTATCCATAAACCGCCGTGAACAACAGCAGGGCGCAGGGCTGAATGACCAACCTCTCATCGGGCTACAAGCCACGAACGCACTGCCGGTCGTGTTCCTAGGACAACTGCACATCGGCAAGTGATTCACCACGTTGCACTCGGCGTTCGCTCCGCAGGTACCCACGCAGGGGTTCCTGCACTTGTGCAGTATACAGGCTTCGGTTCGGAGGCAGTCGGTATTGATGACGCATTCGGGGCGGCAGATACTGTAGGGGTCGCCCAGGTAACCGGGCAAGCAAGTGCACGTGCCGTCGCGGCATTGCGCGTTCGGTCCGCATGGCGAAGGGTTGCAAAGGTCTGTCGGGGCCTCTGTCACTAGAATGCAAGGATTAACGGTTACGGTGGGCCGAGTGGTTTACGAATCGACGACGCGATCGATGTCTCTTGCTTACTGTCGGGCGGAGGAACAGGTGAGCAACTGGTGAACGGGTCACCGGTGTAACCCGCGGGACAAGTGCAAGCAGGCGTGTGGTTGACCACAGTGCACCTTGCACCGACGCCGCATGATCCTGGACAAGGGTCCCTGCACTTCTCTCGGATGCAGGCTCTGTTCGCCGTGCAGTCCGAGTTCATGGTGCACTCTGGTCGACAGTTGGGAGGCACGCCTATGTAGCTGTTCATACAGGTGCACACGGGAGAGTCGCCTAAAGACTTGCATAGCGCATTTGGACCGCAAGGGGACGGAATGCATGGGTCTTTTGGATACTGATCCGCCGGTTGAGGTGCTGTGGAGAAACAATACAGTTTGTCACAATGGAAGGTCATTGGCCTCGATGATGGTGTGGAGGCAGACATCGACTCACTTGTTATGGGGAAACAGTAGACAAATGGATCCCCTGTTAAACCATCCCCGCAGCTACAGATCGGGCTATTGTGAATGACTTTGCACTGTGCATTGCGACCGCAGGTTCCGACGCAGGGATCCCTGCACTTCTGGTTCACGCAAGCTAGGTTCGAGTTGCATTCCGAATTGACGACGCATTCGGGTCTGCAGCTTGGAGGAGTTCCTACGTATTGGGGCAGGCAAGAGCACACGGCTTGGCCATTGATTTTCTGGCACTGACTATTCGGTCCGCAGGGTGACGGTCTGCATACGTCGGGCTCGTCTTCTTCGACTATAAAATTTGTTAATGTTGTAGGTACCTTTGGTGGATCAGACATGTGCTAGACGAGTGATCTTCAAACCGTTTTCAAGCATTGTTCAACACGATGAACGTAAAATAAAACAGTTAAGATCTTAAGAGTTTCATAAAGAGAGTTTCATAGAGAGTTTCATAGCCAGCATTTGAAGACCACAAGACCATCAGCTTGACTACTTACTGGTGGGCAGTTTGTACAAACAGTTCACGTAGGGGTCACCGTTGTACTGTGGCAAACAGGTGCACACAGGAAGGTTGTTGACAACCTGGCAGTTTGTATTGCCGCCGCAAGCACCGGGACAAGGATTCTGACACTTGAGATTGATACAAGCTAAATGAGACGGGCAGTCCGACGCGATGGTGCATTCCGGCCGACATCCTTCGTAAGGATTGCCGATGTATTCGGGCAAACAATAGCAAGAGCCGACCCCATTTTGCTCGAGGCAAACGGCGTTTGCTCCGCACGGGGACGGCTGGCAGGGTCGCGTTGGAATCGCTGGTACCGCTGGAAGGGCAAACACAAAATCATCTCTCGAATTCTCCATTTTGGTTCATCGATCCACCACCGATCACTTACGCGGCTTGGCAGTGCACTGAACGAAAGGATCTCCGGTGAAATCCCTCATGCAGGTGCACGCAGGCACGTGGTTCACCACGTGACATTCTGCGTTGGAGCCGCAGGAGCCTGGACAGGGGTCCCTGCACTTGCGATTGATGCAGGCCAGGTTGTTATTGCACTCGCTGTTACTGACGCACTCGGGTCTGCAGTTGGGAGGGGTGCCAATGAACTCTGCCTTGCAGGAGCAGGACGGTTGATTGTTGATCAGCTGGCAGACCGCGTTGGGACCGCACGGTGACGGCTGACAAGGGTTCGTGGGGGTCACGGGTTCCTCGGCTTCAAAATTTGTCGAACGATTAGATCGGTACCTAGCAGGCTGGGAGAGGCTCTCTTACGTCTTTGACACCTACGTCTGGGTACGCAACGGACGAAAGGATCTCCGGTGAAAACTGGAGGACAGCTGCAGATGGGATTGTGATTGATCACTTGGCAGCGGGCGGACACTCCGCAGGATCCAGGACACGGGTCGCTACACTTCAAGTTCACGCAAGCCTCGTTCAAAGGGCAATCGGTGTTGACCAGACACTCCGGTCGACACGCCGGAGGATTGCCTATGTAACCAGGGGCGCACGAGCAGACTGCCTGACCACTGAAGTCCTGGCACCTGCTGTTGGGTCCGCAGGGCGATGGGTTGCACGGTTCTACAATCTGTGGGTCTGGAACGCGACATCTTTCGTTATCCTGTTCGATAACTGATATGGACTGTCTGGCTCGTCAATTTACCTCTAACCGGGTAGCACGTGGTAAACGCGTTGCCAGTCATGCCATCTGGACAACTGCACATGGGAGTATGGTTGATCACCACGCATTCTGCGCTCTGACCGCACACGCCCATGCAAGGATCGAAACACTTGTTACGGTTGCAGGCTCTGTCCAGGGGACAGTCTGGGTTCTGGACACACTCTGGACGACATCCGTAGTAGGGGTCACCGTGGTACTCTGGCATGCACGTGCAAGTGCCGTCGCGACAAATCGCGTTCGCGCCGCAGGGCGATGGGTTGCAGGCGTCTTGTGGAGCTAGCGGTGAAGCTGTCGTAACAATTTCGTTAGAGCGATCGTTGATTTTCTGCGTTTGATTTGAGGGGGCATTCGGTTGGATATCATGGATTCTTTCGGTCAATGCGAGACATTTGTACATGTTTGCTTGTACAATAATTGACAGTTAAATTATAACAGAGTGCCCCCCCCCCCCACTGGAGACAATCAAAGAGATTCTTACGAGGAGTATCTACGAAACAGTTGACGAACGGATCGCCAGTGTAGCCCTTGGGGCAAGTGCAGACAGCCATATGGTTCACCACCAAACACTGCGCCCCTTGACCACAAGATCCTGGACATGGGTCAGTGCATCTCTGTCTCAAACAAGCTCTGTCGCTACCGCACTCGGAATCGATCGTGCACTCTGGTCGACAGTTCGGCGGGCTGCCTATGTAGTTCTCCATGCAGGAGCAGCTGGGCAGCTGCGTGTTGTCTAACATTCGACAGACGGAGAACGGACCGCAGGGCGATGGGACGCAGGGGTTCACGGGCTCCGCTACCACTGGCGCAAAACATTTCGATTAGTCCCGTCGCAAACATAAACCAGTCAGGAATTCGCTAACGTGCACTCACTTTCGAGTTTGAAACATCTCACGAAAGAGTCGCCGGTGAAGCCGGCATTGCAGCTACAGATCGGGCTGTGATTGATTGCCTCGCATCTGGCATTGATGCCGCAAATACCTGGACAAGGGTCCACGCATTTGCGGTTCTTGCACGCGCGATTCGTAGCGCAATCCGAGCTCACTGTGCACTCCGGTCTGCACATTGGCGGGGTTCCTAGGAATGTGGGTGAACAGGAGCAAATCGCTTGACCATTCGACACGCGGCACTGGCTGTTCAATCCGCAAGGTGACGGATTACAGGGGTCTGCTGGTCTCGCTGAAAACAGGTCTCTACATGTAGCCACATTTCTAGTTGTATGTATCTTATGCCTGAGTTTGTTCTTCCGGTAAGCCTACAGCGACTCACAAATTTATTTAGTGCAAGAAACTTGTTTATACTGCGACACTTCTCTGTACAAACAATGAGCAAAATATAAAATTATATATAAACGTTAATGATAGCGCATTCCGAAAGAATGTTATAGAAACAAGCCACAGAAATGATTAACATTTCTTGAACAATTTCTGAATTCAATTTTTACTGAACAAATCCGTGAGTCACTTTATTTAACCCTCTATTTGCATTCTGAATGTAAGGGCTGCTAAAATAGATGAAAAGATTATAAAAGACTCTCAGGCTACGATCTTGTTTGGTCACTTACGTTGTTCTTGAATGATATTGCACTGGGTGAACGCGTCCCCAGTGAATCCTGCCTGGCAGGTGCAAAGGGGCGCATGATTTACCACCTGGCAGACAGCGTTGTAGCCGCAGAAACCAGGGCAAGGATTCTGACATTTCGATCTGACGCAGGCTCTGTCTGCCGTGCAGTCTGAGTTGATGACGCACTCTGGTCGACAACCTTCGTAAGGGTTGCCGACGTAATTAGGCAGACACGTGCAGGAAGCAGCGCCGTTTTGTTCATTACACATCGCGTTCGAGCCACATGGGGACGGGACGCACGGTGTGGGTTTCTTTGTCGTGTCTTCGATCGCTACGGAGACATTTCTTTTAGTAATCGAACTTGATAATCACTATACAGGGTGAAGAAAATAACTTGATCACATTAACACAAAATGAACGACGAAAATGAAACGGCTCAATCAACGCACCGATTGAACGGTAGAAATTAAACAAAATGTGAACAATGTATTTAGTGAAACAAAGTGACCTTGAACTGTCGAGGAACGCGATGTCGAGATCGATTTTCTGTTTACCAAAGTGTCCGCCTATTTGGGCCAAGTATTGTCTTCGTCTAACATTGTCCTCTATCGTATGAAGTGAAATTAAAGCTGATTGAGATGTTCAAAGTGATCGAGCCACGTTGTTCACCCTGCATCGTCGCTTCCTCGGCTGCGCCACAGCTTACCTGGCCTAGGAAGACACTGTACGAACGGATCTCCCATGAAACCGAGAGAACAGACGCACATGGGTGTGTGGCTGATCACTCGGCACTCGGCATTAGCGCCGCAGGATCCGGGACAAGGGTCGCGACATTTCTGATTGATGCAGGCCAGGTGGGTGGTGCACTCGCTGTTGCTTATGCACTCCGGCTTGCAGTTCGGAGGGGATCCGAGGAACTCGGGCAAGCACGAGCAGGAGGGCGAGTTGTTAATCACCTGACAGCGGCTGTTTGGACCGCAGGGTGTCGGTACGCAGGGGTTCAGGACTGGCGGCTCTTCTTCTGTTCAAGGGAATAGAAAAGATTAACAGGTCGCATCGTTAGGGAATGGGAAAGATTAACAGGTCGCACTGGAATTTCATTCGTCGAGATTGTCTACTCACGTCTCCTGATACACATCGTGAACGGGTTGCCAGTCAGGTCCGGAGGGCAGCTGCAGATCGGGTTGTGGTTCACTACCACGCAGTCTGCTCTGATGCCGCATGTGCCGGGACAGGGGTCAATGCACTTTTGGTTGTTGCAGGCCATGTCGCTGGGACAGTCGGAACTGAGGATGCACTCTGGTCTACAGTTAGGCGGGGTGTCTAGGTAGCCGGGTATGCAAGAGCAGACAGCTTGGTCGTTTATCTTTCTGCACTGACTGTTCGGTCCGCAGGGTGTCGGGTTGCACGGATCTTGGGGCGCTTGTACTGTTCAAAGATTCAGGAGAATTAAATGACGAACGTTTCTGGAACGTCGCGCCGATAGAAACGTATCGGCTGGATCGTACCTTGCATCGTGGAGCAAACTACGAACGCGTTTCCAGACGTTCCCGGTGGACAAGTGCAAACTGGGACGTGATTCACGACAGAGCACAAAGCGTTCTGCCCGCAAGTTCCAGCGCAAGGGTCGTTGCATTTGTTCCTGATGCAAGCTCTGTCTCTCGGACAGTCCGGGTTCAACACGCATTCCGGACGGCAGCCTAATAACGGGTCTCCTCGGTACTCGGGCAGGCAGGTGCAGACGCCATTGACACATTGGGCGTTTGTTCCGCACAAGTCGCATGTGTCCACGGGTTGCTCCACGGGGACTAATTGTTTCAAGGTGGAGAACGTACAATGAATCATAGAGCAAGATCTCGGGACAATGATGAGGCCAGTTTGACATCTTTCTATCGTACCTATAGCGGGAGAACATCTGACGAAGGAATCCCCGGTGAATCCTTCGGGACAAGTACAGATAGGTGTGTGGTTTATCACCGAACATTGGGCTCCTAATCCGCAGACTCCTTCGCAAGGGTATCGACACTTCCTCTGGATGCAAGCTTGATTACTAGGGCACTCCGAGTTTCGGATGCATTCTGGTCTACAGTTCGGCGGAGTTCCTGAATAGTCTGCTAGACAGGCACAGGAGGCCTGGCCGTTTACGTCTCTACAATCGGAATAGGGTCCACAGGGTGATGGTACGCAAGGGTTCGCGTACGATGGAACTGTCTCCGGTTTTACCGCTGGAATAGACGTTCGTTTAGAAAATGTTATCTTCAGGGAACTTCCGCATGAATTAATTAAGGGGACTGAATAATGACGGTATCGAAGGTGAAGAAGACATTGTCAGGGACTTACTTGGCATCTCGAAGCAAGCGACAAGGGGATCGCCGGTGAACCCAGACTGGCACGCGCATATGGCGTTATGGTTGATCGTTTCGCACCTAGTGTTCGAGCCGCAGGATCCAGGACAAGGGTCTCTACACTTTTGATTGATGCAGGCCATCTTAGGGGCGCATTCTGCGCTGATCGTGCACTCCGGCCTGCACGCGGGCGGGCTACCAATGAATTCGGGTAAACAGGAACAAACAGACTGTCCGTTGATGGCCCTGCACTGACTGTTGGGTCCGCAGGGCGAGGGATTGCAGGGTCTACTGATTGTCTGATCGACATCTACAAACAGGTTGTCGGTTGTCACGTTTTCCATAAAACCATCCGTCGCGTGGATCGCTACTGTACCTGGCTGGACTGGCGAGCAAAGGACAAAGGCATTGCCGGTGTGTCTGGGGAAACACTCGCAAACGGGTAGATGATTGATAATATGGCACTCCGCGTTGCGGCCGCAAGTTCCTGGACAGGGATCCCTGCACCTATTGTTCATGCACGCTTGATTCGAGGGGCAGTCGGAGTTCAGGAGACACTCGGGTCGACAGCCTTCGTAGGGGTTGCCGATGTAACTCTGAACGCAGGTGCACGAGCCTGCGCCGTTCTGCTCCTTGCAGACCGCGTTGGAGCCGCAGGGGGATGGATTGCAGGGGACAACGGGCGCGGGCATGGTCACAGCTGTAAAATTTGGCCATCGAACAAACGAGAACGCAGGAAAAATGCTGTTAAAACGATCGCGGGGATTCGGTGGCTCTTACGTTCTCTAAGGACACACTGGGTGAACGGATCTCCGGTGTACCCGGCCAGACAGGTGCACATGGGGGTATGGCTGACGACGTAACAGTTAGCGTCGCTGCCACAGGATCCGGCGCAAGGATCTCGGCACTTCTGACCGATGCAAGCTAACTGGCTCGCGCATTCGCTGTTACTGACGCACTCCGGCCTGCAATTCGGCGGGCTCCCCGAGAATCCTGGCGTGCACGAGCACGAGGGCGAGTTGTTAATCACCTGACACTGGGAGTTGGGACCGCAGGGCGACGGCTGACAGGGATCTACCACCGGCTCCTCGACTGCAACGAATCAGATATCACGTTGCTAACGATCGTTCGATTAGAACGGGACCTGAAAAAGGAGTCATCAACTCTTACAGAATGGTATGCACTGAACGAAGGGATCTCCGGTGAATCGCAACGGGCAATTGCACAGGGGATTATGGTTGACGATGTTGCACTCGGCTCCGATGCCGCAGGTTCCTAGACAAGGGTTTATGCAGCGTTGGTTGCTGCAGGCTTCGTTCTGCGGGCAATCGGTGCTGACTATGCACTCGGGCCTACACGTGGGCGGGCTGCCCAGGTAGCCCCGAATGCACGAGCACACCGCCTGTCCATTGACAACGCGGCACTCGCTATTCGGGCCGCAGGGTGTCGGGCTACACGGATTAGTGGGTGTCATATCTAACGAACAGAAAAACAGTTACAACGCTTCGCTTGTCGGGCGCATGCTGACATCGGGCTGGATAAATACCTTGCAGAGGGGTGCACTGACTGAACGCATTGCCCGTCATGTTTCCGGGACAGCTGCACATGGGGACGTGATTGATAACAGTGCACATGGCGTTGAAGCCACAGGTGCCCTGGCAAGGGTCCACGCACTTGTTGCGCGAACAGGCTCGGTCGCGGGGACAGTCTGTGTTCAGAACGCATTCGGGTCTGCATCCTAGATAGGGGTTCCCTTGGAACTCTGGCATACACGCGCAAACGCCCCTCGAGCATTCCGCGTTCGGGCCGCAGGGTGACGGGACACATTCGTCTTTCTCTGGTCTTGGTGGAGCTGCAACGTGAAACGGTCAGTAAAATCCAATTGGCGATTTGATCCGCGAATGTTGCTTCAAGAGGGCTAGGCACCTTTGAAATCTTCGTCCGTTAAATTAATTCAGAAGAAAGCTAATCGAAAAGAATCTATGTTCACGGTCGGGTCAAACGTAATCGATACGGCAGGGATCAAGGAATTGCTAACTCTTTAAAAGGGGGCCTGTGGCGGGGTAATCAAAGGTAACTAACCCTCTCGAAGTTCGTTCCGGAGAGGTTCTAGGGTTCTTACGTGTAGCCGGTAACAACTGGCACAGGGTGAACGGGTTCCCGGTGAAACCCTCGGGGCAGTTGCACACGGGAATGTGATTCATAACTGCGCAGAGGGCGCCGGAACCGCAGGAGCCAGGACAGGGGTCCCTGCACTTCATGTTGATGCATGTCAGGTCGCTCTGGCACTCGGAGCTGATCGTGCACTCGGGCCTACAGTTCGGTGGTTGGCCAGTGTAGCCCTCCAAGCAGGTGCACGCGGGTGATCCGCGAACGTTTCGACACTGGGCGAAATTGCCGCAGGGGGATGGCACGCAGGGGTCAGTCTCCATCAGACTTGGGATCGTGACAGCTAGAAATTGCGAATATAGGACATGCATAACTTGGTGTTTGCGCGGCAGTTCGACCGGAAACGGATCTCGAGGCTTACGTGGGACGGGTCCGCAGGTGGTGAACGGGTCTCCGCTGAATCCGGGCATGCAACTGCAGATGGGGCTATGGTTCACGACAATGCACTTGGTGTTCAAGCCGCAGGGGCTGGGACACGGGTTCACGCATTTGTAGTCCGTGCAGGCGAGCTGCGTGGGGCATTCGGAGCTAGCGACGCATTCGGGTCTACATCCAGGCGGGGTGCCGATATAAGTGGGCAGGCAAGAGCACACGGCTTGGCCTGACACCTCTTTACACTGGCTGTTTGGCCCGCAGGGTGACGGACTGCACAGATTCACTTTCACGGGGACCGCTAAACAGTGAAAGGTTTGATCGTCACACAACCGTTCGTCTTTAGCACCGTTCGATACATGAAACTTCTGGAACACGTTTCTAATTGATTTGATCGTTTTTATCGTTTCAATGAAAATTACGTGAGACGTTGTTCTTTGAAAAATATTCGATATATATCTCTTCAGCCTGCATAATTGGGGTTCGAAATCTATTTATTGAGATATCTCGGAAACTTTTAAATTTTGAGAATTGTTTCGGGCCCTCAACATCGTGGCATCTTTTCACTTTTTCAACGCGAAGAGCTATTAGAATTGTCCAACGGAAGCTAAAAATCCGGAAGAAAATTGAAGGTCGTCGAACAGCGCGATTAGCTTCCTCGAGGATCGAACTTACTATCCATGGTGCAGACAACGAACGGGTCGCCGGTGAACCCTGCCCGGCAGTTGCAGAAGGGCTGATGGTTAACGACAGTGCACTCTGCGTTCTGGCCGCAGGTTCCGGGACAGGGGTCTTGGCATTTGTTTCGCACGCACATGCGGTTCGACGGGCAATCAGGATTAACCACGCACTCGGGTCTACAGCCTACGTAGGGGTTGCCGACGTACTCGGGAGGACAATAACAAACCCCGGTACCGTCCCGTTCTCTGCACAACGCGTTGGTGCCGCATGTGCCTTCCGTACAGGGCGAGGGTTCCGGCTCACGGACTAGAACAATGCAAAATTCATGATTAGTCCGCGTCTTCTCGGCGATCTTCGCTGTGCTCTTTGTCGTGCTTACTTATGGCGGAGCAACGCGTGTACGGGTCGCCGGTGAGACCGTTCGGGCAAACGCAATGGGGTACGTGGTAGACCACGTGACACTCCGCACTCTCTCCACAGAGACCTGGACAGGGGTCCCTGCACTTTTGCTGCACGCAGGTTTGGTGGCTGGGGCACTCGGAGTTGGCTATGCACTCGGGTCGGCAGTTGGGCGCAATCCCTTTGTACTCGGGCAAGCAGGTACACGATGGGGAGTCATTGACTACTTGGCATTGAGAGTATGGGCCGCAAGGTGATGGTTGACAGGGGTTCGTGGGCACTATCGTATCTCCTATACAAAATCGATAGTAAGTTTTCAGGATATCACCCTCGAATCTGGAGAATTCGTTCGTGGATCGTTGGGGAAAGGTCCGCGTGTGAGAAACGCTGTCACACGCGATGTCTTAAACCCACCCTAATTTCATCGCCATCGATTCAATGATGCGACTGACTTGGCGCGGAATGGCTCTTACACATTCGACTTTCCACAAGATCCACGAAGACCATGTGTCTCATTCTCTTACTGATCATGTCGCATCTGATGAACGGATCCCCGGTGTACCGTTCCGGACAGTAGCAAGTGGGGTTGTGGTTGACCACCGAGCATCTGGCTAAGATGCCGCAAGTGCCAATGCAAGGGTCCCTACACTTCTGGTTCACGCAAGCCTGGTTCTTCGGGCAATCGGAGCTGACAACGCACTCTGGCCTGCACAGAGGCGGGGTTCCCAGGTATTCTGGTGCACAAGTGCACACAGCTTGGTCGTTGACCTCTCTGCAGACGCTGTTGGGACCGCAGGGGGATGGGTTGCAAGGTCTGGTCGTCGAGGGAGCTGCAGTTCAACGGTTCAGGGGTTGTCAAAAGTGTTCGAATCGACTGTGCGTCCTATAAAACGCGAGTTGTGTCTACCTTGCGCAGGTGAACAAAGGATCAGAGCGTTTCCTACGGTGTTGGGAGGGCAACTGCACATGGGGATGTGGTTGATCGCTCTGCAGCTTGCACTTTGGCCGCAAGCTCCGGGGCAAGGGTCGATACACTTGTTCCTTATGCAAGCTCTGTCGTTTGGACAGTCCGCGTTCAGCACGCATTCGGGTCGGCAGCCTACGTAAGGATTGCCGGAGTATTCTGGCAAGCAAGTGCACACGCCGTTGCTGCACTGTGCATTGGGACCGCAAGGGGAGCTGCTGCATGGGTCCGCGACAGGCTCGTCTCCTGTTTCGTTCGTTAAAATCGTTAGTAAAAGTCCCGGTCGATTAGATCTCGAAAGTTCTCGACTCTCTAGCTTACTGATTGGTTTCGGCTGGCAAATGCTGAAAGGATCGCCAGTGTAACCCTCCAGACAGGTGCAAATGGGGACATGGTTGTGGACAGCGCAGACACTGTTCAAACCACAGGATCCAGGGCAAGGGTCTTGGCATCTCTCGCGGATGCACGCTTGGTTTCTCGGACAGTCGTCGTTGATTACACACTCTGGCCGACAGTTTGGTGGGGCGCCGATGTAATTGATTGAACAGGAGCAGGAGGGAGAGCCATTTATGTTTCTGCATTGGGAGTTTGGACCGCAGGGCGAATTCAGGCAGGGATCGACTGGTATGTCCACAACGGGGGCAGCTAAAATCGAATGTTTAGATTAATCTGTCGCTGAGCGTGCATCGATTCATTTAATTCTCGTACGCTCCTCAGAAATGTGCACAAGATCTTAAATTTATAGTTCACCGATTTTTTATTTGGACTCTAAATCGTCAAATCGGGTTCCAATGATATTGAGTTGGCAAGAAAGTAATTTCGATGTTTCAATGTGAAATAAAACTTAATTTTTAAAAAATTATAATCCTAACAGAAGAATGGCAGTACAAGCATAACTATCTATTGGTGCAAACCGAAATTACTTTCTTGTCATCCAATAGTTTCTGATTTCGAAGGAATGCATCTGGCAACAGAAACCGAAAGAAATCGAACAATTCACAAAGTCTAGGAACAATCACTATTCCGAGGATCGTATGAAGATTAAACTGACCGAAGATTGTTTTGTGTGTGTAAATTGTCTTACGTGGATTGAAGAAACAATAGGTAAAGGGGTCGCCGGAGAAGCCTGGCTTGCAAGAGCATACGGGACTATGGTTGACGACTCTGCAGGTGCTTTGTTGGCCGCAGGAGTTAGGACAGGGATCGATGCACTTATTGTTCCTGCAGGCGGTGTTCAAAGGACACTCGGTGCTGACGGTGCACTCCGGCCTGCAATTAGGCGGCGCACCGGTGTAACTCGGTAAGCAAGAGCACGTAGCTTGACCGTTCGATTCTCTGCATTGACTGTATGGCCCGCAGGGCGACGGTTCGCACGGATTGGCGAGAGTCGGGTCCGGTACTGTAACCGGGTTAATCGTTAACACCTGCACCGATTACTGTACGCTTCGCGCTTTAGAATCGATCTTACGTGGTTCTCTCAAGGGATTGCAGTACACGAAAGGATCTCCCGTGTACCGTTCGAAGCAGCTGCAAGTGGCAGCGTGATTGACAACGAAACACTGTGCGTTTTGGCCGCAAGTTCCCGGGCAAGGGTCCCTGCACTTGGATCTGATGCAAGCCTGATTGGACGGACAGTCTGAGCTGAGCGTGCATTCTGGCCGGCAGCCTTCGTACGGGTTGCCTATGTAGTCGGTCTGGCAAGTGCAGGCCGCTGCATTTTGCTGCACTTGGCAGAGCGCGTTCGCTCCGCAGGGTGACGGGTTGCAGGGGTCTGGTCTGGGGACTTGAACGTCGACTGTAAGAGCAAAAACGCGACTCAGTGGTGACATTTGAATGACTCCGCTGTACTAAAAATCGATTCAAAAGATAAATGATTCAGCTGGAAATTATAAGAAATACCGAATAATATATGTCAAATAATTCTCTGAATCCTCGAATGAACGTTATCAATTCTTACACTGCTGAGGCGAACACTGTGCGAAAGGATCCCCAGTGTACCCGCCCATGCAAGCGCACATCGGCGTGTGGCTGACGACGTTGCAGACCGAGTTCGCTCCGCAAGCGTTCGCGCAAGGGTCTCGACACCTCCGATTGACGCAAGCGAGCCGATTAGGGCACTCGCTGTTGCTGACACACTCTGGCCGACAGTTTGGCGGCGAACCGACGTATTCTCTCGAACACGAGCAGGACGGTTGGTCGCTCACCACTTGGCAATCGGCGTTCGGCCCGCAGGGGGATGGCTGGCAAGGGTTCACAGGGGCCACTGGTCTCGCGGCTTCAAGGTTCGAAGAGGTTCGTTAGTCTCGGTGTTCTTGGGGAACAAACTCGCATTTTAATCTGGGCTTGCTTACGCATCGGGTAGCATCTGACAAACGGATCGCCGGTCATCCTCTCGCGGCACACGCAAATCGGATTGTGATTGACGACGTTGCAGTCTGCGTTCAGGCCGCAGGTGCCGACGCAAGGGTCTCGACATTGCTGATTGGTGCAAGCCTGATTCAACGGACAGTCCGAGCTGACTGTGCACTCTGGTCTACAGGTGGGCGGACTGCCGAGGTAACCGTCCACGCAAGAACAGACCGCTTGATTGTTGTTCTGTCTGCAGCGGCTGTTTGGACCGCACGGTGAAGGGTTGCAAGGGTCACTGGCCGTCACTGCTACAAATTCGTCGGGATTTATTGCGGAATGGAAGCTTGATCCATCTCGAGCTGACTTTGGTTATTTGCATTGGTGAGAAGCATACCTGGGGCAGGGGAACAGAGCACAAACGCGTTTCCTGACATGCCGGATGGGCAACTGCACATCGGGACGTGATTAAAGACATTGCATATTGCGCTTTGTCCGCAGATGCCCGCGCAGGGATCCACGCATTTGTTTCGGACGCAGGCTCTTGATGTTGGACACTCGTTGCTTAGCACGCATTCCGGTCTGCAACTACTGTACGGGTCGCCGAAGTACTCGGTCAGGCAAGTGCACACACCGTTGGCGCATTCGGTGTTCGAGCCGCAGGATGCGCAGGGGTCGGTTTCGATCGGACGATCTAGGGGGAAGTGTGGTAGTTTAGATTGCATTCGGATGTCTTGGCACCTGCCTTGTGCGATCCAATATTCGAAAGTTTGTTAACGTAAGCATAAAAGAAACTTGAATTGAAGAGATCTATATTGCAGTTCTTTCCTAATTTCTTTAATAAATTGACAATTAAGTAATCTGAGAGGCGTTTTACTAATCTTAAACATTGCTTAAACATCTGTAACGATGCCGAAATGTGCGTTGCTATAATTTTAATAGAAAGGTGCGTACGCCTTGCACGGCTGAAGCACAAAATTCCTTCGAAAGAGAACACATGATTTCTTCGGTGTACTGAGTTATCAAAATTTCGATTATCGGAATACGCAAGAAGAGGTGATTTCTCGGACACTGTAATCGTCGCTAATCTTACATTCCAGGGAACAGCTAGTGAATGGATCCCCAGTGAAACTAGGCAGACAGGAACAAATCGGGACATGATTGACTACGCTGCACTCGGCTCGGAAACCGCAGGATCCGGGACACGGGTCTCTGCATCTCTGCTGCATGCAAGCCTGATTCGCAGGGCAGTCTGAATTTATGGTACACTCCGGTCGACAATTCGGTGGACTTCCGGTGTACGTTGCCAAACAGGAGCAAGAGGGAGCTCCGCCAATGTTTCGACACTCTGAATAAGCGCCGCACGGGGACGGGATGCAAGGATCTTTGGGTATTCGATCGTTTTCAACCGGTGCTGTCACTAAAATTGTCAAATTGTCGGAATTATATCGCTCGTCAAAATTTGAATTCACTATTGATCCTTTGTCGATCTTGCGCAGTGTTCAGGTCAGTTGCATAGATCGCAAAACAACTCTTTGAAATACAAATTTTCCATTTTAATTAAATGTCATCTTGAAGCCAATTTAATTCGGAGAACATCGATGCAACAATTTCCTGAACAATGCGTCGGGGTCGGGATAATACTCACATGGAACTGAGAAACAAATGGTGAACGGATCGCCGGTGTACCCGTTCATGCAACTGCAGAGAGGTGCATGATTGATGACTCTACAGTTCGTGTTCTGTCCGCAGGACGCGGGACATGGGTTCACGCATTTCTGGTTCACGCAAGCCCTGTCCGTGGGGCATTCCGAGCTTGCAACGCATTCTGGTCGACAACCTGGCGGTGTGCCAACGTATGTAGCGAGACAGGAGCAAACTGCTACCTGATTGACCACTCTACATTGACTGTTTGGCCCGCATTGGGGTGTTGCGCAGGGATCGGTCGTCGCAACGTCGGAAACTAACGAAAAATTTTATCAAATAACTGCTGGTTGACAAGATACTGTCATCCTACAAGTAACGCGAATTTCTCGGATTCTCAGCTGAATCTTAAAGAATACGACAAGAATTTCGGGTTAATTATAGGACGACCCGATGAAACGATCGATACACGATCATCCTAACTTACCAGCCGGCTGAACAGTGCAATATCGATAAGGATCGCCGGTGTAACTGGGATAGCAAGAACAAGAAGCTCGGTGGTTAATAACATTGCATTCCGCGTTCGTGCCACAAACTCCGGGACAGGGATCGACGCACTTCGAGTTCACGCAAGCTCTAGTGGCCGAGCAATCTGAGTCTAAGACGCATTCGGGCCTGCATCCTTCGTAAGGATTTCCCGTGTATCCGGACAAGCAGGTGCATGCACCCACGTCGTTCCTCTCGGTGCATTGCGCGTTGGGTCCGCAGGGCGAGGGCAAACAGGGATTCACTCGTTCCTCTTCGACTAAAAGTAACGATGCTTGCCATTATGAAATTGATATTCATACTTCAAGCGAATTGTGATGCCAAGAGACAGCGTTGGGTCGCAGTGAGAATTTATGTTCATTTCGTTCTTTCACTTCGTCTAAATTTTTTCTTTCGATAGAAATGATTTTTGTCAACCACATAAAGATATGCACGCGCGCGTCGCTATAATTAATAATACAATTAATAAAATTCTCCTTTCTGAATTCTGCATTTCTGAAGAATCGGAGTAAGAGAAAATGTTCATTCGCTAACTAGAATAAAATTAAAAAATGAAATGAAATTCCATGAAATTCCACAGCGATCCAACGCAAATCGAAAGCGAAAAAAATTCGAAATTCTTACTGGGCCTGATCGAGCACTGTACGAACGGATCTCCGGTGAAACCGGATTCGCAGTAGCACATTGGAGTGTGACTGACAGTGCGGCAAAGTGCGTTAGTACCGCAAGAGCCGACGCAAGGATCCCTGCACTTTTGATTCACGCAAGCTTGGTTGCTCGCGCATTCGCTGTTACTGATGCACTCGGGTCTGCAATTCGGCGGAGCACCGACGAAACTCGGCAAACAAGTGCAGGACGGGGAGTTTCCTGTGATCTGGCATTGAGAATTCGGTCCGCATGGCGAGGGTTGGCAAACGTTCACCGGTTCTTGAGGCCGCGAGGCTATAAATGTTATCGTACGAATATTTAATCCCGACATCAATTATTATCGTGGATCGATACCGACAGTGGTCACGGGACAACACTGATGAAAACTTACGAAGTGGAATACACCGAATGAAGGGATCCCCCGTAAATTCCTCAGGGCAGTGGCATATGGGATTACGATTAGCGACAGTGCATCGAGCACCTAATCCACAAGTTCCGATGCAAGGGTTCCTGCACTTCTGATTGGTGCAGATCTCGTTCGGCGGACAATCGGAGCTGACGATACACTCGGGACGACAGTTCGGCGGGTTTCCAAGGTAGCCTGGTACGCAGCTACAGATTGCCTGACCGTTGTTAGCGCGACATTGACTGTTCGGTCCGCAGGGTGACGGAGTACACGGAGAGGATGGTACATCGGCTATTGGAAGATCATTAGCAACGTAAACCTCACAATCTTCTTGGGAAAGTTCAGGAAAATAATGACTGCGATTATTACCTAGGGCAGGGCGACAGAATGTAAAAGCATTGCCTTCGAAACCGGCCGGACAGCTGCACATCGGCACATGATTGACTACCGTGCACAGAGCACCGTTCGCACAAGTGCCCAGACAAGGGTCTTCGCACTTGTTCCTAACGCAGGCTCTGTCACGGGGGCAATCGTTGTTCAAGACGCATTCTGGTCGACAACCTATGGTCGAATCTCCAAAGAATCCGGACAGACAGGTACAAATGCCGCTGTCGCATTGGGCGTTCGGGCCGCACGGCGACGGGTTGCAGAGATCTACCTCAGCTGGCTCGACTGGTCACAGAAAGTTTAAGGGATCAGGTCTAGTTTCTTCGGGCTGGCTCTACGTCGACTTGCAAACTCGAAGTTTGTTACTTGAGAATTCTTAGCTACTTACTGGCAGTGATCTTCTGATCGCAACGACTGAAAGGATCACCGCTGTACCCTTCGATGCACGAGCATATGGGCACGTGATTGAACACCGAACACTGAGCATTCAGACCGCAAGAGCCTGGACAGGGGTCTCTGCACCTTTCGCGGATGCATGCTTGATTACTGGGACACTCCGAATTAATGGTGCACTCTGGCCTGCAATTCGGCGGACTGCCGCGGTACTCCGGCAGACAGGTGCAAGCTGGAGTTTGCCTTACGTTCTGGCAGATCGCGTTTGCACCGCATGGCGACGGCAGACACGGGTCTCTTTGCGGTGGCAAGGGTTCTAGAGACGTTTCTGAGAAGCGTAATCGAAGATCAGGATACAGAACACCGTTAAGAACGAAAGAGGCTGTAACTTATAGAGGATGTGCTTCGTACCAGGAGCTCGGAAGCAGGCAGTGAAAGGATCTCCGGTGAATCCGTCGTTGCAGAAGCAAATCGGGCTATGATTGATGATCCTGCAGTTGGCGTTCACGCCGCAGGAATTTGGACAGGGGTCCCTGCACTTTTGGTTCACGCAGGCACGAGTCAGAGGGCATTCTGTGCTGACCACGCACTCGGGTCTGCAATTTGGCGGACTGCCTACATATGCAGACAGGCAGGTGCATACCGCTTGGTTGTTGTTCACGCGGCATTGGCTGTTAGGGCCGCAGGGTGATGGATTGCAAGGGTCTACTACTTGCGTGTCTTCTAAAAGAGCGGAGGGTTACGAAAATCTCTGGATTAGGTTTCCGTTCGAGCCTACAGTTCGAAGATTGAGTCACCAGATTAATACATGTAACACCGTTGTGGAATAATTTAATTCTGACACTACTCCAGCGAAAGATTCGCCAAAAACGACCTAGCTTGTCCTGAGTTTAACACTAAGCCTACCCATGTCGGTCAGAATGACCGGCTTCAAATATTTGTTGCTAAAGTTGCTGAATTTGTAAAGATATACATTTCTACTTTGAATACTTTCATACATTATAATAAAAATGGCGTAACAGGCGTTAAGGTTTACACCGTCAAGTTCGTCAATCTTCTCAAATTTCATCGAAAGTCGAACTCTTACGATTCACTGGTCTCAAACTGCAGAATCTGAACGGGTCCCCGGAGTATCCTTGAATACACGAGCACATGGGAACATGGTTCACCGCGTTGCAAACTGCATTCTGACCGCAGGCACCCGGACAGGGGTCCTGACACTTCGATCTGACGCAAGCTAGGTTCACAGGACAGTCGGAATTGACGAGGCACTCTGGCCTACAGCCCTCGTAGGGGTTGCCGATGTAATCGGGCAGGCAGGAACAGGTGCCTGCATTTCCCGACACCCTGCACACTGCGTTCGCGCCGCACGGCGACGGAGTGCACGGTGCTGGTCTCTCGTCTTCGACTGAAGAATGGATAACATCGATTTAACAAGAGGAACGTCAGGGAACGGAAAAGGTTCGTGCGGATTTCCGACGCTTCCGAACTTCTGAGTTCCGTTAGTAAAGACCTCCGCGGACAGTAATTTCAAACATCAGGTTTACGACCCGACGGAACAACTTAGCGTCAAGGTTGTCGTCGACAGATAAATCGCACGAACCTTTTCAAGATCCTGCTTCTTGGATCCTGCTACTTACTAGGGACAGGAGTGCACTGGACGAACGGATCGCCAGTGAACTCTGACCTGCAGGAGCAAATTGGGGTATGACTGAACACGCTGCAATCAGCGTTGGCTCCACATAGACCAGGACAAGGATCTCTGCACTTCTGGTTGATGCACGCTTGTCGAATAGGGCATTCGCTGTTGGTGACGCACTCGGGTCTACAATTTGGTGGTGAACCCGAAAATTCTGGCAGACAGGTGCACACGGGAGCTTGGTTCACGACCTGACACTGGGCGTTTGGACCGCAAGGTGATGGGTAGCAAGGGTTCACCGGTGTCTGAGGCTGTTCGACTGGGGGATTAAGTGAATTCACAAATTAGGAATCTTTCTGCACCGTGTTTTGTCCATTTTAGAACGTGGAATCGTTTGGGAGGAGTTTCTCACCTATGGCAATGCAACTGGTGAACGGATCGCCGCTCATACCGGACGGACATCTGCAAATGGGATTGTGATTCACCACGGAGCACTCGGCCCTTAGGGCACAGGAACCTGGGCAAGGATCTCTGCATTTCTGGTTGATGCACGCTCTAGACAGTTCGCAGTCTGTGCTGACGACGCATTCTGGTCTACAAGTTGGAGGATTCCCAGAGAAACCCTCTACGCACTTGCACACTGCGACGCCGTTCACTTCTTGGCAGTGGCTGTTAGGACCGCAGGGCGATGGGGAGCAAGGTCTCTGGGCTACCACTTCTGATAAGAGTAAAGAGGACTCGAATGAGAGATCATTCTGAGAAAGAGCACCGAGTTGTCTCAAAAATTAGTTTCGGATTCAATGATGTGCGCAATGGTTCAGACCAGTATTCCGAACAAGTAAATGGCATAGTTAAATAAGTGAAGGCTTAGCTGTTGATAGTACCACGAAAAGAATCTTTGGGACAACCTGATATTTTAATTAACTCTTTCTGATGTACCCTGCACTGGAGAACAAGAGACGAAAGCGTTCCCGGACATTCCCGCAGGACAGCTACACATCGGCACGTGGTTTATGGTTTGACACTGCGCATTTTGACCGCAGGTGCCTATGCACGGGTCGATGCACTTGTTCCTGGAGCAGGCTCTGTCGCGAGAACAGTCGTTGTTCATGACACACTCGGGTCGACAACCCGAGTATGGGTCTCCCTGGTACTCTGGGAGACAGGAACAAGAACCGTCGCGACAGAGAGCGTTTGAACCACACGGTGATGGGTTGCAGGGGTCTGAGACTGGCTCCTCAGCTGTGTTCAAAGTATCAATCAAATTTAGTTGAGTTACGTTGACGTTCCCATTTTGGACTCTTCAGTTTCCTCTAAAGGGTTATGCTCAGCATAGGAAGCGGGAACGTTCTCTAACATTTTGTTTTCTGTACAAAGTATTATAGTTCGACTTTCGACACTTCCCCAATTCCTGTCCCGACCATAACCCTCTAGTGCAAAGAGCGAATGATTAATTTCGGACGAAAGAAGGGTTCTCACAGATGCTGGGTCTCAAAACGCAGCTGCTGAAAGGATCCCCAGTGAATCCCTCTGGACAGGAGCAAACTGGAACATGGTTCATGACGCTGCATCTGGCTCCGAAGCCGCAGGATCCTGGACAAGGATCCATGCACTTCTCCCTGATGCATGCTAGAGCACTAGAGCACTCAGCATTGATGGTGCACTCCGGTCTACAGTTCGGCGGGGTACCGATGTAGGAAGGCGAACAAGAGCAAGATGGATTTCCTCCGATATTTCGACACTGGGAGAACGGGCCGCAAGGGGATGGCAGACAGGGGTCTTGTTGCGTGGGTGTCAGCGGCTCCGATGGTGGACCTGCGGGGTTCAGTCGTCAATCTACCGTGTCCTACATTTTTGGATGGCTGGCAGCGGAAACGTTGAATACGAACGTGGAGTAGGGAAGCAAATGGAGAACGCATCTCCGGTGAATCCTTGTTGGCAGGAACAAACGGGGCTATGATTAATGACTCTGCAATCGGCGTTCCTTCCGCAGGGATCTGGACAAGGGTTCGTGCACTTCTGATTGACGCAGACGCGGTTCGAAGCGCATTCTGCGCTCGCTACGCACTCTGGTCTGCAGCCAGGTGGAGAACCGAGGTACTCGGGTAGACAGGAGCAGACTGGCTGCCCGTTGACCTCTCTACAGACGCTGTTGGGTCCGCAGGGGGATGGCTGGCAGGGGTTGGCAAGACTCGGTGAAGTGACTATAGGTTGAGAGGTCAAACGATTTAGAATTTCATGGTAAGAGGAACCTAAGTCGTTATGGAAGATCGCGACGCTGGCGTACCTATATCTTCCTCGCGGCAGAATCTGAACGGATCTCCAGTGAATCTAGGCAAGCAGCTGCAAGTCGCCATGTGATTGATCACCTGGCAAACTGCATTCTGACCACAAGTGCCAGGACAAGGGTCCTCGCACTTGAAGCTGACGCAACTCTTGCTCGGGACACAGTCCGAGTTAAGGACGCATTCCGGTCGACAACCTTCGTACGGGTTTCCGGTGTATCCTGACGAACAGGAGCAGGATCCTACCCCGTTTCTGTCCCTGCAGAGAGCGTTCGCTCCGCAGGGGGATGGCGCGCAGGGTTTCGGGACGTATATCGGTATGACTGGAAGAAGAGGTCGATGAAAATCCGAAGATCTTACGATTTGGAAAGGAAACCAAAATCGCAATGAACGAGCTCTTACGTTGTTCCACGACACACTGAGTGAAAGGATCCCCGGTATAACCAGGCGAGCATGTGCACATGGGAGTGTGAGACACCACGCGACACACCGCATTCGTTCCACAAGATCCGGGACAAGGGTCCCGGCATTTCTGATTGATGCAAGCCATGTCGTTGGCGCACTCGTTATTGCTGACACACTCGGGTCTGCAGTTGGGTGGAGAGCCAGTGAACTCTGGTAGGCAAGAGCAGGATGGGGAATCGTTGACGACTTGGCACTGAGCGTTTGGACCGCAGGGTGACGGTATACACGGGTTTTCTCGAGGTGGCTCTTCCAACGCTGGAATTAAATCGTTTTGACAGCCTTGCTTTTCAAGCTCCGATATATGACCTAGAACTAGAAGGATCCTTACGTTTATCGACGCATCTAACAAAAGGATCACCGGTCAGACCCGAAGGACAATTGCAAAGCGGATTATGGTTCACCACTTGGCAAGTTGCCCTAATTCCGCAGGTGCCGACGCACGGATTACTGCATTTCTGATTGATACAGGCCTCCGTTGGCCCGCAGTCCGTGCTAAGTATGCACTCTGGCCTGCAGGTGGGTGGTATACCCATGAAACCGGGGATGCAAGTGCACACAGGCTGGCCGTTCACTTCTCTACACTGACTGTTCGGTCCGCAGGGTGTTGGGTTGCAGGGATTGGTCACAACTGGGTCTGTCGGGGGAACAAACTAATTATATCACCGAACAGAGCTCGAAAAGTACATTAGACAACTTTTCAGTACATTAGAAGAACTAGATATCTTTTTTTGAATGTCCAATTTGATCGAGATACGAACGTCCTAATTTTTTGAACGATGCCCAATGGTTAAACGAAACATAAGATCACATTTTTTGGAAAACGAAAAGCGACTGTTCCTCTCGATCTCTGTTTTCAACGATTTAATTAAGGAGAACTTCTATCTACCTCTGAACGGACTGCAGGATATGAACGCGTTGCCAGTCATGGCGACAGGGCAACTGCACATGGGAACATGATTGTACACGTCGCAGATTGCATTCTGGCCGCAGGTGTCCGGGCAAGGGTCCGTACACTTGTTGCGCAGACACGCTCTGTTCAGGGGGCAATCGTTGTTCAGGACGCATTCTGGGCGACAACCCACGTAGGGATTGCCCTGGAATTCTGCTAGACAGGTGCAGGCACCGTCGTTGCATTGCGTGTTCGAGCCGCAGGGCGATGGATTGCAGGGGTCCTCGGCTACTAGCACTTCAGCTACAATCGTGGTGCATTTTTAATATCAAGTATTTCATCAGAAGTATATTTGGAGTCTTTCGGAGCAAATCCTGGTACTTTGAGCACCGACCCTTATCGATTCCTCATATTTCCTAATTTGTTTCTTGATTAAAGTGACAATGAGTATAGAAGTGTAAAAAATGTCAATATAACAAAGTTGAAATAATAAATAGCTAATACAGAGGGTGCGCAGCTGCAATAGCTGCTGCACTTCTTCGAAGCAGTGAAATCAAACTGGCACGAGGAATGGATGAAGGTTGAAAATTCTGTTAAAACGAAAGGACTTGTTCAGTCGATGTCTTGTAAAGATCATGACGTAATTTCGAGACTTGAAATGTTGAATGTCTTTCGCAGAAAGTCCTCCAAAAGCATCGACATCGAAGGGACTCTAAACCATTTATCGAAGTCTTACGTGGAGCAGGAGAACAACTGGTGAAAGGATCGCCAGTGAAAGCCTCGATGCAGGTGCAAATCGGCAGGTGATTGAACACCGTGCACCTCGCCGCCACTCCACAGGAGCCGGGACAAGGATCTATGCATCTCTGCCTTATGCAGGCTCTGTCGCTGGGACAGTCTGTGTTTACTGTACACTCTGGTCTACAGTTCGGTGGGCTGCCGAAGTAATTAGCTAAACAGGAACAAGACGGGGCGCCACCAATATCTCGACACTCGGAGTAGGGGCCGCAGGGTGAGGGTACGCAGGGGTTCTGAGGTAGATCTGGTAACGTCGACAGCGCTGTGGGATGTTCAATCAGAATTAATAACGCCGAAGATATCCTGGAACCTGCGAATGCGACGAATAAGCTTGACTTACGTTGAAGCGGGAAACACCTGGTGAAAGGGTTGCCGGTGTTCCCGTCTTTGCAGGTACAAATGGGACTGTGGTTCACGACTAGACAGTTTGTGTTCTGACCACACGGACGTGGACAGGGGTTCACGCATTTCTGATTCACGCAGGCTCGGTTCGAGGGACAGTCTGAGCTTACGACGCACTCGGGACGGCACGAGGGAGGACTTCCGGTGTACTCGGGGAGGCAGGAACATACAGCATTACCGGAAACCACGCGACACTGACTGTTTGGTCCGCATGGGGATGGAACGCAGGGGTCTGTTGGATCTCTGACTATATCTGACGGAATAACAAACCGAGCGGAAACGTTAGAAAATTCTGTTTTCAGCGCTGCGTGCTTCAACTTGTTAACTGGGAAACATATAGTTCGGTATTCGGAATTGTAAGAGAATATGTTAAGCGAACTATTAGGAGAATTAGTATCGTACTCCATTCTTGCGATTCGATGCATTGCGAGATGAATTCTCAATGAATTCTCAAATGAAAAGTTTCCTAATTAACAGATTAAGAGAGCAACGGTGCTTATCGTATACTTTACCCGGTTCTCTAGCAACTTGGCAGAATCTGAACGGGTCCCCGGTAAACCCGGGGTTGCAGGAGCACGTGGGCGAGTGGTTGATCACCTGGCAGACAGTGTTCTGTCCGCAGGTGCCAGGACAGGGGTCTTGGCACTTGTTTCGAATGCAAGCGAGGTTCGAGGGACAGTCCGAGCTGACTGTGCATTCCGGCCGACATCCTTCGTAAGGATTGCCAATGTAGTCGGGCAAACAGGAACAAGAACCGACGCCGTCTTGCTCTTTGCAGACGGTGTTCGAACCGCAGGGAGACGGCGAGCATGGGGTGGACGGTCCTGGATGGAAAAGTGACACTGAACTATTGAAAATCACGCGAAAGTACTAACCCTTTGCGGACGAGGACTTCTTGACGCATTTTACAAAAATTTGACTTTGATGGACTGATGTGGCAATAGCCAAAAAAACTATGATTATTAATTATTCGTCCTCAAAGGGTTCATGGATCGAACCACAAGCCTTACGATTGTCGAACACCACGCATTGCGTGAACGGGTCACCCGTGAACCCATTGGAGCAGACGCACATGGGGGTGTGGCTGACAACGCGACACTCCGCATTCGCTCCGCAGGAGCCAGGACAAGGATCCCGGCACTTCTGGTTCATGCAAGCGAGATTACTGGCGCACTCGCTGTTGCTTATGCACTCGGGCCTGCAGTTGGGCGGGGAGCCGACGAATCCAGGCATGCAGGAGCAGGATGGGGAATCGTTCGTCACCTGACACAGGGCGTTCGGGCCACAGGGAGATGGTTTGCAGACGTTTATCACTGCTGGCGCGGTCTCCACTGAAAAGGGTTCAACAGCGATGCTTCAGGACTAGTACAAAGCTTGAGAAACTGTTTCGATTAGAATACCAGAGATAGGTCCTTACTGATTGGGTCACACTTCACGAAGGGATCGCCAGACATTCCAGGGGGACAGCTGCATACAGGGTTGTGGTTCGTGACCTGACACTGCGACCGAATGCCGCAGCTCCCTATGCAAGGGTTCACACACTTCAGGTTGTTGCACGCCTCGTTTCTGGGACACTCGGAACTGACTACGCATTCCGGCCGACAAGATGGCGGGCTTCCTAGGTATCCTTGGAGACATGTGCAGACCGGCTGATTGTTCACGGGACGACAGAGGCTATTTTGGCCGCAGGGAGACGGGTTGCATGGGGTTTCTGGGGTCACTTCTGAAGATGCAAAGGGAGATGTACTTGTTGGACTGGGCAAAAAGATGGAATAATCCTGTGCCGCGTCTTAATTAGCTGCTGCACAACAACTTATGTCAAAGTTATCGACAGGTTATCAAGTCGAAATGATCGACGATTACGTCTTGCGATCAGGTGACACAACAAAAGATCGATCGTTTTTCAAAACGTTCCACAACAACAATTTTGTTCGGCGACACCTAATTAGGACGCAGCTCTATCCGGATAGAAAATACTACCTTGCACCGGGTTGCACGTTACGAAAGCGTTCCCAGTCATCCGTTCAGGACAACTGCACATCGGGACGTGATTGAAAACATTGCAGACCGCGTTCTGGCCGCAAGTGCCAACGCAAGGATCGTTGCACTTGTTGCGAACGCAAGCGCGATCGAAGGGACAGTCCGAATTAAGGACGCATTCCGGTCGGCAACCCGCGTAAGGATCGCCCCTGAATTCCTGGAGACAGGTGCAGATGCCGTTGTTGCATTCCGCGTTCGCTCCGCAAGGGGACGGATTGCACGGGTCATCGGAAACCGGTTGTTCTAGAAGGTACAGTGGCAATGAACACGATGAAGTATTCCTGAAGAACAAGCTGCACTGAAACGGCAAGGACTATGCTTACGTTCGGGGGGCTTGGGGTTGCAACTGGTGAACGGGTCGCCAGTGTAACCCTCGATGCAGCTGCAGGTAGGCACGTGGTTCAGCACGCTGCACTGAGCGTACACGCCGCAGGAGCCTGGGCAAGGGTCTCTGCACTTCTCTCTGATGCAAGCTTGACTGGGAGGACAATCCGAGTGCACTGTGCACTCTGGCCGACAGTTAGGGGGGCTGCCAATGAAATTAGATAGACAGGAACAGGAAGGTATGCCGTTTACGTCGCGACACTCTGCGTTCGAGCCGCACGGGGAAGGGACGCAGGGGTTCGAAGGCGCCAACGATGTAGGAGGTTCTGAAAATAATGGCGATTGATTTGAGATGTTCGCAGAATCTTGGAGGAGCGTAGATAGTTGCGGGGAACAAGTCTCTCACCTGGCATAGGGAAGCAACGAGTGAACGGATCGCCGGTATACTTGGTTCTGCAGGCACAGATAGGACTGTGATGCACCACGTTGCACTCGGCGCCGAGGCCACAGGTGCCGGGACAAGGGTTCGCGCACTTTTGATTGATGCAGGCTAGATTGGATGGACACTCTGAGCCGACCACGCACTCCGGTCGGCAACCAGGTGGGTAGCCGCTGAAATTTGGCAGACAGGAGCAGACTGCCTGTTCGTTCACGACCTGGCAATTGCTGTTCGGCCCGCAGGGCGATGGGGAGCACGGATTTCGGTTTTCTTCGACTGGGGTTAGAAGAAATGCATCAGAATCTGAGTGAAATAACTGTCTGACTATTAGGTTGTTCTGAAATCAATTGCGTTTTTCGGACCTGTTGAGCGTTTGTGCAGCAGACATTTCTAATCATCATGTTCACCATCGGCTACATTTCTTTTTGTTCATCGAATGATGTAAAATATTTTGACCGGCATGATATCGTTCTAAGTAAAGCTACCCTCTTCGTACGAAAACGGCAATTCATTTTGGACAACCTAATAAACTCTGTGTCCGCTTACTGGCTTGCACAATTGGCTGACAGAACTGGTAGGGTTGGCCGGTGTAACCAGGGAAGCAAGTACAGGTCGGCAGGTGATTAACGACCTGGCACTCCGCGTTCGTTCCACAAGTACCGGGGCAAGGGTCCTGGCATTTAGAACGTATGCAGGCACGAGTCGGCGTGCAATCGGAGTTTATAACGCATTCTGGGCGACAGCCTTCGTAAGGGTTGCCGATATAGTCGGGCAAACAGGTGCAGGAACCTACTCCGTTCTGCTCCTTGCAAATCGCATTCGAACCGCAGGGCGACGGTGTGCAGGGGGTGGTGAGAAGTGATTGTATTTCAGCTAGAATCGAAGACGATTTAGTTATCGATATTTTGGAGTGAAACTACCGGGGTGATTCAATAACCATTCGCAATATAATAGTAAATTTCGCTAGAATTTCAACGGAGTAATTGATATTCGATTGTGTGCAGTTGCGATAACATCGGTGATCATTTTTTATCAGCAGTTACGGCTAATTTAACCGGTTTCCTAAAGAAATCGAATTGCAAATAATTGCCGAATCACCTCTACGAAACAACTATAGAACCGATGTCTTACGTCGCCTTTCCAGACATTGGGTGAAAGGATCTCCAACGAAGCCGGCTTGACACACGCACATTGCAGTGTGACTGACAACTCTGCAGTCTGCGTTGGCTCCGCACGAGCCAGGACAGGGATCTCTGCACTTATTGTTTATGCAGGCCAAGTGCATCGCGCACTCGCTATTGCTAATGCACTCGGGTCTGCAGTTGGGTGGAGTTCCGCTGAATTGAGGTATGCAGGAGCAAGAAGGCGATTCATTGACGACTTGGCAGAGTGCATTGGGTCCGCACGGCGATGGGTAGCAAGGATTGACAGGGGCCAGAGGTTCCTCCACTGAAATAATGGGTAGCAAACGTTTGATACGCTCCAGGGCAAGGGTGCCATAGTTTTCTGATTGTCCTCACGTTTAGGCTCGCATCTGACGAAAGGATCGCCGGTGAAGCCGGCCGGGCAGCTGCACACGGGGTTGTGATTGGTCACCTGGCACTGGGCCCTGACTCCGCAGGTTCCAGCGCAGGGATTTATGCACCTCTGATTGCTACAGGCTTGGTTCTTGGGACAATCCGAGCTGACGGAGCACTCGGGTCTGCAGGAGGGAGGCGATCCGATGAAGCTGGCCACGCAGGAGCACACCGCCTGCTCATTTACTATGCGGCAGACGCTGTTGGGTCCGCAAGGTGACGGATTGCAGGGGTCCTCGGGTCCTAAAGTGGCCGAAGATGAGTCGGACGTTGCAGTCGAAGGTAACATTGAGTGATCGAGTTGGTGGAACGTACCTCTGCTAGGACGACAGGAAACGAAAGCGTTCCCGGTCATTCCAGGCAGACAACTGCACATTGGGATGTGGTTGTAGACGGTGCACTGCGCATTCTCGCCGCACGTGCCCGGACATGGGTCCACGCACTTGTTACGAATGCAGGCTAGAGAGCTTGGACAGTCGTTATTGAGAACGCATTCCGGACGACAACCTGTGAAAGGATCTCCTCGATACTCTGGCAGGCAGGAGCATCTGCCGTCGGTGCACAAGGTGTTCGGACCACAAGGTGATGGGTTACAGGGGTCCGAGGGCACTACGGGCTCTTCGATTGCTGTGCGAGAAAGATCTTATCAGACTCTGGTGATCGGAAAGATCCGAGAAATCAATGACGGAACTTCGCAACGAGGCTTACGTCTGGGATAGCAACTGGTGAACGGGTCTCCGGTGAATCCGTCAGGGCAAACACAAGACGGCGTGTGATTGATGACATTGCAGGTGGCCGACGCTCCGCAGGAACCTGGACAGGGGTCCCTGCACCTCTCGTTTATGCAAGCCTGACTACTAGGACAATCGGAGTTGATCGAACACTCTGGCCTACAATTGGGAGGGCTGCCGATGTAAGGTGTAAGACAAGAACAAGAAGGCGCGCCGCCAATTTGGCGACACTCTGCGTAGGGTCCACAAGGTGATGGGACGCAAGGGTTCTCTACAACTGGGCCAGGTGGGGGTCCTGTAACGAAACAACCGGTAAGGTAATCTGAACCGGCTGGCGACAAATCACGTTACGAATTAATCCTCTTCGATCCTCTTACTTGGCATGGGGAAGCATCTACTGAAGGGATCTCCGGTATAACCTTCTCTGCAACTGCAGACAGGACTGTGGTTCAGCACCCTGCAATTGGTGCTCAATCCGCAAGGTTGCGGACAGGGATTGACACACTTGTTGTTGATGCAGGCCCTGTTGACGGGACACTCGGAGCTCATCACGCATTCGGGACGACATCCGGGAGGAGTGCCTGAGAATTCAGGTAGACAAGCGCAGACTGCCTGGTCGTTGACAACGTTACACTGACTATTCGGACCGCAGCGGGATGGATTGCAGGGGTCTACAGGCGCCAGGTCTAGTATTCCAAAAGTGAAACGTCTCAGAGTTCGAAACAGTTCAGAAATGCTGAAGCGAGGTAGCTTGCTAATTACCGGTTTGGAGAACAGGGCTGCAGAATCTGAAAGGATCGCCGGTGAACCCACCCATGCAGGAGCACGCGGGCGAGTGATTGATCACCTGGCAAACCGCGTTCTGACCGCAGGTGCCGGGACAGGGGTCCTGGCACTTGGAGCGAATGCAAGCCTGGTTCGAGAGACAGTCAGAATTCACGGTGCACTCGGGGCGACAGCCCTCGTAGGGGTTTCCTATGTAGTCCTGCACGCAAGTACATGAACCCGCTCCGTTTTGCTCTTTGCAAATAGCATTTGCTCCGCAGGGTGACGGCGTACAGGGTGACACGTTTTCGACAATCATTGCTACAGAAATTACGGTTCCAGTTATGGTTTGTTTGCGACAAACTTGCGACTTCCTGCACGTGTCTAGACTAGATATCTTGATTTATCTGGTCAGTTAATGAATAGGTATCTTATTTATAGGTACTAATATAGGTACTGATAGATACTGATAGGTATGTTATTGACTTCAAATTGGCAGCTCTAGTCCAAACGCACAAGAAATCTCACTTTAGATTGCAAGCTGTTGACTGCGACTTACGCTGTTGCACGATGCACTGGGTGAAGGGATCCCCGGTGTACCCGCTCATACAAACGCACATGGGCGTGTGGCTAACGACCCGACATTCCGTGTTGGAACCACAAGCACCTGGACAGGGGTCCCTGCACTTCTGGTTCACGCAAGCCAAGTTCGCCGGGCACTCGCTGTTGCTGACGCACTCTGGCCTGCAACTTGGCGGTGCACCGACGTAATCGGCTATGCACGAGCAAGATGGCGAGTCGTTCACCACGCGACATTGCGCGTTCGGTCCGCATGGGGATGGTTGACAGGGGTTCACGGGCACGGGTGGCGTTTCCGCTGTCGGAGAAAATTTCGATTCAGAATTGCGATCTCGATGATAGTATAAATCGCAGAATAAGTCCTTGCTGGTTTGAGATATTGTTTTTATGAATGAATGAATTGTTTTGATCCTTATTCATGAGCACCGAAAGAATTGGATCTCGATGACCCTTATTTAAGAACAGTGAAAGGACTTAGTCCGCGACCAAACGTCACAGAGCCCTGCTTACGTATCGGATCGCATCTGGTGAAAGGATCCCCAGAGTGTCTCGCTAGACAACTACAGATCGGATTATGGCTGACGACCTGGCACTGTGTCCTGAGTCCACAAGTGCCCAAGCAAGGATCGATGCACTTCTGATTGCTGCAGGCTAAATTGCGCGGGCAATCGGTGCTGACGGTGCACTCGGGTCTGCAGGATGGGGGCGTGCCTAGGTATCCCTGCACGCAGGAGCAGACAGCTTGGCCATTGACAACGCGACATTGACTGTTGGGACCGCACGGGGAGGGCCTACACGGGTCTTGAGGCAGCGACTCTAAAGGAGGACATGGTGACGATAAAAGTGACCGAGCGATGAGTCGACTTTGCGAGGTCGAGGATCAACCGATATGCACCTTGCAAGACGGAGCAGACTACGAACGCGTTTCCGGACATGCCAGCTGGACAGCTGCACATGGGGATGTGATTGTAGACATTGCAAACCGCGTTCTGACCGCACGTGCCGGTGCAGGGGTCTAGGCATCTGTTGCGCGAGCAGGCTCTGTTCTGGGGGCAATCGTCGTTGATCACGCACTCGGGTTGACAGCGAATTAGAGGGTCCCCTAAGTAGTTCAGAGGACAGGTGCACAATCCGTTATTGCATTCCGCGTTTACGCCGCACGGCGAAGGGTTGCAGGGGTTCGACGGGATATCCATTGCTGCAAAGGGAAATCGATGACTGTAAAACTGCGATTGTAGGTCGCCGATGAACGTGGATCGAGGATCTTACATGGTGGAGGTAAAGGCTGGCAACTAGTGAATGGATCTCCGGTGAAACCTTCGGGGCAAACGCACGTGGGAACGTGCTGGATCACATTGCAAGTTGCTCCGATCCCGCAGGAGCCAGGACAGGGGTCCGCGCATCTCTCCCTCATGCAAGCCCGGTTGCTGGGGCAATCGGGGTTTATGGTACACTCTGGACGACAGTTCGGCGGACTACCTATGTAGTTCGGTGAACAGGAACAGGATGGAGAGCCGCCTATGTCGCGGCACTCTGAGTTGGGGCCGCAAGGTGATGGCACGCAAGAGTTTTCTACGAGGGCTGGCGATGGCTCTGAAAATAAGCGGTGGTGATCGGCCTGCTGGATGATACCAAAGGGTCCATAGTGGATCGCCGTGTAATTTGATAAAAGCATCGAAAATTTTACGGCCATGTGCTTTCGAATTTAAAGGGCCAATTGGGCCCTGCTTGTGCTCGTTTGTTCAAGCAGGGATTCCGATTTCTTACTTGGCGTCGGGAAGCATCTGGTGAAGGGGTCGCCGGTGAAGTCCAATCTGCAAGTGCAGATCGGACTGTGATTGACGACTCTGCAGTCGGTGTTGTCGCCGCAACGGCCTGCGCAGGGGTCGTCGCATTTTTGACCGATGCAGGCTCGGTTCAGGGGGCATTCTGAGCTGACGACGCACTCCGGTCGGCATCCAGGTGGACTGCCAACGTAGCCAAGGTAGCAGGCACAGACTGCCTGGCCGTTCGACACGTGGCATTGACTGTTGGGTCCGCACGGAGAGGGGTTACACGGGTTTACTGGCTCGGGGGCTGTAAGTGGTTTGTAACTTGTGTCATTCCTCATGATTCTCCGTCACACTTCAACCCAGATGCAGCAGATTATTGGCATTAGTCGGGTTAATCGCTTGCACCGTTCAACACTCGGATGCATTGTTCCACGCTTGAACTTGTAACATTTAGCAAACGTTTGCAATTGTTCATGTTTTTGAGAAAACGAATTTGAATGGAAATGACGATTTTAACTTGGCAGATGGCTTGCGATTTAACAGCGATGTGTACATGTATACGTTCCCCGCGGAAAGTATGTTGAATTTCGAACGGAACGACATTTTGAAAATTGAACAAAATGAATTTTTTGGAGATGTTAGACCAATTAGCTTATTAGACAATGAGTATAGCAGATTTTACAAAAATAGCAATTGGTTGGAATGATACGGAAATTAAAAGACAATGTCCGTTCGACCTTTTTATCTGAGCTGAGTATAAATTTTCGTTATAGGCTCAGATAAAAACATTTCTTAATTTTGTTATTCCAACAAATCCCTACTAATGTCTAACTTTTTATTCTTATTGTCTATTAAACTACTCGGTTTAACGATTCACCAAAATTCAAGACATTTGTGTGGTTCAATTTTTAAAAAATAATTCCATTTCAGTTACGAGAGTATTCCGTGGACTCTCTTCAATCATGCTAGAACCGTACAACCATCACTATCAAATCACAAATCTCCAAAGTAGAAAATCAGTCCTTATCAAAATCGCTTTTCTCCAAACCGTCCTCAAAAACCAGAACGATGTTTTAAGAACGTTCACTCAAGGTCACAGAAGTGATTAAACTCGTCGAGCAGTGTTATCGGTGGTCATATTACGATGGAAGCAACGTCGATGGTTAGGGCGCGTCTATCGTTAGGGTCGCTACCAGGCGTTGATGGTCACGCGGATGATGAAAGGCGATGATTGAATGGGCATCGAAACAGAGACTTACTGGTCTGCTGCTGTACGTAGCAGTTGGAGAACGGGTCTCCGGTGTATCCGGGCCAGCAAGTGCAACTCGGCAGGTGATTGATCACCGTGCAGTCTGCGTTCGGGCCACAGGTGCCGGGACAAGGGTTCTGGCACTTGGACCGAATGCAGGCCAGATTCGAGGGACAGTCCGAGCTGACTGTGCACTCTGGTCGACATCCTTCGTAGGGGTTGCCTATGTAATCCGGGGCGCAGGAACAGGAACCTGCTCCGTTTTGCTCTTTGCAAATCGCATTGGGGCCGCAGGGTGACGGCTGGCATGGGGACACCGTGGGTTCGGCTAAAAATCGGGCACAGGGTCAGTTGTTAGCTGTTCGCACCGGTACCAAACACTCTCTTCCCCAGGCTGTTAATTCAATCGCTACATTTTTCACCCAGGTTTCACAGTATAATCGAGTGGGTTCGAGTGGGACATTAACCCTTCGCACTATTTCTTGGACTCGGGAGTCCCAGGGAAATACAGCGTTGCTCGTCAAAGTACAAAGGGTTAATTGTGTTCGAGTATTTGCTAGGGGTCTTACGTCGTTTTAGTGTACACTGTGTGAAGGGATCGCCAGTATAGCCGGTTAGGCAACCGCACATGGGTGTATGACTGACCACGCGGCATTCCGCGTTTGATCCGCACGATCCTGGACAAGGATCCTGACACTTCCGTTTTATGCAAGCCAAGTTGCTCGAGCACTCGCTGTTGCTCACGCATTCGGGTCTGCAGTTCGGTGGGGAACCGATAAAGTCGGGCAAACAGGCGCAGGACGGGCTCCCGTTGATCGTTTGGAAGACCGAATTGGGTCCGCATTGGCAGGATTCGCATGTGTCTTCTGTCGGGGTGATCATCGCTGCCGGGAAGAGTCAGGAAGTGTGTTAATCCAGAAAAGAATTATAGTTCCATCGAATCTGAACCTTTTCATGGACATTTTTTGTAAATCTATCTGTTGAGTACGATTTTCATTCCGTGGTGCTACTTCTGGCAAATATTCAGATCTTTGCAAAGTTTCGTCAACTCTTTCATAAAAATCTAGGGTAGAAAAACGTTTGTGTAGAAAAGAGCAGCTGTTGCTTTCAAGAACCACAGATGGAGACAAAGAAAGGTTCGCAGACTCGCAGTCAGCAGACAAAAGTGTACAAGAAATCTCCATAAAAGACGAGAGATCCGAGGAAAAGTTAAAATTCGTTTGGCTACCAATAGATCCACCGATCTACTTCATCGTGATCCTTACGCATAAACTCGCATCTAGTGAACGGATCACCGGCGAATCCCGAAGGGCAGCTGCAAACTGGGTTATGGTTCACGACCTGGCACAATGCCCTCAATCCGCAGGTGCCTACGCAAGGGTCGATGCACTTCTGGTTGTTGCAAGCTTGGTTCCTGGGACAATCTGAGCTAACTACGCACTCTGGCCTACAAGATGGCGGACTGCCAAGGTATCCTTGCACACAAGAGCACACAGCTTGGCCGTTTATGGCTCGACATTGGCTGTTGGGTCCGCAGGGGGTTGGATTACAAGGGTTCGTCTGGGGCGGTTCTACAGAAACAAGAGTTCTTGTCAGTCCCCCGAGAAAAACAGGATTGAACCTACGATCTTCGTACCTTCGACTCTGTCACAGGATAGGAAAGCGTTTCCGGACATTCCCATAGGGCAACTGCACATTGGCACGTGGTTCAGGACATTGCAAATTGCGTCTCTGCCGCAGGTACCTGGACAAGGGTCCACGCACTTGTTGCGAACGCAAGCTCTGTTTAGAGGACAGTCGTTGTTCAGAACGCACTCTGGACGACAACTGGTGTAAGGGTCGCCCTGGTAGTCTGGCAAGCAGGTGCATACACCTGCGTTGCATTGTGCATTCGGCCCACAAGGCGATGGGTTGCAAGGATCGGTCTCGGAGGGCGGTGCTGAAAGAAGTTTTGTGGAGGTGTTGCCTCAAAGATTTCGCGAAAAAAGGAAAGTTGTCATTGCAAAGTATTTGAAAAATATTTAAGTAAGAATTTACTCAAATCCGACGTAAGAAATTACTTCATTTGATAGCTGAACAATGAAACAGTCTAGAAAATAATCGGTGTCATATGTCACTGAGCGAATAAGTGAACAAATACGAATGAACGAATACTGAACGAATATTGAACAAATACTGAACAAATACTAAACAAATACTAAACGAACAAGGCAACTATTTAAACAATGCCCAAGCCCGGTTCTCGAAAAAGAGCTCTTACTCTGTTCAGGCGGTGCAGGGTAGCAATTGCTGAAGGGATCGCCAGTGTACCCTTCGATGCACATGCACATAGGCACGTGATTGAAGACGCTACACTGTGCCCCAACTCCGCAGGACCCTGAGCAAGGATCCGAGCATCGTTGTCTGATGCAGGCTCTATCGCTAGGACAGTCGGGATTGATAGTGCACTCCGGTCTACAGCTGGGAGGGCTGCCAATGTAATTGGCCAGACACTGACAGGACGGTCCACCGTTTACAACGCGACATTCTGAGTACGGACCGCAAGGAGACGGGAAACAGGGTTGCGAAACTTCGACTTCCGTGGGTGCTTGAGGTGCTGCAAGGATAATTAGATGATTGTCGACGTCTCCACTGATTACGGTGCCAACTGAGGGTGTCTTACGTGGAATTGGGAAGCATCTGGTGAAAGCATCTCCAGTGTACGAGTCTCTGCAGGCGCAAATCGGACTGTGGTTGCGGACCACGCAAGTGGCGAACGTGCCGCAGGAGTTCGGACAAGGGTCCACGCATTTCCGGTTCATGCAGGCTCGGTTCTCGGGGCATTCTGAGTTTAGAACGCATTCCGGACGACACATGGGTGGAGATCCTGTGTATTCTGGTAAGCAAGAGCAGACTCCTTGGCCGTTGACCACGCGACATTGACTGTTGGGGCCGCAGGGCGAGGGGTTGCAAGGGTCCTTATACTGTGTGTCTTCTACAATGGTTGGGTCATTCCTTAGAATACTGTTGCTGAGAGAAACTTTATTTTGAACTGTATAATCTCTTTTACCGATACTTCTTTACAAAGATGTCATCTTTATCAAAAACGACCTATCATGGTATATAATTTTTTTAAATAGATTCTTTAGATCGAAATGGAGGATACCAATTTGAAATTCCGCTAGCAGATAATAAGGAATAATTTAAATTCCACGCAATTTACAGTTCTTCCCGGCAAAAATGTGAAGGGTGAACAGTGGCTTCTTAGTCTTATCAGTTACCATATTATCCAGCACAAAAACGAGTCATGACAGGAGTCACTTCCTCTCGATACCTCGATCGACTGTTCAATAAATTAAATCTCCCGATAGCAACAAGTTTCAGTAACAGAGATCCTACAGACAAGCATGAAGGATGTACGCATACCTATCTCACGGATCAAGGTGCAATATTGGAAAGGATTTCCGCTGTACCCTGCAATGCACGTGCACGCAGGTCGATGATTGATGACCTGACACTCGGCGTTGGCGCCGCAGGTGCCAGGACACGGGTTTTGGCACCTCGAGCGGATGCAGCTCAAGGTGGAAGCGCAATCCGTGTCGATCACGCACTCCGGCCGACAGCCGTCGTAGGGGTTCCCGATGTAATCGGGGAGACAGGAGCAGGAGCCGACGCCGTTTTGTTCTTTGCAGACCGCGCTGAAGCCGCAGGGGGATGGTTCGCAGGGGGAGAGATAGACGGGCACAGCTAAGAGGTTGCACAAGTTCATTAGAGTTGAAACGAAGAGACGAGAAACTGGAAGATCTCGGATGACATTTGGTGGATCAGCACCGAATATTTTGGGATTCTTACGTGGCTTAGGGTTGCACTGAGTGAAGGGGTCGCCGGTGAAGTCGCCGGGGCACACGCACATCGGTGTGTGACTGACAACGCGACAATCGGCGTTGGCAGCGCAAGAACCCGGGCAAGGATCCCTGCACTTCTGATTTATGCAGGCCAGCTGGCTGGCGCACTCGCTGTTGCTGATGCACTCGGGTCGGCAGTTCGGAGGAGCGCCGATGAACTCCGGCAGGCAAGAACAAGAGGGTGCGTCGTTCGCGACGCGACATTGCGCGTTTGGACCACACGGGGAGGGTTCGCAAGGGTTCGTGATCGGTACATCGTCCGCTAAAAGCAATTAGTTGTCAGTGTGCCGTCGATAGCTCGAGTTCCTGATCCAGTTAGGGTGGTCTTACGTTGCAAAATGCACCGGACGAACGGATCGCCAGTTAATCCTGGCGAGCAGCTGCACAACGGGTTGTGATTAACCACGTTGCACACTGCGCCGATGCCACAGGAGCCGGGACACGGGTTCACGCATCTCTGATTGCTACAAGCTTCTGTTAGAGGACAGTCCGAGCTTACCGTGCACTCTGGCCTGCAAGCAGGCGGTACACCCAGGAAACCTGACACGCAACTGCATACCGGTTGACTGTTCACCTCTCGGCAGACGCTGTTGGGCCCGCAGGGCGAGGGCGAGCAAGGGTTGCGCTGTATAGGATCTGTCATTTCAGCGATTAAGAGGGTGTTCAGAATCATTAATCGATGGAAGATGGAAAGCGCGGACTGGTAAGGGGATGAAAGTTTCTTGGACCAGATTGTACCTCTTGTGGACTGTTCGATGTGTATAGATTAGAAAATGTTGTATCTTGACTTTTGTAAGTAAAAGGTAACTAGAGACAAGAAATAATAGTGTTCAAACAGGATTTTGGATATACAGTGGCCCACGAAAGTGTTTGTACACCTTTTAAAACGCAATAACTTGTTTAAAACTCAACTAAATGACTTGAATTCTTTTTAGATGATAGAGAAACTAGACGATGACTAAAATGCCTTTTTAAACATTTTTTAATACTTGGGATGTCAAAAAAAAGGATAGAAAACTCTCGTTTTTTGTGAAATGTAAAAATGCATGCTGAAAATTGTATCGAAATCAGTGTGATTCATCGAACAGTCCATCAGCAGTGCGATCTAATCCAAGATCATCCACCCCTTCTTCACCCCGAATCGAGAAAAATTGAAAAGAAGTTGTACCTCGTGCAACGGTACACTGAACAAAAGCGTTCCCTTCCATTCCATTAGGGCAGCTGCACATGGGAACGTGATTGAACACAAGACACTGCGCATTTCTGCCGCAGGTGCCCGGACAAGGATCAACGCACTTGTTCCTCACGCAGGCGCGATTCTGGGGACAATCGGTGTTCAACACGCACTCCGGCCGACAGCCAACGTAAGGATCGCCTTGATACTCGGGTAAACAGGTGCACACGCCATTGTTGCAGCGCGCATTGGGTCCGCAGGGCGTGGACGCGCAAGGATCAGTGACAACTGGTTGAGCTGTGAAAGAAACGATCTCTTCCGTGGACGTTTGACAGTCTTTCGAGCGACGATTCTCGCGGATTAAGAGGGTAACTCTGACGGAAAGCATCTTACGTGGTTCGATGGGGGCCAGGTAACAGTTGCTGAAGGGGTCGCCGGTGTAACCTTCGGGACAGGTGCACACGGGGACGTGGTTGTACACGGTGCAGAGGGAGGTGACCCCGCAGGAGCCTTGACAAGGGTCTCTGCACTTCTCTCCTGTGCAGGCGAGGCTCATGGGGCAGTCGGAGTTGACCCGACACTCTGGCCGACAGTTCGGAGGGGAGCCAATGTATCTGATTAGACAGGAGCAGGACGCAGTGCCTCCGATATTCCTGCATTCTGCGTAGAGACCGCAGGGGGATGGCACGCAGGGGTCTATCGGGGCTAGAGCGTTGTCGTTTTGGGGTGGTTCTGGAATTCGAAGCGTTATCTCGGAGATGAGGGTGATGGTGAAAACGTTGATCTATCTAGCCGTCCGAAATTCTAGATCTTGCCTCGACAACTGTCACTGGTCCATTCTCGCGTCCTTCAAATATCTCGAGAGACAGAGCGAGAATTATTAAGAAAAAGCACGGTACAGTTCTTCGGTAAAGGTCCGAGGACTTGCAAGGGCCGGTTGCCAAACTTTTTGTGCGAACGTCGGAAGTAGACCTAACGGGTGTGAGCGCGACAGTTATCGAGACACGACCATCATTCGCGTAACGACGAGGATGCTTGAGTTTCGCATAGGTCGAGCCAATGAGATGACGAGATGGACGATGTATTCGCAAAGAGAAAATCTTACGTGGAGCAGGGAAGCAAGTGGTGAACGGGTCTCCGGTGTATCCGTTGTTGCAGGAGCAAATGGGGCTGTGGTTGATCACCCTGCATTGCGTGTTGATGCCGCACGAGTTCGCGCATGGGGACGTGCACCTTTGGTTGATGCACGCCAACTCCCGGGGACAGTCGTTGTTCACCACGCACTCGGGCCGACAGTTCGGCGGGTTCCCCGTGAAATTCGGGAGGCAGGTGCACACGGCGTGGCTGTCCACGTTTCGACACTTACTGTTGGGTCCGCAGGGGGACTGGCTACACGGGTCTACGGGGGTCGCTGTATGGGGTAAAAGTGCATTAGAGGACCTGCGCGGCAGGTCTTGCCGATTCGGCGACGATTGGTCTAGCTAGGTGCTGTTTTGTGCTCGAGTACTGGCTACTGGTGCAGTGTACCTAACGCAGGGTGCTTCAGCTACGCGTCGCATCTTCGGTTTCGATAAAGTCGCGACGATGGGTCCGGAGACGTGAAATTTCGTTGAAGTCGAAGATGGACGCAGCCGAAGCACTCTTAGCAGAGCTATAGAATTCTCCTAGAGGTTCTAGCGATCTAGGAGCTGGAAGCGATTGAGGCAGCTTACGATCAGACAGGGCCGGGGTACAGTAGGTGAAGGGGTTGCCGGTGTGTCCAGGGTTACAAGAACAGACGGGCACATGATTGACGGTTTGGCATTGGGCCTGCAGTCCACAGGTGCCCAGACAGGGGTCCCTGCACCTGACGCCCATGCAGGCCATGGTCTTCGCGCAATCGGAATTTTGCGTGCACTCGGGCCTGCAGCGGGTGTACGGGTCACCTAGGAAGTCTGGTGGACAGGAACACTGGCCGACGCCGTTGTTCTCACGGCATAGAGCGTTGATACCGCACGGGGAAGGCCTGCAGGGTTCCCTAATGCTTGGGCGTTCATCTGATTGGAAAAGAGAAACACTTTCGCTTAGGTATGAGACGGACATGCAGCGGTGGTCGGTCAAAGCTTGTGCGATGCCATGGGTTTTTGCTTCTCGGCTCGGCTTCTCTCGGGTTCGTGCGGTGACGACATGATCAAGCGGAAGCTGACGTACGAAATGGCGATTCGGGTCCTTCGGCAGTACAATCACGACGATGTACGAGAGTGGTGGTTCATGGTTTCTGTTAGGGTGCGTGTTTCGTGGGCTACTACTCGAGTTCTCGCAGTTATTATTGTCGACGTTATTTGCGGGTCGCTTTGGGCTTGCTTGGGTCTCATTAGGGCTTGTTAGGGGCGGCATACTTCTCAATGCGTAAGCGTGTTTCAAGGATGTTCCTATAAGCATGGTCAGGGATTCATTCGTTCGTGTACCGTGGGTTGTTCGCTCGTGGGACGCAGGGATGATTGTTCCTCGAGCCCGAGGAATTCGTGGTCTACGTCTAAATCCTAAACTGAATGATGAGTACGAAAAAGCGGTATGCTTGGGAATGATCACTGCGTGCAGCATTCTCGCCGATGGGGGTGTATGGGTGTCAGATGTCTTTGAGGGGGTGAGTGCGATTATTTATGAGCCTATACTCCATAGGCCCCGCCACCATTTTTCTCCGAGCACGGGGTTACATTCGGGGCTAGTACGCATTTGGGGGTGGGTGAAGGCGTGCTCTTCTCTACGAGCTCGTTAATCGCAGTTCGGGCTGATGATTATGGTCGACTCGGTTTCATTCGTACATGAGCATTACGTTCTGAAGGCTCCGCCACCTTGGCGACGCCTCGTCGCCGGGTCTCTCTGTTAGGGCCTCTGTTATTTCGTTCCTCGTCCACGGGGACGCAGTTTCTACTGTTAGATAGAATGGATGACGTTACGGAGAGGAGCGATCAAGCACTTACCTGGTTCGCCCGCATGCGATCGGCGAGATTTTGCGATAATGAAAGAGCAAGAGATAAACGATCGACAGCGATTCTGTTGAAGCGTACTCACCCTGGGCAACCGGCTCGCAAACGCTGAACGGATTTCCGGTGTAGCCTTCGGTGCAGGCGCACACCGCCTGATGGTTCACCACCGAACACTGCGCGTTCGAACCGCACAAACCGACACACGGGTCGCGACACTTCTGTTGCAAACACGACAAATGCGGCGGGCACTCCGGATTGATCGTGCACTCGGGCCGGCAATTCGGCGGCACGCCGATGTAATTTTGTGTACACGAACACACGGGACTCTCGCCGCGCACTTGACACTCCGCGTTCGGGCCGCACGGCGATGGCTGGCACGGGTTCACGGGCCTTGGAGGTTCTCCTGCGAAAGTTACGAGAAACATTAATTAGCTTCCCAGGGTTTCGATGTATTGTATCGACCTGATAGATTATTTGATAAGGCTAACGACTCTTACAACATAAAATGCACTAAGATTTCTTTCACATCTACATTGATTCGCACTTCTTCATCCTTAATAATTTCCCTGATACAATAAGATAATTCTCGTACTTAGACTTTGAAAACAGAAGAATCAAATTCTGTTTCGATTTAGAAGAAAGGAATAACATTCACATTATTTAGTATATTATGCATGAAATTCGAGTTTCACTCGTTGATATAGTGCAAAGAGATAATTGCAAGATATATGATACATACAGAACAACTTTAATAAGTTGAACAGTGTTTTTTAATTCTTTAAATGTTTTCGCTGCTTTGCAAATAATCGCGAATAAATACGGCAATTATCTAGGACTCATTCTAAGGACTCACTGGGCATCGGGTAACACCTAGTGAAAGGATCGCCGGTGTGCCCCTCGTAGCAGCTGCATATCGGATTATGGTTGACGACATGGCACTTAGAGTTCTGTCCGCAGGTGCCGGGACACGGGTCCTGACACTTATTACCGAGGCAGGCTTGAGTCAAAGGACAATCAGCGCTGACTATGCACTCGGGCCTGCAGGCTGGAGGACTGCCAATCAATCCTGGCTGACAAGAGCAGACCGCGTGATCGTTCACCACTTTGCAGATGCTGTTTGCACCGCAAGGTGATGGGGTGCAGGGCTGTTTTCTGGGTTCTGGAAAGTGAAGAAGCAAATATTAGTCGCAATGAGGCAGATAATATAATCAACGGCATCGTTAGACTGCAGATCTTTATGCAAACGTGTTTGTAGACTAATTCGTGAGAATTGTATTTTCTAATACCGAGTTTTAGGGAACCAGAAATGCATAAAATCCGCAGCCTGGGTGTCATTTAGGTGAACATACCGTCAGCTATGTGCGGTCGACACAGAGTGAATGGATCTCCAGTGGTGCCTGGTGGACAACTGCACATTGGGATGTGATTCACAACGTCGCAACGCGCGCTCGTGCCACACGTGCCCACGCAAGGATCCACGCAATAATGATTGACGCATGCTTTCACTCGAGAACAGTCCGAGTTCATAGTGCATTCTGGACGACAGTAGGAATAGGGATCGCCGAAGTAATTTTGCAGGCATTTGCAGTTGCCCTCGTCGCATTCTGCGTTCGGTCCGCAAGGGGATGGGTTGCATAGGTCTTCAGGTAGTTTCGGTTGTTCTGTAAAAAAAGGCGCACGCATGCGTAAAATCTGCATTGTAATTACTAATAAAGCATAGAAATTTTCGAACGTTTGAGAACTCAAATTGAAGCTAGGCAAATGTATTTTAATACAGGGAGATGGCGAGTTAAAAATAATTATAGTATTAGGTTGGCAAGAAAGTAATTTCGGTATTTCAATCAGCCTTTTTCCTTTGATTGTTTCCTTCAATTTTATAAATTGTTGGCAGTAAATATCTGAGTTGACCATTTGTTTCCTTGGAACCAGCTCAAAATACATAACATCATTATAGTCCCATCAAATTGATAGCATGACTTTTTTCTGATGCAATTCAGCTTTCAGTATAGTTTGTGCTGGTTCATCAAGCTTGGATCTTGCTCGATTAACATTATTGTAAACGATCCATTTTTCATCACCAGTGATAATTCGTTTAAAAAAAGGATCGATTTCATTACGTTCGAAATGCGTATCGCAAATACTGCTTCATTGTGTTAAGTGAATTTCTTTCAATTCATGCGAAACCCATACATCGAGCTTCTTAACAAGTCCAAAACATGTGATATTCAATGCATGTTAAAATTGATAGCGAACTAACAGTTGCAAACAAAGCAACACGGAATTTGTTTCTGTAGTAACCTAAAAACAAAAGAATTATAACCTTAACAGAAGAATGACAATAGAAACATAACGCTATCTATTGGCGCAAACCGAAATTACTTTCTTGGCAACCCAACAGCATTCTAAAAATCCAATATCGACAACTAATTCCAGCTCGAACAGTTCGAGCATTGGATTAATAAAGCTAATAGAGTTAAAAAATAAATGCTCACTGATAAGCTGCGTGCACAGGGTGAAGGGGTCGCCAGTGTATTCCTGTTGGCAGAGGCAAACAGGAATGTGATTCTGCACCCGGCAATCTGCGTTCTGGCCACATGACCCGACGCAAGGATCCCGACACTTCTCGGAGATGCAGGCCTGGTTCGATGGACAGTCCGTGTTAACAACGCACTCTGGCCGACAGTTCGGCGGCAGTCCGATGTAATTCTTCAGGCAAGAGCAGGCAGCTTGGTCGGCGATCGCTCTGCATTCGGCATAAAGGCCGCACGGGCTTGGCGCGCATGGATCACCAATCGGAGGAATCGGCGTGACTGAAGAAAGAACGGAGATAGACGATCAAACATCCAAGACATAACGTGTTTTACGTTGCTACAAGATCATTGAAAGGCAATCGTAATCACCTGTCTGCGGGAAGCATCTTGAGAACGGATCCCCGGTGGTGCCCTGTGGACAGCTGCACAGCGGATTATGGTTGATGACGCGACAGTTCGCTCCGACTCCACAGGTTCCCGGACAAGGATCCGTGCACTTATGCTTGTAGCAGGCTCTGTTCTGCGGGCACTCGGAGTTGACGACGCACTCGGGTCTGCAGTTCGGAGGAGTTCCGATGAAGTTCTCGTGGCAGGTACAGACGGCTTGTTCGTTCACGGCTCTGCACAAGCTGTTCGGTCCGCATGGCGATGGACTGCAAGGATCTACCACTGAGGGCTCTGTGTCCGCTGCTATCGGCAGGTTGCAGATGGTGAACGGATCTCCCACGTAGCCGGGTTCACAGGTGCACGTTGGGATGTGATTGATGACAGAGCACTGAGCACGGACCCCGCATATTCCTGGACAAGGGTCCTCGCATTTGTTGCGAACGCAGGCTTTGTTCGTCGGACAGTCCGAGCTGAGGATGCACTCCGGTTGGCAGCCCTCGTAGGGATTGCCGTGGTAGTCGTCGATGCATATGCAGGCCCCGACGTTGTCGCGTTGCTGGCAGACCGCGTTGGGACCGCAAGGTGACGGCTCGCAGGGATTGATTGCTTCCTCTGAATAGAAACAATTTATTGGAACATGCCGTAGGGAAAATTCATTTTAAAATCGTACATCGTGAACGTACCTTCCAGCTCGACGCACTGCACAAACGGATTCCCGGTGAATCCTCCGGTGCAGGTGCATATGACAGCATGGTTGACAACGATGCACTTGGCATTCTCAGCGCAGGACCCTGGACAGGGATCCGTGCACTTCGAATTGATGCAGGCCTTGTCGGTAGGGCAGTCGGGATTGATCAGACACTCCGGTCGACAAGATGGCGGCGTTCCTATGTACGCGGGCAGGCAGGAGCAGGATGGGTAGCCGTTTACATCCTGACACTGGGCGTTCGGTCCGCAGGGTGACGGGTTGCAGGGCTCGCCAGTGTCCTTGGACTCTGGAATGGCTGGACAGATTTCATTGTAAGTACATCCTCTACGAATAGAAATAAAATATAAATAATAAATACAATAACAGCCGCTCTTACTTTGCACGTCGTAGCAACTCTTGAAGGGATCCCCGGTCTGACCAGGCAAGCAACTGCAGATCGGCGAATGATTGATCACCTCGCACCTCGCGTTCAGGCCGCAGGAGCCTAAGCAAGGATCGGTGCACTTCTTGTTCACGCAGGCTCGAGTCGGTGGACACTCCGAGCTGACTACACATTCTGGTCTACAAGATGGCGGGGATCCGAGGTATCCTTGCAGACAGGAGCACACAGCGTGGTCCTCTATGTTGCGGCACTGACTGTTCGGTCCGCAGGGTGACGGAGAGCACGGGTCCCTCGATGGCATTGGGACTGTAACAGCAGATTTTAGAGTTTAGAAGAGTCGAATCCTCGAACGAATGAACTTAAATCCTTGCACAAGGTACTGGTTTACCTTGTGGCTGGATACGACAGTTGACGAAAGGATCTCCAACGTATCCAGGAGGACAAGAGCAGCTGGGTATATGGTTCACGATGTCGCACAGGGCGCTCTGACCGCAGGCTCCTGGGCAGGGATCCTTGCACTTGTTTCGTAGGCAGGTCCTGTCGCGAGGGCACTCCAGGTTGAGGACGCATTCCGGACGACAGGCTTCGTAGGGGTTGCCAATGTACTCTGGGAGACACTGGCAGTCGCCGTTCGTGCAGAGAGCGTTGGGTCCGCAAGGTGATGGGTTGCAGGGGTCGCTGATTGGTGGCAACGTGGCTGAGGGAAACATTTGCAATGGATGATTCGAAAATCTTGGTCAACGATGTATATTCGAGTGGAATAGTGCGCTTACTCGGAGGAAGGACGATGCACTGCGTGAACGGATCACCGGTGAATCCTGCCATGCAGGTGCACACGGGTATGTGATTGAGGACATGGCACTGAGCGTTCACTCCGCAGGAGCCCACGCAGGGATCCTGACACTTCTGATTGACGCAGGCAAGATGGCTCTTGCACTCGGAGCTCAGAATACACTCCGGCCTGCACTCGGGAGGAACTCCAATGTAATTTGGCAGACATGAACACGCAGGGTTTCCGGATATAACTTGGCACAGGGAATTCGGTCCGCAAGGCGACGGAGTGCAAGACGGCGGGCGTTCCGATACCGAGGTGGTGTTGTAAGCTAAAAAATAAATGATGAACTTTGTAAATTCTTTGACGAATAAACAAGTGCGTAGAATATAATCTCCGATTGTCTCCGGAATGAAGTCTTACCGATAAGCGTACACTGGGTGAAAGGATCACCAGTGAAGCCGACAGGACACGAGCAAATAGGATTATGATTCTTGGTGGTGCATTGAGCCCTCAATCCACAGGTGTTCGGACAAGGATCGGTACATTTCTTGTTCAAGCAGGCCAAATGAGGCGGACATTCGCCGTTCGCGACGCATTCCGGTCTGCAGCTCGGCGGAATTCCGCTGTACTCTGGAAGACACGTGCACACAGCCTGTCCGTTCACTTCACGGCACTTGCTGTTGGGTCCGCAGGGGGACGGCGAGCACGGATCTAACGGAGGTCCCTCTGAAAATGCATTCGAAAAATTAAATATCGACTGTTGTATTCGGCCTTCGATCCAAACAGAAATGCAGAACAATTGATCGACGAACTTACTCGACATTTCCTTGATCTCGCAAGCGAAGTACGGATCTCCCGTGTACCCAGGAGGACAGGTGCACACCGGCACGTGTTGCTGAACATTGCAGATGGACAAAGTACCGCAAGTGCTTGGACAAGGATCGGTGCACTTGAACCCGATGCAAGACAACTGCGGGGCACAGTCGTTGTTCAACTCGCACTCTCTGTGACATCCTCTCTCGTTGTCGTAGGGATCGCCGATCAGATCTGGTGGACAGGCGCAGGCTCCAGCGCCGTTCCTCTCGCGGCATTGAGCGTTAGGGCCGCAAGGATTCGGCGAGCACGGGTTGGCCACGCTGATGTCCGTCGCTAATCGGATAACAACGATAGTAAATATGGCCAAGCAGATCGAGAGAAAAGTGAAAACTTACTGGGACTCGGTGCCAAAGTGCAACGGACAGAAGCGTCGCCTTCGTAGCCCTCAGGACAAGTGCAGATGGGAAGGTGGTTCTGAACGTTGCACCTGGCCAGTTCCCCGCAGGCTCCGGGACAAGGGTTCTTGCAGCGTTGGTTGATGCAAGCGGCCGAGTGGAAGCACTCGGAGTCGTCGGTGCACTCTGGCCTGCAGTTCGGAGGACGTCCAATGAAGTTGAGCAGACAGGAGCAGGCTGGCTGAGAGCCGATCACTCTGCATTGAGAGTTCGGCCCGCAAGGGTTCGGGGAGCACGGGTTCTCAGCTTCCTTGTCCGGCACGTCGGACACGTTGTGTCTGGTGCACTGAACTAGTGGATTGCCGGTGAACCCAGGTGCACAGGTGCAGATGGGATTGTGGTTCACGGTCAGACACTTGGTGTTCACTCCGCAGGATCCTGGACAAGGATCGGCGCACTTGTTCTCGATGCACGCCTTGTTCTGGGGACACTCGGAGCTGACCGTGCACTCTGGACGACAGGTGGGTGGTATTCCCACGAATCCCGGCTGGCATAGGCAGACAGCGTGCTCGTTGTGCACGCGACAGTTGCTGTTGGGTCCGCAAGGCGATGGCTCGCAAGGATTCTCTGGGATCGGCTGCGGCCTGTCCTCGATTCCGACGCAAGCGTTGAAAGGATCGCCCGTGTATCCTGGTAGACAGGAGCAGGATGGAGCGTGGTTCACCACTCTGCAGGTGGCTCCTTGACCGCAGGTGTCGGGACAAGGGTTCACGCACTTGTTGTTCAGGCACGCCTTGTCGCGGTCGCAGTCGGTGTTCGTGACGCATTCCGGTCTGCAGCCTGTGTAAGGATCGCCGATGTACTCCGAGAGACAGGTACAGGATCCTACGCCGTTCCTCTCGTTGCACACTGCGTTAGCGCCGCAGGGAGACGGGTTGCACGGTGTCCGAGGTTGCTCCGTCGTGGTGGGTACTGCAAAGTAAGAAGAAGTTGCATACATCAGAAGACCGTCTACGTATTTGATACCATGGTTTTAGGACATTTCGGATACGCTACCTTCCACGATCAGAGTGCACTCGGTGAACGGATCCCCAGTGAAGCCGGGGCTGCAGGTGCAAACGGGATTGTGTTTGACGACATTGCAGTATGTGTTGATGCCGCAAGAGCCGGGACAAGGATCGACGCACTGTTCGTTCTGACAAGCCAAATTTCCAGGGCAGCCATCGTTGATGACGCATTCCGGCCGGCAGTTGGGTGCTCTGCCTACATAGTTAGGTAGACAGGAGCAGGCGGGGAAGCCGTCTATCACGCGACATTGAGAATTCGCTCCGCAAGGCGATGGAAGACACGGGTTGCCGCTTGGTTCCTTTTCTGGTACCTTGCCCTCGGCTGTAACATTGCAATACAACGAATCAGAAATCACGGTGGGTCTGAACACGCTTGAAAGTTCGAAGGATCCTTACGTTCTTTGACGCATCCGAAGAACGGATCACCGGTGTATCCGGAGGAACAACTGCACACAGGATTGTGATTGATCACTTGGCAGTCGGCGTTCTGTCCGCAAGTGCCCACGCAAGGGTCGCCGCACTTCTGATGGATGCAGGCGGCGTTCTGAGCACAATCGGTGCTGACCACACACTCTGGACGACACTGCGGTGGACTGCCAATGTAGTTCGGCTGGCAAGAGCAGACTGCATGGTTGTCAATCACGCGACAATTGCTGTATGGTCCGCAAGGAGACGGTTGACATGGATCGCCTGGGAGCGGTGTGACTAAAAATCGCAGAGAGTAAGATAGATACTTCGATCGAAGCGATGATTTTTATGAAGTGAAACAGCAAGCTAACCGGGTGCCAAATGACAGGATTTCAGTGGATCGCCAGTATAATCGGGCAAACAGCTGCAAGCGGTTTGATGGTTGATAACTTGACACTGTGCGTTCAATCCACAAGCGCCCAGGCAAGGGTCCTTGCATCTGTTGTTTATGCAGGCCTTCGACTGCACGCAGTCGGAGTTCTGAACGCATTCCGGCCTGCAGCCTGCGTAAGGATCGCCGGTGTAGTCAGGCAAACAGGCGCAGGACCCGACTCCGTTCCTTTCTTTGCAGACAGCATTCGCTCCGCAAGGCGATGGGTCGCAAGGTAATGACACCGGGTAAGAAGCTGTTAAAAATACATGTAAGATAGTGAATTAATATTCGCAATGGATCAACGATCACGCATTAGAAAGACCTCTCAAATTCGAAGGAAGCTAGAAGCTTACCTTTGCTGCATCCTGAGAAAGGATCCCCTTCGTATCCACTATAGCACTGACACATAGGTCGATGACTCTGGACAGTGCAGTTCGTGTTGAACCCGCAGGATCCAGCGCAAGGATCCACGCACTTCTTCTGGACGCAGGCGAGGTAGTTGGGGCAGTCCTGATGGATCAGACACTCCGGCCTACAGTTCGGCGGTGCTCCGAACATGCCGCTGATGCAGGTGCAGACAGGATGATCCTCTTGCACTCGGCAGTCTGCGTTTGGTCCGCAGGGAGATGGCACGCAGGGGTTCTTGGGTCCAGGTATCGGTATAACTATCGAGAGGAGAGCAGTGCGGATTAGTATTTCGAATCAGCAGAATGTAAAAGCTTCTGAAAGTAAACTTCTACCTTCTTTGACGCATTGAGTGAACGGATCCCCGGTGAACTCAGGAGGACAGCTGCAAAGAGGATTGTGGCTGACGACTTGGCACAGAGCATTCTGGCCGCACAAGCCGGGGCAAGGGTCGCTGCACTTTTGCCCTATGCAAGCGAGGTGAATAGGACAATCGGAGCTGACTAGACACTCTGGCCGACAAGATGGCGGCGTGCCGTGGTAGCCCGGGCTGCAGGAGCAGACGGCGCGGTCGTTCATCACACGGCAAATACTGTGCGGACCGCAAGGCGATGGCATGCAAGGATTCTGAGCCGGAAGCGCTGAAAATTTCATTCATCGTTGTCGAAAATTAACTAATTCATCAAGTTACAATTGGCGAAAACTACGAATTAATTTATACACCCATCGCTGGTTAAATGGATCTGCTCATACGACTCACGTGATTTCTCGATCTTGCAAGACCCGAACGGGTCGCCGGTGTATCCAGGCAGACAAGAACAGATGGGAACGTGGCTGTCCACCTCGCACTTCGCATTGGCGCCGCACACACCTGGACAGGGATCTCTGCAATGTTGATTGAAGCAGGCCAGATGAGAGTCGCAGTCCTGGTTCACGATGCACTCGGCCTCGCAACCATCCATATACGGATTTCCCATGTACGGTGGGACGCATTCGCATCTGGCGATGCCGTTCGCGTTGACGCAGATCGCGTTCTTGCCGCAAGGGATCAGCAAGCACGGATCGTGAACATTGTCCGGTGGTGCTGAAAACATGTACGATCTCCATGTTGCAACGCCTCTTCTCAACGAACAGTTCAAGCAGAAAACGAAGACTTACAGGCACAACTTTGATAAGGATTGCCGACAGTGTTCACGGGACAGTAGCAAGGTGGTATTCTGTTCGCGTCGCAGCTTGCGCCGAGGCCGCAGGGATTTGGCTCGCACTGGTCGGATTTCGGCGCGCAACCTCTGATGGTATTGGGACTTTCGATGTAACCGGGCAAGCAAGTGCACTTGGAGAGTCCATTGTGGAGAACGGTGCATTGGGTGTTGGGTCCGCAGGGTGACGGCTCGCAAGGGTTACTGGGCAACACGCATGGTGTCAGAGGAGGATAACCCTCGTAGCCTGGCAGGCAGAAGCATCTGATGTCGCCCGCTACCAAACGGCAGCCTGCGTTGATTCCGCAGGGATTGCCTTGGCAATTGTCGCCGTCTGGAACTGCATCGTCGGTGTTATTAATAGACTGATGGAAGATTTCACATTAATAAATCATCCGGGATACTTACTGCACTGCTCGAACGGATTACCGGTCAAGCCCTTCGGACAGAAGCAGACAGGATTGCCGTTGTCGTTCTCGCACATCGCGTCCAAACCGCAAGGATTTGGGACGCAAGGATCCGAGGATATCGTGGTGCAGCCGATCAAAGGATTTCCTTCGTATCCTAGCAGACATTTGCACTGTGCTTGGTGGTTCACTGGCTGACAGGCCGCCTTCTCGCCACAGCTTGTCTCCAAGCAAGGATCGATGCACCTTCTGTTTAGGCGATCGCAGTACTTGCTCGGCGGACAGTCCTCGTTGTAGTGGCAGACGTTCTTTCCCTCGTCGTCTGAAGAAGACAATCGAAATTGTCCATAAACCATCATAAACTGATTCGATTCAAAGCATTTAAATTTTCTACTTTGAACAATCGAAAAGTCGACAATTTGAATTTTGAAGCACGTTCTTCACCTTTTTATATTCTAATTCGAATGGCAGCTAAGATTGTACGAATTGAGGACATTGGATGTATTTATTTTAGGTAGAATAACGGAGCTGGTTACTCTGGGGTGACCAATTGCTATGTCCTTGGTTTGTTCCCGGGCATAATTCATTTCATATTTATCGAACAAGACGTGTTTAATTTTTGTGTTCTTTTATTTCGTTTATCTCTAACTTTTCTCATTCTTTTATTTTATTGATTTCTTAATAAAAAGAATGTAATATGTTTTATTCGATAAATGTGAAGGAAACATCCTAAGGGCGTTCGCCAAGTGTTCGTTATGGGGAGATAATTACCCATAGCGCAATAAAGGAATCCGTTTCCATGGTAGCCGTCGTCGCAGCTGCACTCCGCTCGATGGTTCGAGTTCACGCAAACTGCATTCTTGACGCAGGGGTTCCGGTTCAGGCAGGGTTCCTGGCAAGTGCCCGCGATGCACGCCGCGGTCAACGGGCAATCTTTGTCGCTAGTGCAACCCGCTAGAGAAAGATTGAGGAAGCCCGTATAGCCCCGAGAAAGTGTGCACAAGTACGATGGACAGAGAGAAGGAGTCGCGGTTTGCGTGCGTAGACGCTACTCAGGCGGATCAGCTTGTATGAAACAACGATCAGTGCGCGGGGATTCGAGACAATTCACAACACAAAAGTACTCAAAACAACGAGAGACAATTCAAGATTCTCCTAGAAGATTGTCGAATGAATGAAAAAAATAAAGGAGAATATCGGCAGCTAAAACTCAAGACTACAAAGGTAAAATCTTAGAGGATAGAAGATATATCGGGTGCGCTGTAATGTCGAGATTACGTCCGTAGACGCGCGACATATATGTATATGTACAGTATGTATGTACATATTTACAGATCGTTCGCTGGAAAGAGAGGCAGACGCGCGGAGGATTCGAGTTCTCTCGTTCGTATACGAACCTTTGACGCATGTGTTGGACGCTGGGTCGCACTGCATGCCGGGCGGACAGTAAGGACAACTGGTGTCGTTCAGTACGTCTGGGGAAATGTAGAGAACGTTTTTTTGATTAGTCTTGCGGTGCTTGGAAGGACGGCTGAAATTTCGCTGGGGGATCTACCTTTCACGCAAACTGGTCTGTGATCTTGCACGTGGCAAACTTCGACGAAGTCGCACGGGTTCTCGACGGTGCACGGGTTCAGGCACTGTTGGTTTATGCAGGCCAGCTGGGAGAGACAGTCGTCGTGCGTTCTGCATTTGGTATCTACCGGAACGGACAGAGTATTAGAGCCTCGAAGCAGCATTCCTTCGATTCGTAACACTAAACGCGATCCACAAGTTTGTATCGTTTACTGATTCCAAACTGGATTTTATCTAGCGATTCCTTCGTACGATCGTACACGAATGGTTTCGTTTGAACGAGAATCGTTTTCGATAAAATAAAACAAAAAAAAATACTATAGAGAGTGCACTATAATAATAAACACAGAAAACACATTCACCTAATTCCTAAAACATATAATGGTTTTCGTGTTACTTGTGTAAAGCCCAGAAGTAGTGGTTAGTACGTTCGCCCTTGTAGGAAACTCTCGGCTGCGCGTCTCGTTGAAACGATTTCGTAGCATGATCGCTGAAAGTTTCCTTCGACAGCGTACGTCAACGGAAACATTACGAATTAATTGTTACAGATAGACAAGCGAGAAGAGGTTTCGTGCAGAGGCACATTAATGTACAACATGCAAAGAGCGCTAATGCAGCAGGTCCATGTCAGCACTGGAGCCCGGCAGTGTGATTTGACAATTTCTACGTCAGACATTCGACTGGTGCGCGATGCCCGTCCGGTATCGTTCCCGGCACAATTTTCCCGATCGAGATCGAACAGCCTCGAAGAGGGTCTGCAGAGATCAAGCAACAACTCTCCAGAATTGGTTGCCACCAATTTTCATCTGGATACGACGAAGAACACACTGGAGACACGTTTTCGTGGAGGCACATTGTTTTGGTGAACACGAGAACATTTACAAAAACTCCCGACAAGAATGATCTTTACCTGGGAGTACGCTACAATTAGATGTACTCTGGTCGACTGTTAGGTTGAAGCACACGGGCCGATCGATCGGTACCTCGCATTTAGACTTATCTGTGCACGGTTCATCGGTTTTGCAACGACATCTACCATTCGAACAGATATCGCACCCTGAACCGGGCGTCATTGTTTTAGATTGTTCGGTTGTCGAGTACACTTCTGTAGAGTACTGTTCGGTCTTTGTTGTATGGTCTGTGGAATATGGTTCGGTTGTTGAAGTGTACTCTGTTCGATAGTGATCGGTTGTTGTAGTGTATTCTGTAGAATACGGTTCTGTTGTTGTAGTGTTTTCTGTAGAATACGGTTCTGTTGTTGTAGTGTATTCCGTAGAATACGGTTCTGTTGATGTTTCCGTAGAATGCGATTCGGTTGTCGAAGTAAATTCGGTAGAATACCGTTCGGTTGTCGAAGTGAATTCGGTAGAATACGGTTCGGTTGTCGAAGTGAATTCTGTAGAATATGGTTCAGTTGTCGAGGTGGATTCTGTACAACACGGTTCAACAGTTGGAATGTGTTCACTCGTAAAAGGGTTTTTGATTGTTGAAACTTGTTCTGTATAGTGTAATTCGGTTGTTGAAGATGTCTCTGTAACCTGTTCGAACATCGAAGTAGTTGTTGAAGTTTGATCGACGACCTCTTCGGTGGTGCTCGATGGTATTGTAAAGTGTTCTTCAGTTGTTAAATAATATTCTGTTGTCGATGGCTTTTCTGTGGCATACTGTTCAGTTGTTAAATAATGTTCTGTGGTGTACTGTTTAGTTGTTGAAGGTTGTTCTGTAGTGTACTGTGTAGGTGTTGAATACTGTTCTGACGTAGAAGATTGTCCTGTAGTGTATGGTTCAGTTGTCGAATATTGTTCTGTAGTGTACTGTTCAGATGTAGAAGGTTGTTCTGTAGTGTATTGTTTAGTTGTTGAAATTTGTTCTGTAGTGTATTGTCCAGTTATCGAATATTCTTCTGTTGTCAAAGGTTGTTCTGTAGTGTACTGTTCAGTTGTCGAATATTGTTCTGTTGTCGAAGATTGTTCGGCAGTGTATGGTTCAGTTGTTGAATGTTGCTCTGTGGTGTATTGTTCAGTTGTCGAACGCTGTTCTGTAATGTATGGTTCAGTTGTCGAAATTTGTTCTGTAGTGTATGGTTCAGTTGTTGAATGTTGCTCTGTAGTGTATTGTTCAGTTGTCGAACGCTGTTCTGTAATGTATGGTTCAGTTGTCGAAATTTGTTTTGTAGTGTACTGTTTAGTTGTTAAGTAATGATCTGTTGTCGAAGGCTGTTCTGTAGTGTATGGTTCAGTTGTCGAAATTTGTTCTGTAGTGTACTGTTTAGTTGTTAAGTAATGATTTGTTGTTGAAGGTTGTTCTGTAGTGTACTGTTTAGTTGTTAAGTAATGATCTGTTGTCGACGTTTGTTCTGTGGTATATTGTGTAGTTGTTGAGTACGTTTCTAGTGTAGAAGGTTTTTCTGTACTATGCTGTTCAGTTGTTGAAGGTTGTTCTGTAGTATGCTGTTCAGTTGTTGAAGGTTGTTCTGTAGTATGCTGTTCAGTTGTTGAAGGTTGTTCTGTAGTATGCTGTTCAGTTATTGAAGGTTCTTCTGTAGTGTATTGTGTAGTTGTTGCAGGTTGCTCTGTGGCGTACTGCCCACTCGTCGAGAACTGTTGCGTAGTTCTATCAGTATAATACATTTCAGTTGTAGATCCTAGAGTCGTCTCATGGATCAAAGGATACTGAGCAGTGACAGTAACAACTGTCCCATGCTCTAACTCAGTAACTTCGGTTTCTAGAGGATACTGCGCTGTCACAGTAATTAGAGTAGCCTTTTCAGTAGTCGTTAGCTCGGGAGCTTCCGTAACGACCTGCGTTTCCGTCGAATGTTCTTCGAGCACAGAACTTTCGGTGGGAATTAATGGAACAGTCGTCTCTTGAGATTCTGTAACATGTATCGGTGTCTCGGTAGTGTGTACAGGAATAGCCGTCACTGTGAAAACCTCTTCCACAGGAGACTGTGACGAGTGTCTGTCAAAAGTAAGCGGCGTCACTATCACAACGTTATCCGTCGTATTTTGAGACGCCGATTCCGTCTCTACCGTGCTTTCGACAGTCGTGTGTTCGTTACTTTCCGGCCGCAAAGTTGTCGCGATCTCAAAACCTGTTGTCTCTGCTGCCTCGCCAGTCGATGGCATAGTCGTCATAGTTACAACCGAAACAGTTTCCGTGCTTTCTTCCGAACTACCGGGACCGGTGTGTACCTCGAACGAGCTACCAGTGGAAACAGTACTGTCCGGGACAATGGTATGTACTGCGACGCTCTCGGAAGAGCTTTCGATAGCTGTAGTCGCCGAAGTGGAACCTTTCTCTACACTCGAAGACTGTGTGCTTTCCTCGGCGTACGAAACGGTCGTGGCCTCCTCGAAAGAAGTCACAGTGCTAACTGCGGGCTGTGTGATCGTCGATAGTGTAGATGTCTCGTTGTATTCTAGTGTCGAGTGTTCAACGACGGGCGTAGTGTTAGTGTGAACGCAACGTTCGTCTGAATCGTCGCAGCCGCAAATTGGCCTGTGTGCTTTAACGCGACACCGAGCTACCGATTGACAGTGGCCGGCGCAAGGATCAACGCAGGACCCACCGACACAGGCTTCTGTGTCGTTGCAGTCGTCGTCGGACTCGCAGCGATTGTCGGGCCTATGCTGAGATGCTGCGGATACAAGACAATATAAACAACAGTAATCGATACATACAGGCGATACGAAGAGAGACTTAAAAGGGTAAGAGAGGCTGAAAGAGAACGTATCAAGCGTTTCGTTACGAATTAGAGTATTATGCTACTTATCGTACTGTGCGCTTCCTCCAATATAGTAAATCTACGAATTAAGGTATCAGTCGGCATGCTCGCTTAATAACAGACAAGCTAATCGCTCAGAAGTGTTCATTGATTAGATCTTTACAGAGACAGATGTAACGGAGAAAAATAATCCTTGAACAGTGACAGGACATCGGCAGAGTAGAGCAGGAGAGTAATATAGGTATTGGGGCTGGGTGAAGAGTTGTATCTGTGACTTTTGGAACCTGAAACGCATTCTCGTTCAGACAGCGGAGCGCATTGCGCGATGCCAACGCCGCGAGCCTGGGAGACTTCGACGCGCGGTTAAGACAGTGCCTGGAGACTTCGACGCCCGGCTAAAGACAATGCGTGGAGACTTCGACGCTCGGCTAAGACAGTGCGCGGAGACTTCGACGCGCGGTAAAGACAGTATCGGGACATACGTACGCACGGCGATAACGGGAGACTTTATCGCGCGACACAGTGGAATATTTGAGCAATCCAGTCGAACAAAAACGAGTTTCTTCATTGAGAAAATTAGTATTCCGTCGAAGCGACAATTTAGTCTCAAGCTGGATCGCTGAAATATGTTACTGTGGCTGCTAAAAACAACAACAAAAAAAAAAGGAAGAAGGTGTCGCCGTGCTCGGAGCGCTGTTAAGACAATCGAAAGAATCGTTCCGCTGTCTGAACGTTCGGAAACCTGAAAAGAGTAGCAATCGGTATTGTCGGTGTGAGGCGTAGATGCGAGTAAGAGTCGTAGACAGATCCGTAGGCGAGATGCCGGTAGACATTTGTGCGGACTAATCCAGTGGACAGTGAAGAAGAGAAGAGAGGTAGAGATAGAAGAGTGTGATAGAGAAAGTAGTACAGAATAGAATGATAGATACAGAGAAGAGTGAAAGATAGCGAGATAGGTGGTGAGAAATGGTGTTTACCTTTCATGCATCCGTATTTAGTATCTGGCACAAAGCCGGGGGGACAGAACTTGCAGATAGGCTTGTGCTCCTCCACGTAACAGGGGGCATCAGCCGGACAGGTGGAGTTTCTGCATGGGTCCACGCAGCGATAGTTGCGGCACGCCAAGTCTGGAGAGCAGCCACTGTCTCGCAGGCAAATGGAGAGGGAGGGATTGCAGTTTTGTGTGCATATGCAGACGGGACGGTGGTCCAGGACATCGCAGGTTTTATCGGCCGGGCACGGTCTTTTCTTACGGACGTTACAGGGGTTCTGGCATTTCCCGCTGACGCACGCGGCGTTCGACGGACAGTCGAAGTCCCGGTCGCAGGTCAAGGTGTCGGGGCCGCAGGTCAGCTCACCGAGCTCGTTCAACACGAAACCGTACTTGCAGACGCAGGTGGGCCTGTGTTTCCACACCTGACACCTCTTGTTTACCTCGCAGCTGTACTGGGGGCTGAGACACGGGTCTCGGCACTCGCCGGTGCGCGAGTGGCACGCGAGGCTCTCCGGGCAATCGTGATCGGAGGAGCAACCGATGCTCGGTGTAGGTCGGGGATTGAGCGTGTCGCATTTGGGATCTGGATGACAGGCCGTGTGGGGCATGCCGATATAACACTGCGGACAGGAGCAGCGTGGCTTGTGCAGAACCACACGGCAGAGCGCGTTGATCCCACAGGCGCCGCGCAAACCGCACGGGTCCACGCATTGCAGATTTATGCAGGCTTTTTCATTGGGGCACTCTAGGTCGCTGGTGCATTCGCGCTCTAATCACATCCCCCGGAGGCGTATACACATATTTATAATTTTGTTGATGTTTGGTTGGTAGTTTTTTTTTTTGTTCAGAGTTCGTGGTGTCGTGGTGAATTTTATATATATATATATATTTTTTTTTTTGTCGTGTCGGTGGTGGGTCGGTGGTAGGTTCGGTGGTGGTGGTTGGTTGGTGGTGATGGGAGCAGGAAAAAAAAAGAAAAAAGCATTTATAAGAACTGTGAAAAGAAACTTTCTCACAAATAACATAAACCACATGCTTCTTGTATTTATAATACGGAAATAGTAGGGTAGCTCTGTGAAGAAGTAAATAATAGAGAACGAACTTCACACTATTTTCCGATTGAAATCTGATCTCTCTTCGCCGAGAAACTGTATATGTATATACATACTGTGCGTACATATATATACGTATCTGTATATGCATATATATATGTAGATATTTGGCAAGCAGCGATATTTACAACACAAGCCCCCACAGATCTCGAGAAAATAAGAGGGGAAAAAATACAAATGTAAACAGTGAATAAATCCAGCAAAATAACAAGCATGGGTATATGAGAATGTCCCTTTCGCAGTTCCCAATCTGTATTAATCGTTTTAAACCTATTATCTAGAGAAACGGATTCATCAGCGTGTTTCACTGTAAATGTGTACCTCTCTCGTTGCAATCGAATTGCCAGTCTACATGATATACTTTTTTTGCTTTACTTTTTTTTCTCTTTTCTTTTTGCTTTTCGACATTATTGCAGGTCTCATTGGCATTATTCGTACTTTTTTTCTCGACTTTCTACGGTATTCCTCAAGACAGATTGGATACTGAAATAAACATTCTACATATGAATAGTTATGTGTGAGACATGTGTGAAACGTGTATCAACTTTGGACACATTATGTACAGTATGCCTAGCTATGTAGATAAATATATGTACAGGTATAATGTAAGACCACATTGTCGGGTAAAATCCAGTGTCTCGTACGTGTACATACGTTACGTACGCATACACGATTACGAACAAAACGGAACAAGCTATGTATAAAATATATATATAGAGAGAGATATATATGTATAAGGTAATCCGTTGGTCCAATCACATCTGTCTCTCGATTGTTAACGACTCACTGGATTAATACATCTATGTATTACTTCAAGTCCTACTATAGACGATACATGGTTATTCTACGGACCATGTTCCTCTGATCGTCAGTATTGCTCGCTAGTCACAAATGCTGTACATGGAATTAATTCGATCTGCCCGGTTAAACAGTTAGTAGGCCGTCTCTTACCTGTCGTGCACTCGTCGTCCGGCGCACCGCTCGTACCAGGTGGACACCGACAGACGAATATCGTGCTGTCCCTGATGCATTCCGCGCCCTTTCCGCAGCCGTTCGTGCGACAGTCACCTAGACTCCTATCTATGCTACCTGCAATCAGAAGCAGAAGACTATTGTAGTTACATTCCACGAGAAACAATATGTTCTTCGGTGTCCTCCTACAATTCGACGGTAAAAAAATGTTCGATACTATTTGACAAGATTTTTAGCTACTTTAAAAAAACAATGAAATCCTTCACCGAACGGCCAAGTTTTCTTTTCTTAAAAGTTTGCATCTTCTCGAGATGAAATTTCTCAAACGCTGCGGGGAAACAAATTAAATGTTAGACATCATGACACAGAGAAGACTGCATTCTCCCAATGAACCTCGTATCTTTTCGTCTTTAAAGATTTATAGTAGTCATCCTTATGGCAAAATACTTACAGCTGTGCATAGGATCTCCGAACGGGAAGTTAGGTGGGCAATAGCACTGCGGCTGGTTCTTGTAGATGCGGCAAGCAGCATTCAGACCGCAGCGAGTGTCTTTGCAGAGCTCCCCTCCGTCGCAGATACAAGCCTGATGAGGATCTCCTTGGCATCCAGGATCGCAGGTGCATTCGAAGCCGTTCAGAGTCTCTCTGCACTTGGCGTTCACGCCGCATGGTCTCCTCAAACACTGGTCACCACCTAGAAAGTATAAAAATCCCGATAAACAAGGTCCTCATATCAAAATCATGCAAGCTCTAAGAAACAACCATTACCTTTCTTGCAGTTGATCTTCGGGTTTCCGTAGTGTCCAGGTGGACAAGAGCACTGCGCCTTCCTGTTGACCACTCTGCATTGAGCGTTAAAGCCGCAGACACCGTGCTGCAGGCAAGGATTGGTGCAAACGCCATCCTCGCTGCAACGTTTGTTCGCTTCGCAGTCATCGTCCCGATGGCACTCCAGCTGGTAGCATTCTTGACTAGGCTCTCCCTGGAAGCCTTCTGGACAAAGGCAGACCGCGCGGTGATTGGACACGCGGCAGAGTGCGTTGATTCCACAAGGCGAGCCATTCGCGGAGCAGGGGTCTTCGCATTGATTGCTGATGCAGGATAATGACGACGGACAGTCGGAGTGAGTGCGGCAGCCGATCAGACACAAGCCTCCGTCGCAGACGTAGCCCTGCAAGACACGGTGAATTAAGAATCTGCCTCTTCTAGGTGCAATCTCTGTGCCGGCGATCCTTTGCTTACCTTCGGACACGCGTTGTTGACGTCACACTTGATGCGGCATTTCCCAGAATGGCAATGCTCTCCGCAGGAGCACTGTTCCTGGCTGGAGCAGCTCGTCGTGCAGAATCCAATCTCGTCGCACTCGCAGGACCCGTCGCAAGGGATCATCGACTTCACGCAGCTGATCAGAGCGTTGCCGTAGTAGTTCGCAGGACAGCTGCATTGCGCAACGTGGTTCACCACGCGACAGCCGGCGCACTCTCCGCAAGCCTCGCCGCTCGCACAGGTGTCTGAAAAAAGATTCGGCGATAAGAATCGTATGGCAGATCGATCGAAAGACTCGCACTATTGACACTCACTCCTGCAGTTGTTGTTCACGCAGGACTCGTCGTTCGGGCAGGTGTTATCGCTGCGACAGCCGATGTCGCAGAGCCTGTTCTGGCAGATCTGATTGGCCAGGCAGTGGTCGTCGCTGTTGCAGATGGCCTTGCAGATTCCGGCGTCGCAGCGTTCGTCGCTGAGGCAGTTCGCGTCGCTGCAAATCGGATTCCCGTGTAACAAAACCGCAACGATCTCGTGCAAATCGGTCGAATCGTTGGTGGTCTTACCTCCTACACGTGGCGTAACAGGACCGGCCGTAACAAGTCTGACCGGTCGGGCAGTCGAGCTCGGTCGAGCAAGGGAGGAACGCCTGCTTACATCCAATTAGAGGGTCTCCGCCGAGCGGAGCAGGACAGGCGCATAATTTCTGATGATTCACGACCGAACACTTGGCGTTCACTCCGCAGGCCTCGGGAACGGAGCACGGATCTGGAGAAAACAACAACAACGACCATGAAGCAGCGGGAAATCGAGGACCGAGGACAGCTTAATCGCGTCTCCTACCTTGGCAGTGGTTGTTGATGCACGCGTAATTCTCCTGGCACTCGACGTCCGCGCGACATCCGACGACGCAGACCAGGCCCTCGCAGATCTCGCCGCTCCTGCAATCTTCGTCTCGCCTGCACAAGGACTTGCAGACGCCGGTCTGGTCGCAGCGTTCGTTGCTGAGACAGTTCAGGTCCGAGGAGCAAACCGGTGTGCAGATGGCTCCGATACAGGCAGTTCCCGTCGCGCAGTCCCTGTTCGCTTGGCAAGCGGTTCCAGGCGATCGCAGACAGGCTACCTTCGCGGTGGGGTTCGGGATGAATCCCGCGGGACAGGAACAGGTTGCCCGCTGATTGAACACCGTGCACTTTGCGTTCGGTCCGCAGGGTGTCGCCTCGCAGGGGTCGATGCACTTGTGCGTGATGCAGGCCTGGTTCGCGTTGCAGTCCTCGTCGGCGCGGCAACCGAACGAGCACATGTTGTTCAGACATATGTGGCCCAGGAAACAATCGTTGTCCAGCCTGCAGGTGAGCAGGCAATTGCCGCGGACACATTTCTCGTTGAACGCGCACTCGTTGTCCGTCACGCAGATCGGCAGGCACACGTGGTCCCGGCAGGTGTTGCCGTCGCTGCAGTCGGCGCTGTCTCTACAGGACACTGGCACTGAGAAGAAGTCGGTTCAATTAGTTCTTCGATCGATCATCTAATTCTCTAAATGTACAATCTAATGTGCCAAAAATCTTTGCAATGCACAGAATTTTTAGTTTAACTGGTTGGCTAGTTTTGGCAATATTTTAATAACAATAAATGGCAATATTTAGGCAATAGTTAAAGATAATTTGTTAAGAAATGGCGATTGAAATTTTAATGAAAGCCGAGTATATTCGTAAATTTTAAGATGTTTCGAATATTTGGAGGCCAAGACGAAATGAAACGAACGAATAAAAAAGTATAAATAATTATTATGAAAAAATTGTATATAAGATCGCAACAGCTAGCGGTTGAATCGAACAGAATGCAGGACTTTAAAAAATATGAAGGCGATGCTAACTCGAAGCGTGCAAGACATCTTTACTGCGCCTATCTCTCGCATGCCTTGTCGATCGTCGAGAGATTGAAATTATACAAGAGCTAACTGAATAAGATATTCAGAGAATAGTAGACTCACGCCTGACGCACTCCACTTCCGAGTTGCCGGTGAAGCCCGCGGGACAGCTGCACTGTTTGATGTGGCTCCTCACGTCGCACTCGGCGTTTATTCCGCACGCGGCTCTGATGTTGCAAGGATCCAAGCATTGTCCATTCAGGCACACGTCCGATAAGTTGCATTCTTCATCCGACTGACAGGACGCTGCGGGAATTTCGAATTATGTAATTTCACGGTTGAAAGGATCCTCCGGACAATGCGTCGGTCGTCGGGTATACTAGACTCACGTCTGCAGATTCCCTCGTAGCAATAAGTATTCGGCGAGCAGACCGCGGCCGACGAGCAAATCACCGGCTTCGGCCGACAGCCTACACTTAGGCTGTTCGGATCGCCCTCGTAATCCGAGCGACATTGACACGTTGCCGCGTGATTGATAGCGAGACAGTCGGCGTTCGGGCCGCACTGGGTCCGCGAGCAAACATCTGCAACGACAACAAGAAACCGGGATCGTTAAATGCCGGGAATGCCGACTATTACGGTCCGCTGCCGGCTCGTTGCACCCGTTCAGGTATTCGATACGCACCGAAACACTTTGGCACGTTGTTGACGTTTATGCACTTGGCGGTGAGCGGGCAGTCGTCATCTTGCAGGCATTCGACCGGCGGCTGACATCCGCTGTTGTACGCATCGCCGACCATTCCCTGCTGGCAATGACACTTGTACGATCCCCTGGAATTCTCGCAAACCGTTCCCGGAGCGCATGGTTCGTTCCGGCAGTAATCGATCAACTGGCAGCCGTGGGTCGGCTCGCCGGTGTAACCCGGCTGGCACGTGCACACCTGAAACAAGAGCAATTATTCCAACTGGTCTGCGATCTTCACATTCCTCCATTTTTCTACGACGACATAAAATCCTCGGACCAATGGGAATGACCTGAACATATTCGAGAAGGAAAGCAAGTCAACTGGAATGCCACTTCTGCTGAAAAGCCACTTCTGCTATTAGTATTGCAAATTAATACTGGTACATACAAAATCGAGACCAATTCTTCTTACTTTGCACATCAACAATAAAGGGGTCCAATTTGGATGGTTCGCTCGAATAGAAGCAAGTGCATTAAAAACGTTCCATGTTTTACAATTTTTCTAGCAATTACATTATCACCACAGGTGAATAAGTAATTAGAAGCGGTCTCACAAACCGACAATGATAGATATGCTTATTAATAATGCTATTAATAATAGAAATGCTTTTGTTAACGGTAAAGGTGTGTCATGAAAGGTAGGATTTAACTTTAACGATCTCTACAATAATTCGTCGTTCAAAGTGCAGAGAAGTATCCGAACTAAATCTGAAGAAATGTCTATAATTACCTGGACGTGTCTTTCAGCGGAGCAAACAGCATTAACGCCGCAAGGATTATGCGCCAAACAGGCGATCCTGCACTTGTGCGTGTCGCAGATCTTCTCGCCGCTGCAGTCCTCGTTGCTGTCGCACTCGATCGGCTGGCATCCAATCTTGTCGTCCTTGGGATTCCCGAAGAATCCACCTTTGCAGGAGCACACGGCTCTGTGCTCATCCCCTCTGCACTCCGCATTCCGTCCACAGAGCACCACGTCGCAGACTTTCTGGCACTCCGCCTGTCCGATGTTATTCTTGATGCACTTTTCGTCGTAAGAACAGTCGTCGTCGGACAAGCAACGCAGCTCCTGAACACAGACATTATTGTGGCAGTATTGGAATTCGGGGCAGCTCGAGTTGCTCTTGCAAGTGGGCTGGCAGAGGCCGTTGATGCACAGTTGGTCGCCGATGCAGTCTCTCGTACTGCCGCAAAGTGCTGCAAAAAATATGGAACACGTTTATGTTGCGACGACGCTGTTACTGGAGGCGTCGTTCAACTCCTTTGCGGTTTCTTTACCAACCTGTGCATATACCACCGTTGCAGGCCGACCCAGTTGCACACTGAGAGTCCGATTTGCAGTACTGGACAGGCGTGCATCCCAGATTCGGGTCGCCGGTGCCACCGGGTTGACAAGTGCACACCGCGCTGTGATTCAGCGGAGAACAATCGGCCCCTTGGCCGCAGACGTTCGACAGAGAGCAAGGATCGACGCATTTGTGATCGAAGCAGGCGTCCGAGTGACTGCAGTCGCTGTGGTAGTTGCACTCCAGGTGGATGCACTCGGACTGCAATTTCGGAAATGGTCGCGATCAGAGATTCGAGTAGTCTTTCGCAATAGACTCGATGCAAAAATGCAAGGCTTTTTTCGCACGTGTGAACAGCTCGCATTGCGATTGATACGTACAGATGGATTTCCGGTGGTCTGGCCAGGACACCTGCAGTGTGGAGCATGATCCTGAACGAAGCATTCAGCATTCCTTCCGCAAATGCGTGCTGCGTCGCAAGGATTGGTGCATCTGTTGTCAATGCAGGCCGCCGAAATCGGGCAATCGAAGTCCGTGAAGCAATCTCCAGGCTGTTTGCAGCCGGTCTTGATGGGATCTCCCACGAGTCCGTGCGGGCAGACACAAGCGTGCGAACCTTCCGTATTTTGACAGCTGAAAGAACATCGTCTCGTGAGAGAATTATCTTCGTCGACTCTATGGGCCCTGTTCACAGCCGAGTCTGGTTTATAAGACCGTCTCAAGCATGGTCTTAAGACACGATCTAGATCAATCAAACGCAAATAGGATCGTTTTCGCGAAGGCAGAACTTGAGATGATTCTCAAGAAAAATCTCGGGAACGGACATTATAAATCTAAACGACCTTATAAATGAGACTCGATGATAAATACGGCTTTCAGAAATCGACTGATAGTTACACAGCTGTGGAATGACAAGGGTTCTCCAAGCACTCGTTCACGTCGACGCAAATATCGCCTGCCAGAACAAATCCGGGGTAGCATTTGCAAATGCCAATGTGATCGGAAGCTATGCAGTTGCCGTATCCACAGTTCAATTGATTGCAGGGACCTGGAAATTAGCGTTCGAGAATCATACTGCTCCTAAATGCACAGAAAGATAATATAGACTTTCAACTCACTGCTACACTTGTTGGTATCCTGGTTGCAGTATTTATCCGTGGGACAGTCGTTGTTGGAGAGACACTCGACTCTGAAGCATCCGGAGGCGTCGCCGATGTAGCCAGGTTGACATTGGCAGGCGGCAGTGTGGTCGACGACACTGCAGATCGTGTTGGACCCGCAGTCGCCCAGGGAACAAGGATCGGTGCAGTTGTGGAGTATGCAGGCCTGCGAGTCGGGACAGTCTGCGTTCACGGTGCATTGATGAGGTATCACGCAACCTGAGCCCACGGGATCGCCCGCGGTGCCTTGTGGGCAGATGCAGCGATAGGATCCGTGGAGATTGACGCATTCCGCGCTGGAATGGCAGGGTTCGTCGTCGCACTCGTTGATGTCTAGGCAGTGTTCCGGTCCAGCGATGAATCCGTGACTGCATCTAACAAGGTCAGCAGAAATGTCATGAAGCATCAAAATGCATTCAGGAATATTAATAATGCGACCCTGAAGTGATCTCTCGACTATCGCTTCGAGGAAAATATTCGATATGCAATTGAATCTTTACCTGCACTTGTTGTTGATGCACACTTCGTCGTCCTTGCAGCCGGCGTCGGAAGTGCAACCGACCTCGCAGACGCCATCGATGCACAGTTCTCCGGGCAAACAGTTGCTGTCACTGTAGCAAATCTTCACGCAGATGCCATTCTTGCAACGCTCTCCCTGCGCGCAGTGGTTCTGCTCGCTGCATTGACACTGACAGAATCCGGAATCGCAGACGTGTTGGCTCGGACAATCTTGGGCTCCGTCGCAGCTGCTCGGTACTCGGACGCAGCCTTGCTGCGGCGTGGGGTTCCCGTGAAAACCTAACGGACACGTGCAGGTCGTGGCGTGGTTGGTGCAGCTGCAGACTGCGTTCGGTCCGCAGACGTCTTTGAAACTGCACGGATCTGGAAGAGGAAATCGTTATAGGAATCTGGCGACGAGGGAAACATTGACGGAAATTTTGAGGCGATACCTTGACACTTGTTGTTGATGCAGGACTGCGAGCTGGGGCAGTTCTTGTTGCTGCGGCAGCCCAGGATGCAGCCTCCGTTCACGCAAGCCTGGTCCAGTTGGCATTGACTGTGCGACACGCAGGGGGTCACGCATTTGCTGTTCACGCACTTCTCGCCGACCGAACAGTCTGCGGCGGCTCTGCAGACAGCTGCAACAGAATATCAGATGTTAGAACCGCAAGTGACGCTGCACATCATAGGCGTCCGATCCGCAAAACAACGCGACTTCTTCCAGAGATGGCACAGGAAAGCTAGAAGCTTGGCAGATCTCTGGAAGTTGAACAGTTCTGAAGCTGCAACATGTCTCACCTATGCACTGTCCCTCGAGGCAGACGCTCTCGTCGCAGTCAGCATCGACGGTACAGTAATTAGAAACCCTGACGCAGCCGTCTCGAGGGCCCTTGGTGGAAGGAACAAAGTTGTGAATGCACTTGCAGGTTGGCTGACCATTGATGAGCTCGCAGACAGAGTTGGCCCCGCAGGCATCCTCGCAGGGATTGACGCATCGATGATTATGACAGATGGAATGCACCGGGCAGTCTTTGCCACTGGCGCAGTAGCCTTCGGGCTGGCAGCCTTTCACGTAAGGATCGCCAACGAAGTTCGGCGGGCATTGGCAGACAGGATTGTTCGACGGTCCAGGTACGCAGACAGCGGACTGGTGGCAGGGATTCGGATGGCAGGCTTCGAGGGCAACGCACTCCACGTCGGGAACCGGATTAGGCCGCAGACCAGGAGGACACTGGCAGATCGCTCTGTGGTCGTCGGCGATGCAGACCGCGTTGACACCGCAAGCGTTTTCGTCGCAGGCGTCGTAGCAGGTGTGGGTGAGCCTGTTGCAGAGTTGCGTGGGCGGGCAATCGATGTTGTAGACGCAAGGAACCGTGCGGCAGCCTTTGACCATGTCCGTAGGATCCCCAGCGAAGAGACCAGGCGGGCATTCGCAGTTGGCGACGTGATTGTGGACGATGCACAGGGCGTTCGGCCCGCATGAAACGAAGTTGCAGACCGGCTGACAGCTCAGCAGACCGTCGTGCGTGCTCCTGCAGGTCTGGTCCTCCGGACACTCGCTGTCCGTCGAGCACTGATCCTTTTTCGGAGTCTGGCATCCGTGGCGGTCGTTAGGATTCCCAACGAAGCCTGGCAGACAGTCGCAACGTCCCCGGTGTCTCTCGGCGACGCACTGGGAGTTCACGGCACAGGTGAAGCTGCGGCATACTGACGCACACTTGAGGACTCCCAGAGCATCCGGTCGGCAGGCTTCGGTGGCGTGGCAGTCGTCGTCGGAGATGCAGTCGGGCACCGACGGTTTCTCGCAGGAAGACAGTATCGGGTTCCATTCGTAACCGTCTTGACACTTGCAGGTGGCATGGCCCGGGATTATATCGGGCTCGCACTTCTGATGAGCACCGCAGACTACCCTGCTGCACGGATCCACGCATTCGCGGGCGCCGTTGTCCAGAACGATGCAGAACGAGCCTTCCTTGCACTCGGAGTTGCTGTTGCAGCCTGGTGTTATCACAGATGTCGACGGCTGGCAGCCTTCTATCAGGTTGCTGGGGTTCCCTTGGTAGCCGTCGATGCACAGGCAAGAGGACACGTGGTGCTGCGTCACGCAAAGCGCATTCGGTCCGCACTGCAGCTTGCTGCAAGCGTCCACGCACTTCCGCACGCCCTTGCCGACTTGGAAACAGATCTGTTGAGGCTCGCAGTCGAGATCGTTCGAGCAGTGACCGTGAAGATGGCAACCTTTGCTGAGGTCGTTAGGATTTCCGGTGTAGCCCGGCGGACAGACGCAAGCTCCGTCTTGGCAGACCGATCGGGGACCGCAACTGACGTCGCTGCACCGGTTTATGCACTTGCCGTGCACGCAGGTGTAGTCGAACGGGCAGGGCACCGTTTCGCTGCAGGTGCAGGATGCTGGATCGGTGCAAACTCCGACCTGAACTTGCTGGCAACCGATGAAGGGATTGCCGAAGAAGCTTTCCTTGCAGCGGCAGTCGTAGCTGCCGATCGTGTTGATGCAGACTGCGTTACTGCCGCAGGCGTTTCCATTGCATTCGTTGATGTCTGGAGAAGCAAAAAACGTATTCTGAACCTTTATTTTTATCTTCTTTTAAATCTTCTTCTAAAACTCTGTTCTCTTGTCATCGATATTGAATCATTTCAGTAAATAGTAGGCACACGATAAATATAACTTTTCTTTCTCCTCTAAGGAATCATTATAATCGAGAAAGATCTAATCATTGTAACTGCGAAGAGAATGGTATGGCAAAGGATTAATATGTACGTCAGTGCTTGGCAAGATAGTAACAGCTCAGCGAAGATCGTTAACGTTGGCTGTCCAATAATGCTGCGTCACCTTGAAGCAAGAAATTATGATTTATACAAACCATGACATTGGATGTAAGGGTTCCCTGCGTATCCCGGAGGGCAGAGACACTCGACAGCATTCGGTCCAGCGTTGCAGTGCGCATCCTTGCCGCACAACGCAGTGGAACAATCAGACTTCTGTTGCACGCCGCAGCCATGGTAAGGATTTCCTGTGGTACCTGGGTTGCAGACACATTTGGAATCTTGCGGGCCGTATTCGCAGTGAGCGTTGGAACCGCAGCCAGGGTCACAGGTGGCAGGTTGAATCGCTAAACGATTGTAACAGTCGTTAGTAATAAGAGTAACAATTGGCGCTGATGTAAGTTGTGAGTGCTGTACGCTTACGCGGCATGCAAAGCAGGTCCGGATTTCCGATAAAGTAAGGATTGCAGACGCATTTGTTGGTCGCAGGGTCGCAAGACGCTCCCACGCCGCAAACAACACCTTCGCACCGACGCTTGCACCTTCCACTTATGCATACGCTCGGCTCTGAGCAGGGTACTTCCGGCGAACAGACGTCCGGAAGACACTGGCCGCCTGGGAAGGGGTTGCCCATGAAACCTTCGATGCACTTGCAGGTTGGCCCGCTGTAGCTCACGATGCACTGCGCTCCGGAGCCGCACACGAAGCCGTCGCACTCTGTAAATGCGTTATCGATGAATGCTATATTATTCTTATATTATAGAATATATAATTATATTCTTATATTATTATATATAGTTATTACTAGATTGTGGATATTATGCATTTATGACAAAAATTGACAGTAGACAGAGCAAAAGTGTCTACGAATTACAATGAATTAATTTCAGCTTATTCAAATCATTGATGAAGTGAACAAATTTCTATATGGATTCTGTTTGTTGTAACTGACACAAAACAATTTTTATTTTGCATATAGACCCACAGACTAGTTAACACATTCTTTAACGTATCTTCTATGTACTCACGAGAAACACATTCGTTGTTCTTTCCCTCGACGAACCCGATCACGCACCTGCACCATGCGGCGTGCTTATCGGGTTCGCAGTACGCATTCGGTCCGCATGGTATGTTGTCGCAGGGGTTCACGCATGCACCGTTCACACAGGCGAAAATGTTGTCACAGTCGTCGTTGGAGGAGCACTCGTTCTTCGGTACAGCAACCCCTGTGCAACCAGCACCGTAAGGATCGCCTACTGTTCCTTTCGGGCACTCGCAGATATGGTCGCCCTTCGTGTTAATGCAGTACGCGCTGTGTCCGCAAGGATTGTTCGCGCATTCGTTCACATCCACGCAGCCATGTTGCGGGTCACCCTCGTAGCCCGCCTCGCACATGCATCTGGGTGGGTCGCTCGGAGTACATTTCGCGTTGATACCGCAAGGGAACCGATCGCAGGGATCTGAAATTGCGTAAAGATATAAATTAGATCATTCGAAAGAAATCTTCAGGTATATTTTATAAAAAAATGTATATTGTTATCGCAGGTACTCACTCTTGCAGAGGTTTCCGTCAAGAGCGTCCGTGTAAAATGGCGGCGGGCAGACGCACTCCCCAGGCTGCACGCATTTCTCGTTCGCCTTGCACTCGTTGTCACTGGTGCATCTCTTCTGAGCAGGCGAGCAAAGTCCGTTGTAAGGATCGCCGCCGTAACCGTGCGGACAGACGCATTGATGAGAACCCGGCAGATTAATGCACTCCGCTCCGTAGCCGCATACTTGATGTCCGACGATGCACTCGTTAATATCTGACAATTACACGGACACTCATTAATATCTATTAACTGCGACACAAACAGAAGAAAATCGAGCATACGTACCATCGCAAGAACCGTCGGCCTTGGTCGTGTAACCCTTAGGGCAAGCACAGTAGCTGACTCCACCTGCGATCGTGATGCACTCGGCCCCACTGGGACACTTTTCGCCCTTGGAGCAACCGGCCAGCATGCACTTTCCGTTGACGATCTTGTACGGTGGCTGGCACTGGCACTCGATGCTGTTGCATTCTGCAACGACACAGAGTCGTTAATACAACTGATTAGCGCCGCGATCAGGAGTCTCCTAGTCCGCCTCATTATCGTCGACCTTGGGACACCCCATGACATCAAGTTACATTTCTTACCTTCGCAGAGGGAGAACGGGTTTCCATTAAATCCAGGCGGGCACTGGCACTCGTAGCTACCGGGCAGATTCTTGCAAATGGCGTTCACGCCGCAAGCAGGCTTGTCCCTGAGCTCCATACACTCGTTGATGTCCCTGCACTTTCCGGTCTCGTGGTCCCGCGTGTATCCACGCTGGCAAATGCACACGCTGCTGCCAACGAACTCATCCTTGATGCACTGTTCTCCTGCTGGACAAGGCGTGCTGGGCCCGCAAACGTGTGGGGCCTTCGATTCCTGGCAGCCGCCGCTGTAAGGATCACCGGTGGTGCCGCTCGGACATTGACAGGAGAATGCGCCGGGCTCGTTGTTGCAGATTGCACCCTGGGGACACGGGTTGATGGCGCATTCGTCGATGTCCCTGCAGCCACCCTTCACTCCCGGCTTCCCTGTGTAACCGCTGCGACAGAGGCACGTTGCCACGTCGTTCGACAGCATGCAGTGGGCGTTCGGTCCGCAAGACAAGTCCTCGCATGGATCTGATCATGAAATGTTGCGAAGTATAAATAACTGTGCACGATGCGTCGCCTAACGTTTGCGACCCAAATGTCTTCGTTGTCTTTCAAGATACGTCAAATGTTTTACGGATAACTCTGAATGATTCGATGTCATAGAAATATTTGCCTTTATGTTAACATTTTTAGAGATGCCGAGGCCATTGTCAGACTCTACAGCTTATTAACTATAATTGTTCAAGGTCAGGAAAGGTCACGGACAGAACACAACGGATAAGATGTAAAATACAAGAGCGGGATATGTTGATATTAAAAAGAATGAAGCTGATATTAAAAACGAGGAGGGAAGATCATTTAATGGGCAAAAATGTGAAAGATTCGTATTTGCGTTTCAAGAAAGAAAATTGCCCGAGCATGCACGATTCCGCAAAGTGCACTCACGTCTGCAATCGTTTCCAACGTTGGGCTCAGGGCACAGACACCTCTTCTGCGGATCGCAAATGGCGTTTCCGGGACAGTCGCCGTCAACTTCGCAGGTAACTATGCCCACGCACTTGATGTAAGGATCGGGGTCCGGTATGGTGCCCTCGGGACACGCACACGCGTAAGACCCTTCCGCGTTCGTGCATGTGGCGCCGTGGCCACAAGCGTCGTGTCTCGTGCATTCGTCCACGTCTGCAATTAAAAAGCGACATCCGGACACGGCCCTCCTGGAATCCGTTAAATTAAAGGATAGAGCACGTACCTAGGCACTGTTTAAAAGCGTTTCCAGAGTAGCCGGGCTTGCACTGGCAGCTGAATCCTCCCAAGGTGTTCGTGCAGATCGCGTTCTTGCCACAGCGGCCGGAAGGTCCGTTTACCGCGTCGCATTCGTTTATATCTGTTTATCAAAAACGATTAAAAGCAATTTCTTCGGTATCATCTTACCATTGGTCCCGTTTTCTTTTTGTTTTCAAAGTGGACACTCACCGACGCATCCAGCTGCAATGTCATTCGGATTGAAAGTCCAGCCGTCCTCGCAGATGCAATAGGCTTCGTGGCCGTCGGCCTTGCAGAACGCGTGGTCCCCGCAGGTGACCTCGTCGCAAGGCGCTGCAATAAAACGCGATCACTGTAGGCAATCCCTTGTAATTGCCATGTAGCGACGAGCGACAATAACGCGGAGCGTTAATTCACCTTTGCAGGGTATGTGTGGTGGCGTGCCGACGAACCCGGACTCGCACTCGCAGTGGTAGCTTCCTCTGGTGTTGGTGCAAATCGAGGAGGGCCCGCAGGGATTCGAGAGACACTCGTCCAGGTCCGTGCATTCTGCGCCCGTGGCCTTGAAGCCGTTCTTGCAGAAGCACTGGCCCTCGATGCACTCGGCGTTGTTCACGCAGTCGAAGTTCGACTTGCAAAGGGTCGTCACGTCGACCTGCAAATTCCGTTCAGAGCAATCTATGTAAAGCTGTTTACTTTATGCGCTACCAATAACAATTGTGGTATCAATTGTTGCTGTATTCGCTACGACAAATTCTTCATTCACGATGAATAAGTAATCGAATTACCTGTTCACAGGCGACTGTCGGACTGGGGTTGGCACTGTACCCCGGTGGACAGACGCAGGTGTATCCAGGATCCCCGTTCTTGCAAATCGCGTACCTTCCGCAAGGATTCTCCAACGCCGTGCACTCGTCGATATCTGATCGTTGTTCGAAAAATCGGCATTATTAAAGGAAGACGCGCGTCTGACACAGCGGCCGGGAAACCAGTATTATAGCGGACTTTATACAAACGATGATTTATACAGTGAGAAATGCGTGTTCGAATCTCTGTCTCCCAATAATGCGTTTCCTGTTGATTTCACTATTATGCACACTTCTGGCCACAAATAATACACAGTTCAAAATATATTATAAACACGCGCGCAGCGATCAATCGATCGATCGATTTGCTTCAAAATAGATATTTCGCTTCGATAAGAACGCGAGAGGAAGTACTAATAAGAGAAACACTTATTGGAAATTCAGAAACGTCGAGCATCGTTATTGGTTAATTATGAATCGTTAAATATTCATAAACGGACTGCGGATCTCGACGAAGTTCCTCGACGCGAGCTAACATTTCGATTCACTTGCGTTCTTAAGAATTTCAATAGCAGAAGAACGAGTCAAAATCGTCTTTAAATTCTTTCGATAGTTCTTGTAAATCCGCGAAATCCGCAGTCGTTCGGAAATGAATCTTCTAGCACCGTGTTACTGGATTGTAGGAGGTGATAGTGAGTGTCGGTAGCTAACCGCTGCATCCCTTAAACGGGTCGCCGGTGTAGTCCTGCTTGCAGCTGCACACGAAGCTGCCGATCGTGTCGGTGCACTCGGCGTTCTCGCCGCAAGGGTTTCTCTCGCATTCGTTCACGTCTGTTAATCAACACGGTTAATCGCACGGTGAGTATTATTAATGATCGCCGGGGGGTGTCTTAGTACGGCGTCTTAGAAAAAGAGACTGAACGATAAAAAAACGAAAAAAAAAAACGTTACGGGGGTAAAGACTGACTTTCGCAGAGTGTTAGTCCTTGACCGATGAAGCCCTGCGGGCAGATGCACTTGTGCGATCCGGGGACGTTGATGCATCTAGCGTTCGCCGCGCATGCATCCGCTCGACCGCACTCGTTCACGTCGATGCAACCGTGGGTGGGGTCCATCTGATAGCCGGGCCTGCATCTGCACTCGAAACTACCCTCCGTGTTCACGCATTCGGCGTCCCCGCCGCACGGCGAGCCCTCCTCGCACTCGTTTACATCTGTTAGTGACGGTTAGTCGCATGTTTTACTGCAATTCTCCTGATCGTGCTCTGTTCTCCCGAAGAAGACGCCGGACAGTTCAAGCTCGCAACAGCTGTTCTGTTGCTGGACATTCGGGACGTCTTAAAGACGTCTTCTAGACGCACAGTTTCGTAACGCAAGACGTTCGGAAGACGTTTGCAGGACGTTCGTAGAACGAACGTCCATTAAGACGTGTTCTTAAAGATATCTACTTTAAATCGTAAGACATCCAGACCAGAATTAGCCGCAAAATGGACGTCCTTAAGACGTCGCGTGCTGTCTGCGGGCACCGCGAGATTCTTCGTTCGGAAGACAAAGCGCAATCGTGCTATGCGAATGACGTCCCGTTGCCGCGAGAAAGCCAAAACTCGCTCGCGGCAACGAATTTGTTGCACTGTGAATGTTAACGCGAGCGATATTATTAACGAAGCGTGGACACTGTTATTCGAGGAATATTCATTCACTCGTAATCGTTCTCTATGTACACAGGGATCCTTCGGATTTCACGTTCACCTCACTTACCGTCTCGTGAATGTATTAGGTCTACCGGAAAGCTCCGCGCGTTTCCTGATTACAGTTACCGCTACCGAAGTACGCTCGGGAAGCATTAAATATTTATCGGTGTACAGTACCATTTCGTAATTTACGCAACGTAACGCGAGCAGAAGATACTGGTCCACAAGGTGCATCACGGCGCCCGGTGCGTATCGAATGAATAGCGGCGTGGCACTTCGGTTCGGCAAGATCGGAAAACCAGTTTATGTCTCATCCTTATCGTGTTTATCTTATTATTTATCTCATTACGTACGTTACGCGGTCTCCTTATTACCTTTCATTAGGCTATCGCCGCGGTTCGCTTCCTTCTCGGCTAAAGCGCGCGATATGAATTTAGATCGTTCATATAGGTAAATGGCGTCGTTAAATAAGCAAATACTTAGGCACGCGGTTCGTTTTACCGTGCTACAGGTGTGCACGTCACGAACGAATTTTCTCGGTGCCGCGGACAAGAGGAATGCGCGTTGAATTCTAATTAACGAAGGACTTCGGTTCTCGATTTCGATCCGGAAGACTTTCGAGCGTGGCGCGCACGGAGTCGCGAAGAGCAGGGATTGTTAGGACAGAGTTTTCCGGCAGACCCGACACACAATGGCTAGGCCAAGGATGTCGTCCTAATTCGTGCGGACACACGTGGTTACACCATATCGTTACGGATAATTAGTAGCCGCGCTACTCACCGTGACAGCCCAGCCAAGGATCGCCGCTCATTCCTTCCGGGCAGGAGCAACGGAAACTGCCGCGCACGTTTGTGCACAGAGCTGAACGACCGCAAGGGCTGCGCGAGCACTCGTCAATGTCCACGCATTCTTCCTCGGGATTGCCGTTATAGCCCTCCGGACATTCGCACCTGTGTCCGCCGGGCAGATTCACGCAAAGCGCGCCCCTGCCGCAGCTGCCCGCGTATTCGCATTCGTTCATGTCGATACACTGCCGGGAAAATCATCGCGAATCGATTAGCCGGCAAAGGAAATCGCGTCGCAACAATCCCGGCCCGGATACTCACGCTCTCGTAAGGGTCCCCGGTGAAACCCTCTCGGCACGAGCACGTGTAGTTCCCAGGTGTGTTCTGGCAGATCGTGTTGTCGCCGCACGCGCCAGATATCTTGCACTCGTCCACGTCCTCGCAATGCACCTCGCCCACGCCGATGTACCCCGACTTGCACTTGCACAGGTACGTCGACGGCAGGTTGCAGCACTCCGCGTTCTCCACGCATCTCGCGGCTAGCACCGGGTTATCGCACTCGTTGATATCTAGAAGCACACGGCCACTTGTCCTGCGGATGCTACTGAACGAGCTCGGAAGGTGGTGCCAGCTCGACGGAAACACGATTCTTTTCCTTTGATATTTTCGCACGATTTTGTAGGCTCGAGTCGTAGCTGGTGCTTATTTTTGTGAGTCACTTTGTAGATATACTTTTTCGATATCTTTTATAGCGTAAAATCCTGTTCGCGAAGTACTGTTTTTTTCTTCTGTTGAGGTAGGTTGTTGTATATATTTTTAAATATCGTCGCAAGTGCAACGTTTGATAGATTCGTCGAGCACGGAAAATCAACCCCTAAATGCCCCACAAAATCAGAGTGATTTAATTCACGAAACTAGTACGTTAAAAATCGTAGAGAATTCTAACTCTGTTGTATTCGATACATCCTAATGGAATTCAGTTTGTAGAACATTTCAGAGTATATTGCAATAATCAGTGTCATGCGTATGACGTGAGAAAAAATTCTAGAAAAGAATGTCTGCATCAAAATCAAAATTGTGGAGACGTGAGAAAAATTTGAAAATATTTTCATATTGTGTACGACTTAAAAAAAGTATTAAAACGAGAAAAACGTTTTTATCCGACTTGTGTTTCTTATTATAGACAATTTTCATTTTATATAAAAATCCTGCAGTTGTGACATATGAAACTAACATGTTGATCGTTTTTTTTAAGCACCAACTTATAAATTCATAAATTTCTGGCATTAATAATACCTTTTTAAACACAACAAAAAACCAATATAATAATTACAACAAAAACATTAACGTGTTTGGAAAAGATCCATAAATCCACGGAGACCCATTCGAAGATAAATTTCTGCCAAAGCATTCATAAAAATCGAGCGACTTTTAGATCGTTCGAGCCGGTGGTACCTTCTGCAAAGTGAGCACGGTGAATCGGACATACCTTCGCAATGGAAACCGTCGCCTTGGTAGCCGGGGAAACAGGAACATTGAAAGCTACCGAGGGTGTTCGTGCAGTGCGCGAATATATCACAGGGTCGGTACTTGCACTCGTTTTCGTCTGCAACAGAGTTCGTATTAAAGGGTATTGTCGCCGACCGGTCGTAGAGTTTAACGGTATCTCAGCGTGGTTAACACTCCCCAAGAAAAAAAGAGGTTCCCTATAAAGGAGTAAGGGTAATAAGTGGTTGAAGGCAGTGCAGGCAATCTGCCCTCCGGATACACTCGAGTGGTCATTCGAAACCGTTGATTTGGCTGCTGAATGAAGCCGTGAAAACCACAGGAAGGAGGAAACGAGGAAATATTCTTATTTGTTCGGTGATTGCCTTTCTTGTTTCTCGTGTCCATTACACGCATCCTTCTTCGCGGCTCGGTAAATTCGCCGCTCGCAGAGCCGACGCTTAGAATTACACTGTGGTCGCCGGTTTATGCGATATACCAGATAACGATGATTGCGCTTCATCTGTCTGGGAACGTTTAGACACGCGTGCCTCGAAAAATAAATGATCATTGGAATTCTGTCTTGCAGTGAACGATTCGATTCATTGCGAAGATCGATCGCGCGAGAACGACCTTGAACGCCGCCTTCGAGCTCTAGCATCGACTGCGCGCATTGGCACGGCAAACCGGTAGATTTTTTCGGAGCAACCGAATAATTTACATATTTCGAAGCGTGTCCAAACATTGCCGGACGGTGGATCGTTCGAGTATACTGACCTGGCACTTGACAATTGCAACCACCGAAACCGTCGTTGCAGTGACAGACCGAGTCCAAGCAGACGCCGTTCAGGCACCTGGTTCCGTCCTCTTTCGTGCAGTCATCTAATTGGACGGGAACAAAAAAGAAAATCAATTCCGATCTGGTCGTGGGTAAACGATCGACGATAATCCCCTTAGTCATCGGCGCGGCGACGACGGCGGCGGCGGCGGCGGCGGAAGACGCTCGTCGATAGACTAGTCGATTACCAGGCGAGTAATTTGTTTCCCAGCGATTGCGTAAAAGAGCCGCGAAGGCCGATCACGATGGGAAGCGAATAAAAATCAATGTCGCAGATCGAGGGACGGAGACGCAGAAACGCCGCGCGACGCTCGATGATCAACATTTCGTACGGATCATTTCGTTCCGTTAGTTCTAAAGATAAGGCAGCGGAACCGGTTACTGTTGGCTGATCAATTACCGCGCTTTCGATTTGTTTTCGGGCATAATTGACTTTATACTAATCGAATAGGACGCATCGACTTTAGTTTTATTCGAAAACTAAACCGAATAAAAGAACAGAAAAATTTAATATGTCTGATTCCATAAATGTAAAACCGATTCTTTTATTTTGCTTGTTTTCGAATTCAAGAAATTAATACGTCTTATTCGATAAATATAAAGTCGATTCTTTTATTTCGATTATTTTAGTATATGTTATTCGATAAAGTTGATTCTTGTATTTTATTTATGTTCGAATAAAAAACTCAATATGCTTATTCGATAAATCTAAAGTCGATTCTTTTATTTGGTTTATGTTCGACTGAAAAACTTAATACGTCTTGTCCGATAAATTAGCCTAATTCGTAGAACGAGTTTCCGATTAGCGAATTCCAGAGACTGGCGATTTCGAGAGGCTTTTTGCGCCGACAAAAAAGAAGTAGGTCTTGATCTTTATCGCGATTGGCCCGTGGAACAACGGGATGCCGCGAAAAAGGGCCGCGACGGTAACGGTACCGGGAAGAACGACGCGACAGGTTACCATTTTTCCGGGGTTTTCTGATCCCCGGCGGACTCACCTGTGCACTTCAGTTTGTCGCGTAGCTCGTCCGTGCCCTGGTAGCAGTCGAGATTGGTGTCGCATAACTTGGACAACTTGAGTAGCTGTATCACGTCCGTCGACTGGTTCACCTGGCAGCCGAAGTAGCCGTCCTCTAAGTTCAGGAAGAACACTTCTCTCCTGGATCCTCGGCTGATTCCTCTGAGTGATTCGGCCTTGACGGTCGCAAACAGAACATCGTTACCACGCGGGAACATTCGTCGGTTGCCGATAATACTCACCGGACACAAGGACAGAAGTATCCAGACCACCAACGGCCAAAGACGTTTCATCTTGACTGCAACAGAACGGAGGAACGATCGATCACACCTCGGTCCAACCGCATCGCGGTCATAATGATGTCAATCGGACGAGCCGACGCCGCGACGCGACGGCAAAAACGAAGCGCGTCCGGAATTCGATTATCGTTACGACACCAACACGCCCGACGGTTTTTCGACGGTTTCCGGAATTACGTTCGTCCAATTACATCACCGGCTCTTCGACGCCGGTCTCGCTCGAGCGGGCGCCCTTCGCGAGGAGAGCAAACAGACGTCCCGATCCGCTCCGGCACGGTTTTAATAAGATCTTTGGTCGGACGCGCCGCGCCGCTCCAGATTACGCTCGGATTATCTCGCAGAATACGCCGACTTCCCTGCGGGACGAATCGACGAAAAATCCGCCGACCTGACGCGGCCGTAAGAAACCGACTGGTTCTTGCCCGGCGAAACAGGGCAAACACACCCGGGACACCTGTTCGGCGTCCCGGCAGCACGCCGCCACTTCCGAACCCCTCACGAACCAGCCCGAACCTAACTGTATCGGCTTACCATAGCCCGGGCTCTGAAGGGCCCAATTTCCTGGTCTGGTCGCCCGGTGTTTTGTAATTCAAGAAGCTGCGCTGACAATGTTGCATAACGAGCTGTGGAATGGGAACGGGGAAGCGCGAACTGGACACTGCGGGTTTCGTTTCTTTTCGTCTTCAATTCGTCGACATTCGACACCGTCGGCAATGCCGGATAGAAATTTTCCTTTCCCGTGACACGTCGGTGTCGTGTAGACTGGATCGGAACGAAATGTAATTTCTCCCTAATTCGCGCGCAGATCGTGCACAGAAATGGACGATTTAGGACGAGGAGATACGACTATTCGAGCCTTCCAGCTCTTCTTCATGGTTACGAATTGTCAACAATTATAAAAGCGAGACGCAAGGCTCGAACAATCGTATCTCCCCTTCCAAAATCGTCCATTCTTGTGCGCAATCTGAGCGCGAATTAGAAAGAAATTACTATACAGTAATGTCTCTCTAATTGACGCTCAGACTGTCCACGATAATGGACAATTTTTCGACAATTATTCGAGCCTCGCAGCTCTTTTTCATAGTTACGAATTGTCAACAATTATAAAAACGAGACGCGAGGCTCGAACAATCGTATCTCCAATCCGAAATTGTCCATTCTTGTGCGCAATCTGAGCGCGAATTAGAAAGAAATTACTATACAGTGATGTCTCTCTAATTGACGCTCGTATTGTCCACGAAAATGGACAATTTTTCGACAATTATTGGACAATTATTCGAGGCTTGCGGTTTATTTCTATAATTACAAAATTGTCGACAGTTAGAAAAACGAGCTGCAAGGCTAATCGTATCACCTCTTCCCAAAATCCTCTTTCCATAGCTCGCTGATTTTTCGTATGAACGGGGCCTAGTAAAGTGCCTATTTTCTGCTCCGGTTGCTGCTTCAACCCTCCATTGTCGGATATGTTTTACGGTCCCGTGGCTAGATCCATTCAGACATCCACTTATTAGACCTCGCATAAATTATATAATAGCATTAATCAGCCGTCGATGAAAAGATTACGATGTTAAATCAGACTGGACACGCAGAACCAAGGTTCGAGCGTACTCGTTTTTCATTTAACTCGAAGCAGCCATTTTCATTCGCGTAAAAAAGCGTTGATAAGTGCAGTTCAAAGATCGCTAAAACGTTTGGTCATTCGACGAAAGAGAACCCTATGGTCAGAGGGTTTAATAAAAAAAAAAGTATGCTCGCCCAAAGCAAGCGCATAGGGGAAAGAAACCTCTTGCAGGGGGAAGGGGGAGGGGCAGTGACGCAAAATAGGTTGCGAAACTGTGAATTAGCTATTCGTGGAAAGGATACACATCCTTTCGAGATATGTCCTGGAACGTGACCAGTCTGCGAGCTCCCCGGGTTCCCCTCCCAAGATTTCACGGCGCGCCGGAAGCATGATTTTCAAGGGTCACCGGTGCACGCGATTCGCGGAAGCCGCGTTTACGTGCGGCGCAGCTTATGGCGAACGGTCGAACGGACGCATGCTACGCAACCGGAGGAACTGGCACGTCGCACAATAAGTCGGAGCCCGGCGATCAACCGCGCCGCGAAACGTTAACGACTGTGCACGGGCAGCGCGGGTAAGAAGATTCGTCAAGAAGAAGACGGCGAGGAGGAAAAAGCGGAATCGAGCAACCGCGACCGGGAACGCCGCGCCGGGGGGAGGGAGCGAGGGAAGAGCTCGGCGATGGAACGCCGAAAGGAAAAAAGAGAAGAACAATTAACAGAACGATCGAGAGGAACGCAGAAAGTCGGGAAAAACGAGGAGAAAGGAAGGAAGAGAGACGGGAGGAGAGAGAGAGAGAGAGAGAGAGAGCGGGACGGAGGAGAAGGCGGAGGATCGCGGAGGAAAATGTTGAAGAGGGAAAGGAACTGTTGGCGCAACAGGGCAAGAACGAACACCGTCAGCTGGGAACGTACGCACAGGTTTCGAACGATTCAGCCTTGATCTTGATAAAGATATATCGCCGGTGTTCTGGACAGTCTTCGATATCGAAGATATGGAAAACGAGAGTCGTCGATATGGGAGAAACCATGGATTTTGCCTTTTTATTCGACCCATTTCCATCAATTTAACGCGCGCGTTGCGAACAACCGTAGAAGACCCTGGCGAGTTCGCGCACTTGCGTTTGCCAACGCGACGCCGAGTTTCTCCTGCGCACAGATGTTTCGATTTTTACTTTCAACGAACGAGCCGTCGTCGTTGCGGCCGTCGATGGAATCTGCTCGCCGCAATGTCTTCGACGGCAAAGCGTTACCATTTCGCGTTTGCATAAATTTCGGCACGCCGGGAGAACCGATGTCGAAATAGAAGCCGAAGACGATCGTAAATATGGATAAATCCGTGCAATTTGCAGTCGTGACCGTACCAACCGATCCCGGAGGTGTGGCGAGCCCATAGTAAATTCCTTTCGAGGGGGAACCCTCCACTCGGAGCTGTGCGTATACTCGGCTTTTATTTGTTTATTTATTCATTTCGATATTTTAACGAGCCGTGCCTTTTGTGTTACAAATTTAGAACGGCAGGAGATGATCGTGCTGACAAGAGCGGACACGAAGGAAAACGCGAACGAATGGTAACAGGTGAAACTCGCTGCAATAGAGATCTAATAATAATAATAATAATATTAATAATAATACTAATAATTGTAATAATAATATTAATAATACTAATAATTGTAATAATATTATTACTAGTACTAATAATTGTAATAATAATATTAATAATAATAATACTTGTAATAATATTATTAATAATACTAATATTTGTAATAACAATATTAATAATAATAATAATTGTTATTATCATAATTTGATAAAATCTTAAACAGATAAAGTTCGAGACAGTTTTCGGGTAGCTGGAAGGTATTATGGAGGGTCTAGGTCGGAGAGGGGAGCGTTGATTTCGTGGAAACGAATGGATGAAATTATTTAACATATTGTTGGTACTGCCTCGAGTGATACTGGAGGCGCGTTGAGCCCGTCACTAACGAGCGCAAGGCCCGAAGAGCGAGAAAGAGGACGGGAAAGAGAAGGACGGAGGACGCGGAGGAACGTAATAAAGGAGGGCGTGCGAGTGCGATGCACCTGTGGCCCTCCTGCCCCTCCGCAACAGCTTGAGCCGGCCGGCAGTGCCTTCTTGTACCCTTAACTCCTCGGCAAGTACCGGCTAGACAGCTGGCTATCCGGCTAGACCAGTCCTCGCCCTCGCGAGCCGGATTTTCGTCACGGAAATTGGCCACCCCAACTGTCCCGCCGGCGAATTTCAGATGCATCGATACCGGCCCGCCGCCGTTTCCGCAATTTCATGCGAACCACGCTCGCGGAAACGCTCGACGGCGGACGACGTTGTCGTAATAACGCCGCACCGTGAATTTTGAACGACCCCGGACTCGAATTCCATCTGCTAGACTCGCGCTAGTCGCCGCCAACGATTTCTATCGTCCACGTTTTCGGAAACCTTTCACGCGCACGCTCGACAAATATTTGGGAACAACTATAAGAAATAACTACGTTAATCTCTGGCGTTAAGACGGACCTTTTTTTAAGGCTCCAAAGAGTTTAAATTGTTACGTAATTTAATGTCGATTAAAAACGATGTGGACTTCTACGATACATCTTGGATTTGGTGGACAGGTTGGTTAAGAATGAATGGATCGATTGTATCTGAGAGAAGATCGCTGGATTATATGCGAATTTCTTTAGAATCTCGTGACACAAGATTTGAGAAAAACTGTGAGAACATTTCACTTGGATGTACTATTACTAATTTCTCCAATCTTTCGCATACTATTTTGAGAGAAGACATACAGCGATGTCTCCCTAACTGACGCTCAGATTGTGCGTCACAAAATGAACAATTCGTGGAAGAGGAGATACGATTATTCGTGCCTTGCATCTCGTTTTTATAGTTGTTGACAATTTGTAATTATAAAAATAAACCGCAAGGCTCGAATAATCGTATCGCCTCTTCCCAAATTATCCATTTTAGTGGACTGAAATCTGAGCGTCAGTAAGGGAGACATTACTATAATTCCAACGCGTAACCTACTTGACTTTAAGAGAACGTTTCGCAAACTTTCCGTCTCCTCTGTCGCATAACAGCCGCACGCATTGTCCAAGGAACGATACAAAAGATTGTACAACGTAATTTATAGTCGGTTTACATCGCGGGACAATTCAGACGTCGCATTGTCGACGATTTTCTCGAGAAAAATTCTATCATTTAGGCTCGCCGCGCGAGAACGCGCCTTACAAGCTCGCGTTCGAAGGTGAGATACCGCTGGTAACTCGTTCGAAAAGGATCGAGATTCCTGCGTAAAATTGAAATCGCGTCGTTCCGCAGACATTTCACGCGCGCCGATCCGCTCGAGAATCCTCACCGCCTGGGAATCATCAGCTGTATATGGTCTCAGAGATCCGAGTCGTTCGAACTACTGCAACT